GTTGCCTCCACTCTGATATCGCTAAGGTTTCCATCAGCAGAATGGGGAGGGAAATAATATTTGGCGATTCTTACTCTCCCCTGCAGCTCTCGCACCCCAAAGCTGCTCCTGGGGGTTAGTGGGGGGGTAGAACAGATTTAGGGGGACATGGGAGGCTGCAGGAGGGAGGGGAATTTGCTGCAAACAGCTATCCCCATTCTGCCTACTGTCAGTCAAGTGACAATTCACAGTCTACACAGATGAATATTAATCTCATTAAGACATATCAAATGAGAGCCGTCTGTACGTTTGGATGAACAAAGTAAGTTTCTGCGACAGGGAAACTTTCCAAGGCAGATCACTTCCAATTTTTGCTAAATGGTTGGTTTTGGCTTCGACTTAAATGCTTTAGCTGAGATTCCTGCATTGCAGGGGGTTAGACTAGATGACCCTTGGGTCCCTTCCAACTCCGAGATTCTATTATTTTTAATGAGGTTTCCCTAAGGCCAACTTTTATTGCCACAGGCACTACCTGAGCTAGAAAGGACTTCAGGACTTGCAGTCCAGAATTTCCTCCAATATCCCTGCAATCAACTCTTTTTTCAAAGACAAATGTTCCAGGTCTTTGTATGCAGCACATGCTCATAACCCTCCAGTCACTGTAAAGAAAGCCTTGATAGGTTTAGGATAAAGAAGGCACTCAGATCTGGCAACTGCTCTGGTTGCTGGTTGGTGGCTTCATGCTGATTTACAAAATACTGTACTTAGCAATGTAGGAACTTGACACATTGTGTATTGTTGGGTACCGATAAAGATGTCTCTAGTATTTATCCAATTAAATAACACCCTTCAGATTATGTCCCCAACCAAGACATGCACACAACGATTTCTTATTCTTCTTTCATGATTTTATGCTGATCCAACAGTAATCACAGTAATACCCCTGTAATACCCCAGTAATACCCCTGTGGTAAGGGGCTTAAATGTACAGTGGTACCTCGCAAGACGAATGCCTTGCAAGACAAAAAACTCGCTAGACGAAAGGGTTTTTTGGGATATCTGGGTGTGAGCGCTGTACCCCTATCAGCACTTCCTCTCCAGATGATTGTCTGTCTGTCTGTCTGTCTGTCTGTCTGTCTGTCTGTCACATTATCTTGCCCTAGACAACCCAAAGTGGCTTACAACCAAACAACCAATTACTCAGGATCCTTCCCCCCCTAATATTTTATTAAAGCTTTTTCATAATACAGTAAAAGAAACCAATCTTGATAGAAACAAAGAAAGAGAGGAGAAAATGCAGAGTCCTCTCTTGAAGGTAGATCTTCACCTTTGTCTCACACAGAAGTGGGCGGACTCTCCCAGCTCTCACCTGGGAGCTTCCCTTTCTTCTCCCAGCCTCCCACCCTGGGAGATCTTCCCTTCCCAGAGTCCACCAGCCAGGCATCGCCAGTGTGGTGTAGTGGTTAAGAGCGGTAGTCTTGTAATCTGGTGAACCGGGTTCGCGTCTCCGCTCCTCCACATGCAGCTGCTGGGTGACCTTGGGCCAGTCACACTTCTCTGAAGTCTCTCAGCCCCACTCACCTCACAGAGTGTTTATTGTGGGGAAGGAAGGGAAAGGAGATTGTGAGCTGCTTTGAGACTCCTTAAAAAGGTAAAGGTAAAGGTACCCCTGCCCGTACGGGCCAGTCTTGACAGACTCTAGGGTTGTGCGCCCATCTCTCTATAGGCCGGGGGCCAGCGCTGTCCGCAGACACTTCCGGGTCACGTGGCCAGCGTGACAAGCTGCATCTGGCGAGCCAGCGCAGCACACGGAACACCGTTTACCTTCCCGCTAGTAAGCGGTCCCTATTTATCTACTTGCACCCGGGGGTGCTTTCGAACTGCTAGGTTGGCAGGCGCTGGGACCGAGCAACGGGAGCGCACCCCGCCGCGGGGATTCGAACCACCGACCTTTCGATCGGCAAGTCCTAGGTGCTGAGGCTTTAACCCACAGCGCCACCCGCGTCCCTTGAGACTCCTTAGGGTAGTGTTAAAGGGGGATATCAAATCCAAAACTCCTCTTCATGTGCATAGAATGCCGCCCCCCCGGCATTGACCCAGAGTAGAGGACACAGAAAAATTACTTGAGATCCTGAGCTTGGGCAACTTATATAAGCCCAGAGAGGAAGGAATGCAAAGGCTTATAATGCTCTGATGAGTTGCTTGTATCCCTGGGGTGGTATGATGGAAAGGTAGAAACAGGTCCTATGGGGACCACTCCCCCTGCAGGCTCTGGGTGCCCACACTAGAAAAGAGCACCCACACACCTAATTACTCCACCCTGAAACCCTGGGAAACTCTTGCTAGTCAGTGCCAGCAACAGTGAGCTAGATGGACCGATGAACTGACTTAGTATAAGACAGAGTCCTATGCTTCGAATGTTTCTAAATGTGTAGTTTCATGTTTTTCTGGCTGAGCAACTGGCACATGCCCCAACTGCATTTAATCTGCTGTGTAATCTCCTGCAAGCGAGCAAGGGCACAAAACCCACACAACCTTCACAATGGAGAGTACCGGTAGTTTCTGCCACTGCTGTGCAGCAGGTACGTACAGAGATAAATGACGACAAATCCAGTGTAACACGCTAGTGAGTTTATTTGAAGGAAAATAATAACAAATATTATTAAGAGTAGTATTAAAGAGTTGTTCACTTTATAGCATTTTAATATAAAGCTTAAAATTGTGTTCTTTTGTTCAGCAGATTACAGCAATAAATACAGTATATCTCGGCTATGTATACACAGAAAAGGTTAAATTTTAATTACAAGGTCTTCTTCTGTTGTTAGGCTCTGATTCAAAGCCCAGCGCAAAGCAACAATGGGCTTTTCTATACATCTCAGCAGATCAGTCTGTCTCAAGGCTATTAAAATTCGCTTTTTAAAAATATTTAACATCGCTTTCTATGCAGTGACTCTATAATTTCTATGTACTATATGCAAATCTACAATCCCAAACCTTTTTCCCAGGGGAAGACAGGAAGTTTGCGTTCTCCCTAGTGACCGTGGGAATGGGACTAGTTTTAAATCTTACAGTATACAAGTATTTAAGAAGGAATAAGATACAGGGTTACTATACAGGTAGTATACAGAGGGATGCTTGAGGACTGCAGGGAAGTACCAATGGTGAAACGATGCTAAAGCACTTAAATTTACTTAAAATGAAAAGGACAACTGTTTAGCCACCTAATTTCTAAGTGCACTTTTGTAAGAATGCTCTCTACAAGCAGGACTGGTTTCAGCTTTCTCCGATCCCCCAAAGCAAAATGCCAGAACTGACTCTAGAACCCTTAATGTTTTCAACTGCCTTCTCACCTACCCTCCCTTGGCAAGCGGTTAATGTGGCAGTTTTCTCTCTCCTGGGATGTCAAAGGAGCAACCTGAAGCTTCTAGAGAAGGGTGGCTAAGGGGGTCATTTGATGATGCAGCCTTCCCCACCCTCACCAGCGGAGAGGGAGGTCTGTGGCCACGGGAGGAAGTCTGCTTCCAGAGGCCTCCTCATTGCAAACATCCACCTCCATTGCTCCTTTGGTGCTGGAAAAGCCCAGGAAGGCTGTGTTGCAGGGGCAGGTTGGGGGAGGCCTTGGATCTGCATGGTTCCAAGTCCTCCCATTTCCCCGATGAAGGGGGAGACCTACACGAAGCCTAGAGCAGATGTCCCACAGAAGGAGGAGGAATAAAGCTCCTCCACCCATCCACCCCTTGCCTTGCTTGGTGCAATCCCGGCAACTCGATTTCCTCAACAACCCCTTCTCCACCTTCTCTGTATAGTGGCAGCTCTCGACACACTTACCTGGGACTAAGTCCCATGGAATTCAACAGGCCTAATGTCTGAGCAGACATGCATAGGGTTACTCTATAAGGGGCACTTCTAGACCTGCAGATCATGGGCCAAGGCCCTGCCTCTCTGGCAACCAGTCATGCTTTGAAGTGGCCGCTGCCATTTGGAAAAGAGAAAAGAAAGAACGCCTGCAAAAATCCTCATTATATAGGGTCACTGTCTTAAAGTGACAAGGTTTATTGCATTACTGAGTTTTGAGTTCCAAGACGACAACAGCAGCAGGAAAGCACTGAGGAGGTTTCTAAAAAACCCTGCTTGTTTTAAAATAGCAGCACAGAGCACTCCTTGGTATCAGTGAGCACAAACAACGGTGGGATTGAAAGATATTAAAAGTAACAAGCAGGGGGGAAAGTAATTTCTTAGGGTCAGGTGGGAGTAGGGAAGGAGGAAAGGTTTTGAAGCACACACAGTTTAACATCTTGCTACAGCAGGCCTCAGAAGAACATAAGAAGAGCCTGTTGCATCAGGCTGATGGCTCATCTGTTCCAACATCCTGTTCTCACAGCAGCGAACCGGATGTTTATGGGATGTCGGGAAGCAGGACCCAAGTGCCACAGCACTCTCACCCACTGTGGTTTCCAGCAACTGACATTCAGAGGCACACTGCCTCTCTCATTTGGTATACCCTCAATGAAGAGGACATTGGGCTGTTACCCACACGAGCAAATACATATTTGTGGTTAGGAGTGGATGCAGCCAGGCCGCTAACTTCCACTATTTGTATACACCAGGGGTCTGCAACCTTTAAGACAAAAAGAGCCACTTGGACCCGTTTCCGAAGGGAAAAAAACTGGGAGCCGCAAAACTCGTCATTATAAAAATAACTTTTTGGTCACTTTTTTATTATTTCTTTGTTTGACCCCTCAGAATTACTCCTCCTCATAGAAATAAATGTTAAATTAACAAGTTACCTTTTTTTTGTGTGTGTGTTCTTCACTCCCCTTCAAAACAGTGACCAGCGTACATGCCCCCTTTCAATGCAGTGACCAGCGTACATGCCCCTTACAATGTAGCGGGCGGGCGGGCGGGCGGAAAGGTGACGTCGGGACAGTGCGTGACTAACGCATGCACCGCCCCCATGCGACGTCACAGCCAGTACAGCGCCCGCCACAGTGGGGAGTGTCGGGGTGCACAATGCGCCTCCTCCCCTCGCTAGTATCTGCCCCGGAGCCGCGGCAAAGGTGTAAAAGAGCCACATGCGGCTCCGGAGCCGCGGGTTGCAGACCCCTGGTATACACCTACCAGACGAAGAAAAAAGAGTGTAGCTACAGTACTGTTTTTAAGGATGGCCTTTAGTCTTATAGCTTTTAGCCCTATTATTGCTAGTCTAAGCAGAAGGTTCTGGAAGGTTCTGCCCGGTTCATAACGGATAAAACTGAGAGGCTGCTTCAGATGACTGGATTTCCACTTGGGCCATCTTAAACTGGGTGCACTGCAGCCACTTGCGGAGGACGGTGAAGTTGGTGTTCATCTGGCCCGATCCCTGCAGCATCCTAAGGCTATGATGGTTCACGTTGCTCTGGATCGCTTGCAGGCGGAGCTGTAGCCCAGCAGATAAATGCTGTTAAGATATACAAAAGGTGGGGTTGTTGTTTTTTTAATTTGTTGGATTAAATGAACATATCAGAGAGCTCTGTAAATTAATAGTTAAAGTATTTTATGTATCAACCTTTTATGCTCTTCCACACCCGCCCAATGCTCCTATCCCTTCTTTTAGCTTCTTTTAAATTCTTATAGACTTTCATATTCACCTTCTGTTTTAATACCTTTTAGCTTTCCAAAACGCTTTTCAGATTTTAAATGCCTATATCCCACCCTTTTATGCTGGTCTATGACCGTAATAAAGATTTGAATTGAATTGTTTGTTTTGATATATCAGTCATTTTCTTTATTTTAAAAGGATTTCAACCATGGGCTATAAAAATCAACTTTCAAATAATTGTTTAAGACAATGTCATTCTGAAATAAAACAATCAATATTCACACCCAGCATAAGACAGGGGGGGAAATCCCACATTTTCCTCTACTCTCCTTATTAACGTGAGCTGCTTTGAAACCTGCCAAACTGCAAAGAGGTGCAGGGGCCTTTGTGTTAAGCACTTTAGAAGTTTAATTTGGAGTGGGAAGAACTGAAACAAATTACCATCCAGGGTAAAATCATTCCCCTCTCCTTCCCTTCCTGGCATCTTCCTTAAACTTAGAGATGCAAGTTGCACTCTTGCAAAGCTACTTCCTCCCCCCCCCCCCCAGTACTGGAATTGGACAGCACTGGCGAAATCGTTCCCTCTGGTTGCATGCTAGACCTGTCAGTCACAGTCTGCTCATGTTTTCCCTGTCTTCCCCGTATCCTCTCACCCTGGCATTGTTGGTAAATGCAGGAGACAGGACTTTCATGCAAACACTAATGTCTGTAGCATTTTTTATGTCTGGATTGCAGAGGTGCCACAAAGTCCTTTCTTCGCCTCATGCCTCCTCATAGAGATCCCGCTTCACCTCTGATGAGCCCCGCATAATTCTGAAGCATCCTGCTACACTCGTACATTCCTCTGACTCCAATGCGCTCCCCTATTTATTACAGGCCTGCAAAAATAACAACTTTTCTAGCTGCCACAACCCAAGACAATGAGGCTGTGATAAGTGTGGCTCTTCTAAAGGAGGGGGTCCTCTCCATTTCAGATGATTCATCCAGGTCTACATGAGTTTTCAGTAGCCACATGTCAACAACAGAACCAGTGCTTTCACTTCTCTCTCCCAGAGCTTCCTGCTCTGCTGCGCAAACCGCATGGCTCCTCAAGGGGCTGCCTTTGTATTGCCTTGTGCACCTAATTGAGGCTTCACAGAGAATCACCTGAGTCAGCTTGATTATCTGTGCTGCTCTCTAAAGTTCCCTTGCTTGGCCTTCTGGTTTCCTTCCCTTGCATGGCCCCGAGAGGCTGAGCCATGTGGAGGTTCAGTGATTCCTTCTCGGATTCCGAAGGAGCTGCTTCTGTTTTATCTCCTGGAAGTAGCATCCTGGAAAGGGTTTTGTTTGGGGGAGCTTCTGCAAGCTGTTTTAGCCCCAGACTCCCTTGTCCTGGGTTGCATGGGGCAAAGGTAAAAAGTAAAGGTAAGCCCAGCCAAAGGTGACTATGGGGTGTGGCACTCATCTCACTTTCAGGCCAAGGGAGCCGGCGTTTGTCCACAGACAGCATTCCAGGTCATGTGGCCAGCATGACTAAACTGCTTCTGGTGCAATGGAACACAGTGATGGAAACCAGAGTGCATGGAAACACCATTTACTTTTCCGCTGCAGTAGTACCTATTTATCTACTTGCACTGGCATGTTTTCGAACTGCTAGGTTGGCAGGAGCTGGGACAGAGCAACGGGAGCTCACCTCATCGCGCGGATTTGAACCGCCGACCTTCTGATCGTAAAGCTCAAGAGGCTCAGTGGTTTAGACCACAGCACCACTCGTGTCCCTAATGGGCAAAGGTACAACGACATGGCTGAGGATGAACTTATTAGAATCTCAGTTCATGTAGAAACATCTGAAACCTCAGAGGGAGGCATCTCTGCTTCTCCAGCACCTCCCACTAGGGCCAGGGCTGTGAGAGACACCAGCAGTCTTGTCCTGCATGGACTCACATCTAGCTGCTTCAATAGTCAGCCCTAGGCTAGAAGATGAAGCTGTAGTGACTACTGCACCATTGCCTAATTTATTGTATTTTAATGTATCATAAACTACCTTGAGAACTTTGGTTAGTAAGTGAGGTGTAAATATTCCTGAATAAAGAAATAAAAACTAATAATTTAGGGACCACACCTCCCCTCATGGACCTACCCCCTTCTTTGTGCTCCCCCTCTGAGGGAGATGCTGAGGGTGGCATTATGACAGTGGGCCTTTTTAGTGGTGGCTCCCCAAATAGTGGAATGCTCTTCCCAGGGAGGAGTGCTTGACGTGATCATTGCCAGCTTTTAGCCAAGAGGCAAATACATTCATGCCCACATAGGTATTTGGCATTCAGTATGTGTCATAGAGTATGACAATACCCAAGCCTGTCTTGGTGTCCATCTTTTAATAGAGTGGGATAGGATTTGTCCTTTCAGTGTAATTGCGGGACACTTTTAGTCTATGAATTACCCTTCTATCTTTTTGACGTATTTTGCATTTTGTATCATGTATGCATTTGTAATTGCATGTTCCTTGATATGTTTTTGTAGTAAGCAATGCATAACAGCAATAAACAAATAATCCAGAATTCTTATGATGAATTTGGGCACAAAATTCAATGTTTTCTTACATAAAAATACATGGGGAAAAGGTTGGATTTGGGCAGCTGGAAGTGGGGAGCCTACCTTTAGATTGGACTGAATCATTGGCAGCCACATCGGGATCAGCTGATGGAAGACAGAAATTGCATTATTTTCCTCGGCGTAGTGAGAATTAATTCATTACAGTCACCATGTGTTATAGTTACACACAGTCAGAGGATGTGACTAATTTTCTTAGTCTGAAGAACGAACCATAAACCTTGCTGATAACATTCATTCACAGGTAGTACAACGAACATTTGCAGGGAACATTGGCTAAGCCGTGCTCTGTGCCATGTCTTTTATTTAAAAAAGTAAAATCTTTTAATAAACTGATGTTTAAATATTCCAGAAAAACAAGAGCATTTTTCTTTTTTTAAAAAGAGATAAAAAAGAGACTTTAAACTTTATTTAAAAACACATTTTTGCGATCAATTTCCCCCTTATTTCTGCTTTGTAAAGATACTGCAGCTACTTCCAATGAAATTGCCATAGTGTGGAATCTGCTTCAAATTGCTCCCCATGGTGCCTGCGACTGCCTATGTACTGCAGGGTGCCATCGAGGTTATGAAATTGTCTTCAGAGCTCCAGAACTTGACAGGCAGGGGAGGGAATTGCAGAGGTGTTCAAAGAGCTACTCAGTTCCATGTGACGTGCCACTGGTCGTGCAACCAACTCCACTGAGCAGTGGCAGCTGTCACATGGTCAATTTAAATTGACCTGTACATGGTGGCTCCCCCCCTTTTTTTTAGGAAGGTGGAGAAGGGTTGCAGTAGCCCAGTGCCGGAACATCTGCTCTACATGCAAAATGGTGGTGTAGAGGTTAGAATATTGGACCAGGACCTGGGAGACCAGGGGTAGGTAAAGCAGGAAAACCGATCATGAATATATCCATTTGAGGATGCTGGGTGCTAAAAGTGAGGGGTTGCATGGAGAGAGGGTCCCTGGGGCTGGCTGGGAATGTGCTGGGGAGGGTGGCAGGTGGCCAGGGAACTGGAAAGCGGGGAGGGAGGAGGAAGCGGGGGTCTTGATGTGGGGTGAGAACGATGCACATGGAGTTGCCAGCAGCTGGGGGAAATGACTTCTGCTAAGGGATAGGAAGGCTTTGGTCTTCGGGAATGTGAGGGAATCTGCAGCAGCCTCTCCAGGTGAGGAGGCTGAGAAGAGCGTCTGCACCTTTAGCAGGAGGTGTGTGTGTGGAAAGGGGAATTTCAGCAGGTGTGGTGGAAGTTGGCAATTTTTTCCTCTTTTTTCCTCTTCAAAATATGGCAATCCTAACCTAATACCACTCTCAACTTTCATGCAGCCCTTGGTCCTACACACACACACACACACACACACACACACACACATTCTGTGGTTGATCACTTCAGATCTCTGGCAAGAGTGATCTGTCCCTCCCCACCTGCCCACTGGGTGGGGAAGAAGAGGGAGAGAGCAAGAGTGTGAGGGGGGTGGAAAGGGGATAGTCACCTCTTTGGGCTTTGGGAACATTACTGGCTTCATTCCACCCACAGTCAGCATGTGTCCTGCAAAAGTTTGCCCTCGGTGGTCGTGCCCACCATTGGCCTACTTTTCTGTACATGCTCCTGTGACACACAGGAGGCGTCACCTGTAACCTGCAATACCTTGAGGATGGTGTTCAACCAAACCTCCACATTTTTCTCAGCACATAGACATGCCTGTATCACATCTGCTAAATGTGCCTGCTTCTGGCATTTGCTAAGCTCAGATTTCTGTGGAAGAAACGAAGAGGGCTGCAACGGTTGATTTGTTTGGGGTTCTTGTTTTTATTTTATTTTTAAGTGTGTGCCAGGTTCGCTTCAAGTCCGAAGGCCCTTTTGACATGTTATCCGCGCTCTCCCATATTATTTAAGGAGTTGGACATATTGTTCTAAAGCGCTCCTCCAAATGGCATCAAGATTTGCAATTTTCCAATTAAGCTCCCTAGAGCTCCGTGTACAACCTAATCAGTATTGACAGCATGAGATAAACCACCCTCCAGAGGATGCGCTTTCATTGACCAAACCAGATGGCGTAATACTTGGCTGTGTTCTGTTAGTGGGTCGTTGTCCCTAATTACCAACAGCATTGGTTAGGGAATCCCAGTGAAGAGCAGAACACAACTACATTACAGCGTGGAGGCGAGATCTTGAAATGTTAGGAAGATGGCTTTGCCCTTGCAGTGACTGTCAATTACACACAGAAGCAGAGATGGACAAGCCTGGATCCCTAACAAGCAGGCAGCAAGCCAAACAGCTAGGATGCTGTATGCCCCGTGGGGCGAAAGAGGTGTGTTTAACCCTATAGAAAACTGGGGTGCAGAAGCTGTCTCCATTAGCCCCAGATAGCGACTGGGGATGAAGGCAGTTGAAGGAGCAACCAATACAATCAAGATTCTGGAAATCAAGCCTTATGAGGAACGGTTGAAAGAGCTGAGTATGTTTCGCCTGAAAAAGAGGAGACTGAGAGGAGATATGATAGCCATCTTCCAATATCTCAAGGGCTGTCACCTGGAAGATGGAACAAGCTTGTTTTCTCCCGCTCTGGAGGGTAGGATTCGAACCAATGGCTTCAAATTACAAGGAGATTCCAACTAAACATCAGGAAAAACTTTCTGATGGTAAAAGCTGTTAGGACAGTGGAATGGGGTCTCCCTCGGCAAAAACATTTTATCTTAAATAAACAAAATAAAAAATAATTTTTCTGCATGTGTTCTGATGGCTCTTCCCACCTAATGCTCCAAGAGAAAGCCCATCAGTTGGCAACAGATGTTACCTTTTGAAGAACAAAGGCAGCTTTTTGGTAAAAAGGCTGGAAGAAAGCAGAGAAGAACGATTGCTTATATTTTCCCCTTGTCTCTTTGACCCAAGTTTCCTAAGAACCACATCGTTTTGGGGAAAGGATACAGCTGAGTTACATGAAAGCTGTACCGAAAGCTGTTTTACCGGCTGAACCCAGTCACCAGAGTTATTTCCTCTCTATTATGAATGAAGGAATCTCTGTCCTGCATGCTACTTGGAGCACAGGAAAAATTCCAGTTCTGTTGACTGCAATTTCTCCTTTTGGATGCACAGGATTTTGGATTCTAACCATCTTAAAAAAAGAAGAAGGAAAAAGTATTCTCAATGGAGAATTGACCTACCTTGACGAAAATAGTGGAATTGCATTCCTGCAAAGCCTCCATCAAGCTGATCACATGGAGACATACCATCTCTACCATCTGTGGAGGGGGGAAAGATGTTGAAATAAAGTAAATACTCAGTGCCGTATTGTCGTGAAAGCAAAACACACCAAAAAAACTGAGACTGATGGGATTAACCTAGATTCATTAGTATGGTACTTAAATGAAAGCAATACAGAATCGTAGAATTGTAGAGCTGGAAAGGACCACAAAGGTCATTCAGTCCAGCCCCCTGCAATGGAGGGATACAGGTGAAACTCGGAAAATTAGAATATCGTGGAAAAGTTCATTTATTTCAGTAATTCAACTTAAAAGGTGAAACTAATATATGAGATAGACTCATGACATGCAAAGCGAGATATGTCAAGCCTTTATTTGTTATAATTGTGATGATCATGGCATACACCTGATGAAAACCCCAAATTAACAATCTCAGAAAATTAGAATATTAAATGAAATCAACAAAACAAGGACTGCAAATAGAGCAATATTGGACCTCTGAGAAGCAGAGGCATGCATATGTACTCAGAACTTGGTTTGGGCCCCTTTTGCATCAATTACTGCCTCAATGCGGTGTGGCATGGATGCTATCAGCCTGTGGCACTGCTGAGGTGTTATGGAAGACCAGGAAGCTTCAATAGCAGCCTTCAGCTCTTCTGCATTGCTCGGTCTCATGTCTCTCATCTTTCTCTTGGCAATGCCCCATATGGGGTTCAGGTCAGGCAAGTTTGCTGGCCAATCAAGCACAGTAATCCGATGGGCATTGAACCAGGTTTTTGTACTTTTGGCAGTGTGGGCAGGTGTCAAAGTCCTGCTGGAAAATGAAGTCAGCATCCCCATAAAGCTCGTCTGCGGAAGGAAGCATGAAGTGCTCCAGAATCTCCTGGTAGATGGCTGTGTTGACCCTGGACTTAATGAAGCACAGCGGACCAACACCAGCTGATGACATGGCTCCCCAAATCTCTTTTCTGATGAGAGCAGCTTTTGCATCTCATTTGGAAACCCAGAGTCTGGAGGAAGAATGGGGAGGCACACAATGACAGGTGCTTGAAGTCCAGTGTGAAGTTTCCACAGTCTGTTGATTTGGAGAGCCATGTCATATATTAGTTTCACCTTTTAAGTTGAATTACTGAAATAAATGAACTTTTCCACAATATTCTAATTTTCCAAGTTTCACCTGTATTTTGCCCAATGTGGGGCTCAAACTCACGACCGTGAGATCAAGAGTCTCATGCTCTACCTACTGAGCTATCACCTTGAATCATCAACACATCAGACTGAATATCCAGTAAAGAAGTGGAAACCCAACATTACCTTTCACATAGCCATGACAATCTGTAAGAGATTTTTTTCAGTTTTAGCTTCTACCAGTGCAACCCAATGACGCTCTGTATATTTCAATTAACCTTGAAAAGGCTTTTCAAGTATCCCGTTCAGGACAACCGCCATGCATAGCAGAACCAGATTTCTTTAAAAAGAACTGGATTCTCTCTGAAGTTAACTTGCTATCTAGGTCCTATTTATTCCCTGCCCATCCAAAGTGATTTATCATTCTGAATCAGCAGCGAGCTATGAATATGTAATCTTCAAAGCATAAAACATGGCACACAGGGCAGGGGGATGTCTCCCAGCCTTGGGTTGTAAATATCATTTTAACTTTTATGTGATGTAAATATAAAGGTAAACCAAGGCAAATGTAACTCGATAACGAAAAGGCCATGGAATTCAATATTGCTGATAAAGTTAAACCCTTTTGGTAGCCTCCTTCATCGTTATTTGGACATTTTAATTAAACTTCAGAACAACCCAATTAAATTCCATCTGGTCCAACCCCCTGCAGTGCAAGAATCTCAACTAAAGTATCCATGACAGGTGGCCATCCAACCTCTGCTTAAAAACCTCCAAGAAAGGAGAGTCCACCACCTCCCGAGGGATTCCATGTTGGGTGGGGTTGCCATATGTCCTCTTTTTCCAGGACACGTCCTCTTTTTCCATAGGTAGAGTCACTATAGCGATCCACAGTTAAAAGTAGAAGTCGGCAAATTTGTCTTCTTTTTTGCTCTTCAAAATATGGCAACCCTAATAATGTTGGGCTCCTTTGGTATATATATTTAATAAATCAATGTATCCCAGCAGGGTAATAATAATAATAATAATAATAATAATAATAATAATAATCTTTCAGCAGGAATCTAAAGCAATATTTATGCATATATTGCATTTATTTATGAAATGTTGCGAGGGCGCCTGCCTAACAGGCAGGGAGTCTCAAAGCATGCATGCTGCCACATTGAAAGATTCTCTCCTGGAAATGCAATTTATTCTACTACTGAGCTATATAGCCCTATAGTCTTCTGGCTGCCAGTTGTGTGCATGTGTGTGTGCCCTAGGATTTTCATTTTCAAATGGTCTATCTCAGGCATAGGCAAACTCCGGCTCTCCAGATGTTTGGGACTACAATTCCCATCATCCCTGACCGCAGGTCCTGTTAGCTAGGGATGATGGGAATTGTAGTCCCAAACATCTGGAGGGCTGGAGTTTGCCTATGCCTGGTCTATCTATTGCGTGGGGGCTTTGTGGGATCTCGCCTAGCTCTGCTCACTGCCTCTGACTCACCACCTTGTTATGTGCCATCAGCTGGAGGATGCTGGGGGTGACTCGGCTCCAGAACTCCAGGGCGGTCAGGATAGCGGTGAAGCTGAATTCGTTCTGGTTCTGCACCGTGGGCGCAACCGCCGCTTGTTCGCAATACACCGTCCACAGCTGAGCAAATATAAAGGCGTGGAAGAGGGAGCACATGTGCAGGACGGACGTCTGCAGTAAAGAGAAACGGGGGGTGGGGAGCGTTAGCTTTTCCCTTCCAGCAGTGCATTATGGGATGCGCACACCCTCCCCCGGAGTACCAGAGCATGACAATTCCCTCGTCCGATAATAACACGCCCGCCCGTCAAAGCAATCCTAATCAAATATGGCTCTGTCAAGAATTCCCTCAGATTTTCCTTCCCTGTCAGTGAGCGATATGGCAACTCATTCATATTGAAATAGCGGGCTTATAATTCACAGGCTAGAGTTAGGCAAAAGGATAGACAAGCTGAAGGCCATTAAAAGTTTAAAAACACACACAGAGAACCACAGAGCTGGTTAGAACAGGGAGAGAAAGGAAATGGAAGAATATTGGAGTGTTTAGAACAGCCTCTCCACCCTGGTGCCCTTCAGATTTAGTTGGATGACAATTCCCATCATTCCTGACCAATGGCTATGCTTGCTGAGGCTGATGGGAGCTGGGAACACAGACATGTCGTCTGTCAGGCTCAGTCCTGTCCACACTAGCAAGAGCTCTGCAGGGTTTTAGAATACACTGGTACCTCTGGTTACGGTTCCGGAAGTCCGTTCTTAACCTGAAACTGTTCTTAACCTGAAGCAGCACTTTAGCTAATGGGGCCTCCCGCTGCTGCTGCCATGCGATTTCTGTTCTTATCCTGAAGCAAAGTTCTTAACCCGAGGTACTATTTCTGGTTTAGCAGATTCTGTAACATGAAGTGTATGTAACCTGAAGCGTATATAACCCGAGGTACCACTGTAGAAACATTCCCAGCTCTCGTTGGAGATGGCAGGGATTTCCCCACCCCCAATTTTTAAAATTGAGTTTCAAGGATTTTTAACAATTTAACTACAAATTTAAAAGAATGTTTACAAGTTGAGTTCCCACCCTTTCTCCTAGGTGTTTCCATAACCACTCTTTCCTGCTGTGTTATATAACATACTTTATCTACAGTGGTACTTCGGGTTACATACGCTTCAGGTTACATACGCTTCAGGTTACAGACTCCGCTAACCCAGAAATAGTGCTTCAGGTTAAGAATTTTGCTTCAGGATGAGAACAGAAATTTTGCTCCAGCGACGCACCAGCAGCGGGAGGCCCCATTAGCTAAAGTGGTGCTTCAGGTTAAGAACAGTTTCAGGTTAAGAACGGACCTCTGGAACAAATTGAGTACTTCACCTGAGGTACCACTGTATTACATTTCCCTTTCATTTACAGTAATTATTCATTTATTTTCCCCTTATTTCAATTCATTATCCATTTCTCATCCACTGCTGTTTCGGATCCTGATCCCGCTTCTGTTGACTTTAATGTTTTCCAGAGAAAAAGGCTCCAATCTTCCATAAAACGTTCAATATTTTAATCTCTTATACTGCCTCCTTTGTCATGTCCATGTGAGATGACCGGGAATGAACCTGGGAACTTCTGCATGCAGATGGCATCTTGATTCAGTTCACGTTTAAAGATGAGCCTACCCAATTCACACTTTCTGAAACAGTATGCAAAGTGAAACACAGCCACCCTTTGAAATTCACGCTCCTTCGAATTTTGTAACACAATTCTCCAGCCAAGCCATGTGCACACATATGCATATATTAGGACAAAGTTTGCAATGAAACACTAAAAATAATGCCCCAAAGTACATTCTGCTAAGGACCTCTGTTTTGCAAAAAATAAAATAAAAATTGTATATTAGGGCTAAATATACACAAACCTGCTGGGAGAAATTTTTACTAAGACGCTGAAGAATTTTCACGAGGGCTAAAAGTGGAGAACTGAACTTAAGGCTGGAGGGAAACGGAAATTGACAGATTCAACCAACTTTATTGACCACCAGCCTCTGATCAAAAGACTGTGCGACAGCTGCAGAGTCTTCTCAGCATCCACTGCCAAGGGGCAGTAGCTCTGACAAGGATCTTAATTACCCAGGCAAGTTGGCAGCAGAGTAGGCAGCTATTCAGGTTAATTAGGCTGAAATCTATATAGTCAAATGTTGTTTAGGCACAACCAGCAGAATACTTGTACCTTGGACTGCTCTGGAAACCCAATCAGGATCACAATGAGGTGGTCAGCGACATGAGAGCCAGCATCCAGTGGAATGGGCATACATGTCGAAGGGGAATTTGGACAGATGACATTATGCGTCAGCGACCCCAGCAGGAGCCATGAGAGCAAACGAATATGAGATACGCATTCAATGAATTCTTTGGGCCTGTTGGAAAAGAAACTGCATTTCAGTGTCTTGTTATCCCAAAGGCTTTATTCCCCATGCCTTGAAATATTATGCTAACAAATGCATGAACATTACTGTATTATGGATGCAAAACACGGGCAAAGTACACATTAACATGCCTTTTCAGGTGATCCATTTGTTTCAAACAGTGAATTGGGTGGGGAACCTCAGGCTGAGGGCCAAACACGGCCCTCAGGCCTCTGTACCTGGCCCTTTGAACTGTGGTACAGATTCAGATGTCTTTTCTCAATGTGTCATTTTTGTTGAAGGGAAATAACACAAACTGCAATGTTTTGTTTCTAGGAAAATTCAGTTTCTTTCCTGCTCCCCAGCTAGTGTGTACATAGTGATGATGTTGCTGGCATCCATCTGTCTCAAGAGACAATGGAGTACAGCTCTGGGGTGAACTGAAGTGACCTCTTTGGGGTGCAAGGCTAAGCAGTCCTGAATTGCCCAAATGACAAGCCTTGCTGATGTGGTCCAAAGGAAAGCAGAGCAATACGTTTGGAACTGGTTTGGCTATAGGAGTTGCCAGAAGAAGGCACCATCAAACCGTCTTAGGGACGCCACTCTGGTTTTGTGCAGAGCCGTTTCTTCCCCCGAAAAGAACCCGCAATGCAGATGAGGTTTAGGATCAGCGTTTTCCTTCTCCCAGATGGCCTACCTTCCCAGGTTGAGAAGCCTCATCTGCCCCTCACTTCCCTCTACAGCATGTGCAGAAACCACCTTCTTGACAGTTGGACCCATTGCTGGGTCCAGGGAAGCCTGTCTTCGCATGCAGGGGAAGTCCCTAACTCATTGAGGGGTTGAGATCCATGGGCTACCCTCACCTCCTGGAGAGCACATTTGCATTACAAGTGATGGACGCAACTCCCCACTTTCACCCCTCTTCATGGCACACCCATCTGGTGATGCGTTTTAAAGCTCTTAACGTTACACTGTTTGCAGCCGATACTTCCTTACCCCTGTTGCATTGCAGATGGAGGATGGTATAGCCAAGGGAGGTAACGGACTACAGCCTTGTTGTCCCTGTGATTGCCACGTGAGATCTCCATCGCAGCAATCTGGGCTAAACCGACCTTCAGATGCCCACCAAAAGTGTCCTCATGCAATGGCTGGGAACACGTCTTCATGTGACTCTGTGGTGGAAGGACATTCAGCATATTGAGGGTATTAAAAGTAAGACATGTAGGTGATTAAAGGCATTTTGAAGGCCAAGGAAGCTGTTCCGTTTATATGAAAACACTGTGTTCACCAGAGCAGCTTTCACCAACTCCAGATGTTTTGAACCACAAATGATGGGAGTTAAAGGCTGCACTAAAGAGCGAATGTCCAAGTTATATGATACTTCTATCCGTTTATCAAATACCTTTATTATACCTGCAAAAGGTGAAGACTCATTTGTTTGCCCAAGTGTTTGGTTGAGCTGGTTGATTGAGAGTGAGCTTAGGTTATGATTTGAGTTTTTTAAAAACTGCTACTCTTATTGTTTATTGATAGTTGAGTGTTTGGAGTTGAATTTATTCATTTACTTAAAGAGATCACTTTTCACCAAGGGCCCCAAAGCAACTTCCAAAAGTGCAACAAACACACACCAACACCCAATAAATTAAAACCAAATACAATTTGGAAATCAGATCATACAATTTACACAGGGCAGAACAGGGCAACCTGACACCCCAGAACAGGCTAAACAACCCCTCCAAAAGTTTGCTCTGTCGGGACTAGATAATCCAAGTCCAACAATGAAGTTGCCATCCGTACCTCTAGGGGGAAAGAGTTTCAAAGGGTGCAGTCACCAACAAGGCCCTGCTTCCTGCCTCAGCACAGCAATTCTCCGCAATTCCACTGGCCTAGCACACGTTATTGGCATGAGTCCCGACACCCCTGTGGACCCTGGTCACTATTTTCTGCTTTTTGCTGCTCGTACAGTCACCCTTTCTATAATCATTATTGTAGGAAGCTACTTTTCCAACTCTCCCATAAAGCATGGCAAGGGCTTTCAGAAAGGATCTAAAAGTTCTCCTGACTATATGGATGGCCAGAATGCAGAACTCCCCAAACGAGGCAATAACATCATTTGAACTGATGTGTCTGAATGCTATACTCACCTTTAATTTAGTTAACGTATGCATATCGGCAATAAAATCCAAAACTTCACCAATGTACTGTCTCATGCATTCCATGGCTGCTGTTCCACACTAAAACATGGAAGAACAATGGTCAACTATCAGGGCTCTTCAGAGCACAATAATGGAAGTCCATTTTCCTTCCCTCACCCAGCCCAAAACCAACTGAATCCTGAACCCTATATATGTCTACTCAGAAGTAAGTCCCACCTGCTTCAGTTGGACCCAGTAAGTGGGTACAGCATTGCAGCCTTATAGTTGATTAATCTCAAGACAAATGTTGTTCCTAATGGAGCAGAGGAGTTACACGAGTGTAGCCTCACTGATTGCAAAAGGACTAATAGTACTGTAACTGGTTGTGATTTTTTTAGGCTTACTATCCTAACACTGGCTGCTGCCAATCGTGGTAAGGTTGTAGTTGAATCTTTTTCTGGCCTGGAGTGGAGGGGCAGAGAATTCAGAATGAAACTGGTCAGTCCTGCAACAAAATATTCAACCTTAACTCCCTTTCCGACCCAAAGTAATCAGCTGATATGGATAACAGATTGCCCCTCTTTGATGAGTGATGATTTGGACCCACAAATTCAGAGAGTCTCAGTTGAGGTTCACTTGCTGGAATTCGGAGGGCGAGAGAAGAGACAATCTCCTCAAATTCTGCATTTTTGCAGCTGACCCAAGTGCTTCTCATTTCTCTATGCTAATATAAAATCTACGTAGGGCTGAACTACACCACCTTCTGTCTCCTCCACAGTTACGCCTGTCAGTTGGCTTGACAGGACAACAAACAGCAAAAATAAGGTCACAGAGAGCCCTGTCAAAGTCTCCTCCATCTTCCAGTGGGCTTGGAAGAAGGATTCCACATGTTGCTTCTTTCAAACTGAATGACAGAACGATAAAGGGTATTGTGCACCAGCCCCTTGAATACAAATGACTGAATCTGAAGGATTTTCTCTTTCTTTTTATTCAGTTTCTCCCCGTTGCACTAAATATGTTGAGTACAAACAGAATAATCTGCTCTTCCTACGTTTCCACCCCTGCCCTCAAGCTACCAGAGTCTCCATTGTATCATCCTAACTCAAAAAGCATTATAGTTCAACTGGGGGATGGTGTTGTGACTGTTAGTATCGTTTAAGCTTAGAAGGTTTGGAGCAGGGGTAGGCAACCTAAGGCCCGGGGGCCGGATGCGGCCCAACCGCCTTCTCAATCCGGCATGTGGCGGCCCAGGACTCAGTGTGTTTTTACACGAGTAGAATGTGTGCTTTTATTTAAAATGCATCTCTGGGGTATTTGTGAGGCATAGGAATTTGTTCATTATTATTATTTTTCAAAATATAGTCCGGCCCACCACATGGTCTGAGGGACGGTGGACTGGCCCACAGATGAAAAAGGCTTGGAGTTTCTTCTCTGGAAAGACAGAAAGCATGCACTATATTGAAACTAAGTCACTAAGTTTCAATGCGGATGGAATGCCATATGATTCTGCAGGATTAGCACAGTCCTTTGACTCCATTCTGTCCAGGGGTCATTTACCTATCTATTTACCTAATAAGAGTCCCATGATATAAATAGTAATAGCTTTATGGTAGTACAAACTTCCTACTACATCAGATGAAGGCCAATGTTACATAAACAATGATGTTATTTTCTGCACAGTTTTTGCCTTTTTCCTTCCACTGAAATTAATTAATTAATTAATTATGTTTGTTTCTGCCAAAGCAAAATGGATAATGTAGGTTTTAGTGGAAGCTGAACTGTGGCAGAAAAGAAACAGTGCTGATTGCCTTCAACATAGCACAGGGTGGAAATCGCTGCCTTTTTATATCTCAAGCCCCAGTTGGCATGGCCAGTAGTCCTAAGGATATGGAGATAAATATATATTCTCTTCTTCTGTCTTAAGTCCCTTCCAACTGGAAAATTTGGGCTACATACATGCAAAGCTAAGGAATGGTAAAGAAATTTGGAGCTCATGAAGAGGCGACTTATGTTTTGTTACTTACTCCAGGGATGGAAGCGATCATTTGCTTGTGTAAGATCAATGATTCAGCTAGTTTTGTTCCAGCATCTGCACAAACAAACTAATAAGAAATAACATATTAACCAATTTTGTGGGCTGCTGGTGGTAAGGATGCAATAATCTCTAATTTATGAGTTTATTAAACAAAGTTTCTTCTTGCTGATATTTGTGGTAATTTTGCTGGTCATAAAAGGGAGAGCTTATATTGGAAACAAGAACCGTTATCAAGAAGTCAATCCCATTCTTTTTCACTATATACATACATATATATGTATTTAAAGCACTGTATAAAAATTAAGACGTGTATTCCCATTTCTTCAGCAGCAAGTTTAAAGCGAAAGAGGATTTTCAATCAAAGCTCATTACACAGCCTGCAGTCCTGGTACCATTATGTCAATTATAGTTCCAATTGACTTAATGAAGGCTTTCATTCCAGAGCAAAACATTTCCCCTCCTTGTGAATTTTCTCTTCTTTTTCTTACTGAGTGTGAGCAACTATTCTATACATCAGATAGAATTTTTAGAAATAACATGTGATTAAAAAAAAAATACAGACCATGTATTAAAAACCGGGGTTGTCAACTTTTTGGGTCCCATGAGTACATTTGCAAACTGGAGAAACTGTCAGCAACACCCAGTGGCGTAGCGTGGGTTGTCAGCACCCGGGGCAAGGCAAGTAATTTGCGCCCCCTAACCCGTGGATTTGCGCCCCTAACCCTAACCCCCAGATGTTGCGCCCGGTGCGGCCGGCCCCCCCTGCACCCCCACGCTACGCCACTGGCAACACCATTCATATACCATAACTAAGCACACGTTACAACCTATTATATTGCCTACAACAGAATATTCCTTCCAACCTCGGGAAGGCCTCTGTGGGTGAATGGGCACTCATGGGTGCCATGTCGGCAAACTTCTGCTCAACTAATGCGTTCCAGGACAGAAAGAGATTCCAAGATGTGAATCTTTCTTACCCCGAACCTACAGAATGCAGTGGATGGGAGCACATTGCATTCAAGGTTCAACATGAGGTTACGTGCATGAGCAGGCAAACTAAGGCCTGGGGGCTGGATCCGGACCAATCGCCTTCTAAACCTGGCCCAAGGGTGGTCCAGGAATCAGTGTGTTTTTACATGAGCAGAATGTGTCCTTTTATTTAAAATGCATCTCTGGGTTATTTGTGGGGCATAGGAATTTGTTCATTTCCCCCCCCAAAAAAAAAAAATTCAGCCCCCTGCTGAAAAAGTTTGCTGACCCCTGGTTATGTGGCACAAGCAACCATAACAGAAAATGAAAGAGACTTGGATGCATCGCTGCCACTGGAAAGTTTGATGCAGTAAATCATGGTATTTCAGAGTGATGTATGATCATTGTATTTCAGAGTGATGTATGATGCTGGGGAGTATCACTGTTTTGTGAGTCGGGAGGGAAATTAAAATATTGCAATCAAACAAATGGTCAGCACTTTGTTCCACCTGGTAGGAACCACGACGTATTACAGGGACATACTAGAACAGCGTTTCCCAACCTTGGGCCTCCAGCTGTTTTTGGCCTACAACTCCCATCATCCTTAGCTAGCAAGACCAGTGGTCAGGGATGATGGGATTTGTAGTCCGAAAACAGCTGGAAGCCCAAGGTTGGGAAACACTGGACTAGAACAGCCTTCCCCAACATGGCGCCTTTCCGATGTTTTGGACCACGACTCCCATCATGGCCATGATGGGTTAGGGTTAGGGTTGATGGGAGTTGTAGTCCAAACCATCTGAAGGACACAAGGCTGGGGGAGGACTGGAATAAAAACAAGGCAGTAAGTGGAGAAACTGGGGACAAAGAGTTACGGTCCTTAAGTATTTTCAGCATCTTTACTATACAGGGGTCCCTTCCAACTCTACAATTCTATGATTCTGTGATTCCTTTTGTTGGCCCTTAATCTCCCAACGTTCATAGCAAGTTCTCATTTAGGTGGACAGATCTGCACGATTGCTCGTTCTCATGACGTGATAATTGGCTTAGTGTTATGTGCAAACCAGGCAAATGTGAGTCAGGGAGGAGCCTTTGGCTATACAAACTACAGTGGTACCTCGGGTTAAGTACTTAATTTGTTCTGGAGGTCCGTTCTTAACCTGAAACTGTTCTTAACCTGAAGCACCACTTTAGCTAATGGGGCCTCCCGCTGCTGCGCCGCCGGAACACAATTTCTGTTCTCATCTTGAAGCAAAGTTCTTAACCTGAGGTACTATTTCTGGGTTAGCGGAGTCTGTAACCTGAAGCGTATGTAACCTGAAGCGTATGTAACCTGAAGCGTATGTAAACCGAGGTACCACTGTAGCAGATGTGCACAAATGCTCCCTTTTTTTTTTTGCAACCGGCTAATCTGGCACATGCAAGTAATTAAGCTGAATGTGTTTTGAGATCTTTTAAATGTGAATAGGTGGCTACAGCCATGCATCTGCAAAGAGCAATGGCCTCCTGTTCATCTTTACTGTTTCCGAGGCTCTCGTTTTGGACGTTATCTGCATCCCTCCAGAAAGTGGGGTGTGTTTCAACCTGACATCGCAAGCGGAAGACTGGGCAAACTAGACAAAGGCTCCACCACTTATTTCCAAAGCACCTCACTATCGCCCATATCAACTCCTTGCAAGATGCCAAGACGTCACCGGCAACAGATTTAATGCCAGTATTGTAAAAGAAAAGCCACAAAACAACAGAACAGAAACAGGATAAATGTCTGCTGTGCCTCTCCCTAGAAATCTGCTGTCTGTGATAAAGTGTCAGCAAAGGCTTCAGGGGTAGTTGGTTGGGCAGAGATCCAGGAAGACAAGTAGTCTAGGTTTAGGGATGGAGAGAATGACCTCAGCAACAGGCTGAGGCCTATGTAAGGGCCTAGATTTAGAAAATGAGAAAGATGCCTTAAATTGAATCAGACCATTGGTCCATGCAGCTCAGCTTTGTCCACACTGATTAATCTTTAACATCAGCAGTCTTTAACATTAGCAGTAACATCCAGACCAAAGGAGCGTTTCAGCCCTGTTCTTAAGTTTGTTTAAAATCTAAAACAGCTTATCTTGTATTCCTTTCTTTGAATTTGTGATATGTAGGGTTTTTTAACCTTTTTGTAAAGGCAATAATAGATTTTTCACAGCCGAGTCCTCAACTCCTTATTTCTACTGCTTGGCTTTCTTTAAATAGGGCGATGTCTAAAACTTGAAAACTTAAGGCTTTCAAATCTTTTTGTAAACTCAGGGGAGCGTTTCAGCCCTGTTCTTGAGTTTGTTTAAAATCATTTAAGGTTTATGATTTCTCTATTTCCTTCTGAGGAAACTGAATAGTTCAGTGAAACGAGGTTTGTAGCCGGCATCCCATTAAGACTTTGTTCAATTCTAGGTTTTTCTAATTTTTTCCTTAAACTTTTTGATTTTTCTTATTTAGTTTAATTCTATAAGATAATATTTCTAGTCGATTACTTCTTGTTTCAGGGATTTTCACGGTATTTTATTTGTTTTGTGTAAATTGTCCACACTGATTGGCAGCTGCTCTCTGGGGTTTTAGGCAGGGTCCTCACCCAGCCCTACCTGGAGATGAGAGGGATTGAGCCTGGGCCCTTCCGCACGGCCCACCACTGAGCTATGGCCACATGACATTCTGCCCTATGCTTGCGCCTTGTTGCTGTCAGGAGAAATCAGCATGGAGACAATATTAAGGCCTTGGTGGAAAGAAAAACCCCGTAGCATTCAAGATGCATGAGATCTCTCCCTCCCACCCTGAAGGAATTACAAACTGATGTCCCTGACCAGAGTCAGGGCTGGTGATGGGGGCATGATTCAGTGGCAGTTTGCATGCAGAATGTGCCTGGTTCAGTCCCTGTCATCTCCAAGTAAAAGGATCTCAGGTAGCAGAAACCTTGGACCAGCCTTCCACACCCCGATGGACTCCAGATGTTCTGGAGTCCCATTATCCTTGACCATTGGTCATGCTGACTGGAGCTGATGAGAGCTCTGGTCTGGAGGGCAGCAGTTTGGGGACAGATGTGTTGTGCCTAGCTATGGGCAAAGAGAAGAGCTCTGTTCCATCTGCTGTGGTCACTGTTAGTATTTGCACTGTATTTGTTAGAAAATGCATTTTGCAAAGAATAAATTTTACTGCGGAAAAGAAAACACATGTAATGTAATGCCCCTTCCGATCTTCAGGAGGAGGGGGGGTTGCGGGATCACGACCCCGCCCACACTCGCTCCCGCGAGGCTGGCGCCAGCCTCGCGGGAGGCAGGGATTCCCCCAATTAGCATCCCCTGTGGCGCCAGCCAATCGGCTGGCGGCAGGGGCGGGCCTTCGTAAGGCCACTTAAGGTTGGGGCAGCCCTTGGCTCGCCCCTTTTTACCCTTGGAGTCGACGCGGTTTCCCACCCACCCGCCCTTTAGGTTTTGCCACTGACCTTGCTATGGGCTTCGGCTGGTCGCCGCAAGGGGCCTGGTAGGAGTTTTTCCATTTGGCTAATTGGCTGGCTTTGTGAGCCACTTGGTTTTTTCGCCTACCTCGTAGCAAATCGTCACAACTCCCTCGGTTTTGGTGGTAGGCATTGGCCGGGGTATTGTCATGCAGATGAGGTTGGGGGGGAGGAACGCCATCACCTCCCCCAATGCTAGAAGGGTAGTTCGTTAAAGGACTCCGAGGGGCGACGCCTCGTCCGAAACCTACGGAGGCTAGGGCCTAAAGCGCGCCCCCGAGCGGTAACCCCTCGGGGAGCGCCTAGGGATATGCATCTCGGGTGGCTCCCCCTGTTGGTGTTTAACCCTTCCCGGTCAGACCGGATAGTCGGTTAGGGGCCAATGCCTAAAGCCAATACCCTTCTTTCCTGTAATCAATAAAGTTGTGGCCATTTTCGCCCATTAACCTAAAACTCTGTGTCCGTTGTCTTCATTTATTCCACCTGTGGGGGGGAGGGAATAGCCACGCAACAGCTGCAAAGCAGGTGGTTCCCATTAAGGTGACAGAAACGCTGAACTATGGTGTTGTTAACTTAACTTCCTTTAAAAGTGAGTGTGTTTGTGCCTTCGACAGTGAGGGTGGGAGTTAAGGTTCGGCTGGCTGTACCGTCGTTTTTTCGCTGACTGAGTTTTGCTGACTGAGAATATGGGAGTGTGAAGACTTCAAGCAGATGCTGTCCAGAGGGGTTTGTGAGGACAGACAAGCTATGGACCAATGGCTTATGCACTGCTACAAAGGAGTTTTGAAAGCAAAAGGACTAAACCCTCTCTTGGGCTCAAGGGAGAGAAAGGTATTGCGTTGGACTTAATACATATGAATAATACAAATTGCTCTGTTGCTGCCATCCTGACAAGTCAAGATTCATCTTCAATTCTTGTGTGTAGAGTCCACTCCATCACTGAGGTCTGAAGGTGAAACCACAGCATTGCTCTGAATAACTAAAAAAAAATAGCTAACAGTCGTTACCCCCACAATCCCACACAGCTGCTGATTCCAGGTACAGTTCTGCTCCAGGAAATCCCCCAATACCCATGTTAAGAGCATGAGGACAGGTTTCAAACCCCAGCACCCTATGGGCTTTACTCCTAGACACACCCTAAGCCTTTGGCAGCTTCACTCTCGCTTCCAAGGGAGGCCAGCTAGTGGGACCACACCTTTCCTGCCCCACAACTGCTCTTCTCACAGGGAAGCTCATATGAACTCCTCATGCAGATTATACACCTACCCAAACTTTTCCATCCTCCAGCGTAAAGAAAGCTTTCCTCTTGTTTTGTGTCACTACCAATTCTGACAGCGATGAGTAACGTGGAAATAATTGGGGTATCAAATGTAAATGTCAGGAATATATCTTTTGTTATTCAGCCCACCTTGCTTCTTATTTAACGTTCTTAGCCCCCGTACTGCTATCTTTGTCAAATCAAGAAGCAGCTTGAGTCCCTACATGTCTCACGCAGCTATACACAGGAGTATTAAGTGATTGCTCAAGTGGTATTTCAGTGCCCACCTTGTTCTACCACCTTCCCATTGTGGTAGGTCACTTCCTGTTCTTTATATAGCAGGGGTGTGGAACTGGATCCATCTGGCAACCCAGTAGGGTCCGAGGATGGAGGCAGACCCACAAACTCATGAGCAGAAGATGGAGGCTTCATTGTCTCCCAGGGACCCTCCTTTTAGGGACATCTTTAGCAGGGTGTTGAGGAAGCCTTCCTCAGACCTCCTCTTCTTAGGGGGCGTGGAAGACCCATGATTATGTAAGTAAGCCTTCCACAATCTTTCACTCTCCAGACTGTTTGGACCACAGCTCCCACCAACCACTGTGAAGTTGACCAATGGTCAGGGAGGATGGTATTTATAGGTCAAAACATCTGGAGGGCACCAGGTTGGGAGAGGTTGATGCTAGGGCTTGGGCCAAAAAATGCACACCCAAGTTCCATAGAGCCATTTAGCTCCCACCAAAGTGGACATGGGGTTCAGAGGCTTTTGCAGGGATGCTGCTGAATTCTAGAATATATTTTTTTGTGGGATGCGAGGGGCAGGAGAGACTTACCCTTGACACAAGGCAGCCAAGGGGAAACGAAAACCATCCTTCCCTGCCTCACAGAAAAAGCTTCAAGAATGTAAGGAGAGGTCTGCTAGATCAGGCCAATGGCCCCTCTAGTCCAGCATCCTGTCCTCACAAGAGCCAACCAGATGGCCGTGGGAAACCCACAAGCAGAACCTGAGCACAACAGCACTCTCCCCTCCTGTGGTTGCCAGCAGCTGGTATTCAAGAAGCATGACGGCCTCAGACTGTTTCCCAGAAGAAGAAGGAAAAAAAGAGTTTGGATTTGATATCCCGCCTTTCACTCCCCTTCAGGAGTCTCAAAGCGGCTCACATTCTCCTTTCCCTTCCTCCCCCACAACAAACACTCTGTGAGGTGAGTGGGGCTGAGAGACTTCACAGAAGTGTGACTGGCCCAAGGTCACCCAGTAGCTGCATGTGGAGGAGCGGAGACGCGAACCCGGTTCCCCAGATTAGGAGACTACCGCTCTTAACCACTACACCACACTGGCTCTCCCAACGCTTCGAACAACGACAGAGCTGCCATGAGTAGCTCGTCCCAAGCTTCAGTCCTAAAAAATGCCCCGCTGGCGATCACAGTATGCCATGACAAACAGAGTGCAATTCCCAGACCCTTTGTGCATACATGTGTATGTGTTTCTTGTAGGGTGGGGAGATTTGTCTGTGGGGGGGCAAGTACTCTGTCATTCTGTGTAACGTTGCCTGTTTCTCACAGAGTCCAAGAAGCAGAAAGGACTGTCGTCTCCTCTTTTTAAATACATAAATAAAGGTACTTGCAAACATCAACTCCCCCCCCTGAACCCATTACCTGGTGTGTCACCCCCCCCCCACAACAACCAACCACACACACACACACACATCCACAGCTTCTCCTCTTAACACTGATATTATAATAGTTGTTTTTAGGGAAATTCTAAGCCCTCTGTAATTTAGAACGTCAATGTTACTTTCCAACTCTCCTGGCAACTGCTAATTTTCTCTGACTAATGTGCCCGTTGCTTACGAGAAGCTGCGGCTCGTAGAAACATATGCCCGAGCGCAGCGCCAGGCACTTCGGAGGGGGGAAAGAAAAGAGGCTGTCAATCATGTGGAACTGTGCGTGACCTGGGGAGCAAGTCTGCAGAGCTGTGCATTGCGCCGTGGGCCACCTAGGTCACTTCCATTTCAGCTCCTTGTCATTTCGATGTGATTAAGTGCCAGCAACTGCCAGCCCAGTCATTCTGCAGTGGAGGATGGCTACTGTCAGGCTGCTGTAGTTTAAAAAAAACAAGTTGCGTGTCTCTCTAGTGAGCAACATCTGCTGTGTGCTTTCCTTCCAATCTGGTAGCGCAGGAGTCCTTCAGGCCCAATACAGAGGAAGGGTGATTTAATTGGGAGGGAGCTCTCTCAGTGGCCTAGCTCACACTTAACACTAAACCATGGTTTGGTTAACAGGAGTTAACCATGTGTTGCCCCATGACAATGATCAAGGAAACCATAGCTTGTTTTTGTAAAGTTTTGGTTTTTTTCCAGCTGCTCTTGCTTCATGACTTTGAGTTCTGTATTCTTTTCAATGTCTGCTTAAAACATTTTTGTTTAGGCAAACATTTCCAGATATGCAGACATTTAACCCTTTTTAGCTACTGGCTGTCCAGTGCTTGGAAACCCCACGCAATACATTCACTGTAAAACCATTTCTTTAAAAGTGTTTGTTCCGTACCTGGACCAAAAGCAGAAGGTTTGTATCTGGCAAGGGAGATTTTAACTTCAGAGCTTGCAGCAACTCTAAGATGACACTGCGGGATAAGTAGAACTTATCCCTTTCCTAAAAGAAAAGTGAACAAATCGAGTTAAATTAATGCTTCCAACATTCTTCAACACCAAATCCTTGACTGCTATTTGTTTAGATGATTTATATGCCTCCCTTTGCGCAAGTACAGAGCAGTTTAGAAGAAAGCCAAATACATTAAAAGAATAACATAAAATCCATAAAATAACACCATCCTCAAAATCGCACAGCAACCTATAACTAACCACTAAATCACTTTTATATACAAATCACATACAGAGGCTTAGATCCTGAACTGCCCTTCCATGAAGGAAGATTCTGTTCCAGGAGAGGCTCATGCTCACAGAATCAAAGAATTGGAGAGTTGGAAGGGAACCCGAGAGTCATCTAGTCCATCCCTCTGCAATACAGGAATCTCAACTAAAGCACTCATGACAGCTTAGGCCATCCAACCTCTGCTTGAACCTCTGGATCTCTTCAGAAGTGTACATATCCTTTACATATAATGCTACTCCTCTCTTCCTGTTTGGTCTATGCCCTTTGAAAAGGTTACACCCTTCAATTTCTACATTCCAGACATAAATCTCATCCCACCAGGTTTCAGTAAAGCCTGTTGGGTCATATCTGGCATTCTGTATCAACAGCTCAAACTCATCTTTCTTGTTTCTCATTCTCTGTGCATTAGTATAGACACAACTGAAACCACGTGCCATTCCCTCCAGCTACTTCCTTCTTGTAGTTTTCTGCCCTGTAGCAGGTTTGTGTAGCACTGCATCAGTTCCCTGTGCATCAATGAAGCTATTATCCCCAGTACCAGGTGTTCTCCTGCCATCTGTAAAATTGCTTCCAGAAAGGAAATCCCTCCCTCTTGTCCGTACTCTGCAATCCCCACTGAAACAGATTTTCAGAAGGAACAGAGGAATGTAGGGGCAACTTCTAAAACTCCCCTAGCACCACCCCTTTCAGTCAGCAGCCTCATCCTGCAAAGGGAGTTCCAGGTTGCATCCACACCATATATTTAAAGAATATGACATTCCTCAAAGAATCCCAGGAACTGCAGCTTACCCTCACAGAGCTACAGTTCTCAGCACTGTTAACGAACTACAGCTCCCAGGATTCTTTGGGGGAAGTAATGTGCTTTAGATGTAGTATGCATACACAAGCCCTTTCATGGGAATTTAGGGTCCAGTCCATAGAATTTGAGCAAGAAAACAGAGTTGAAAGAAGAAGAAAACCAGTGAGGTGTGTGCTTGCTCATAGAGCACACACATCAACGTTCCCACAGGGGCTCAGTGCCCTACAACGGCCTGCGTGTGTTTATGCATCTGTCTAAGCTCCACAGCTCCTCTCCCCTGTGATGCAAAGGATTTCTCTTCCAGGAGGGAAGGGCATATTGCATCTGAGAGGATTATGTCAATGACATCTGCTGTTCCATTGAGCATTTTGTCCTGGCACATAGACAAATGGAAAGATGGGGGGAGAGCAACTTTCTAACCCCCACTCCCAAGCTAATTTGCTCCCCTGTGAGATGAACTCCAGGTGTCCCTACAGTTTATTCATCTGGATTTTTGTCAGATGGGGAGGAAACCTCTCTTATTTTTGAGAGACAGGATGGCCTAATGCATGTTCAGTAGAATTACTGATAATGCAAACACCACAGCAGTGAGGTAGAAAGTAGTGGACATAATGAAAAATATAACTCTCAAACCATGGCAGACATGGAAGATGCAAACATCTCCCCCTGCTCACACACACATTCATGTGGATGGAGGACAGATAGGGATGTGTAAGCTTGTGTAGAAAGAAGGCTGCATCAATTGCTCTGCCTACTTTTGGCTCTAACATGTGACTTCTGAAGGGCTGCCCAGAAGAGAATGAGGGCCTTGGGCTGAAAAAGTTTCCCACACAGATGTATTAGTGTGAAAGTACCCCTGGTAGATCCCAGAATTTCTGTTAATGAGCTATCCCCAGATCCATCAAGGAAAAGGTAAAGTATAATATTTGCACAACCTCTCAAGCAGGTTTTGGCCAGAGTTTCAGCTCCTTTCTGTTACCTCTAATTTTAAACAGCAGACGGAACAGAGGTTGCTTCGATGTCAATTTTGCTTGAGAACAAAATAAGGGGTAGGTGGGTTCTCCGTTTGCCCCTGTCTCTAGTGCAATTAAAAGGAAACAAGCCAGTTAATTACCTTTGTGAAAGCTCTGTGACACAAACCGCACAGCTCTACCAAATACGCTAGGGTGAAGACAGCATTCTGAATGACAAAACTCAGCAATTTGGAAAATGGCTCCAGCAGGCTCTGCAATGAAAGGAAGATGGAGGGCATGTCAGGAAATATATGCTTCTTTCAGCAAAATGAAGGGTGTGTGGGTTGTGAAATCATTCATTATAACAAAGCCTACCCCCCCCCCTTTTTTTAACTTGAAGGATATGAAGTTGCAGCTGCCCAAACTGATTCATTCCAATGACTGTAGTCACACTTTGGGATTCCCAGTCAGCACCTTGAGAGAACTCCTGGAAAGAGTTCTGCTTGCAAGATTCGCACTGGCTGCCAATCTGCAACCGGGCCAAGTTCAAAGTGTTGGCATTAACATACAAGTCCCTGCGCTGCTCAAGACCAGGTTGCTTGAGAGACCCTTATACACCCAGCAGATTGCAGGAGAGTTTCTGGGGGAGAGTTTCTCCTGCAACTCCAAACATCTCCAAACATCTATGATCTCAGAAGCCCACTCCACAATAATACCAGCTCCTCGGCCTGAAAGCGAGATGAGAGCCACAACCCCATAGTCACCTTTGACTGGACTTAACTGTCCAGGGGTCCTTTACCTTTAGCTTAAATGGCCTTTTACTTTGAGTGTCCATTTGCCAGGGTTTTTGCCTTGTTTTACATCATAGAACTGGAAGGACCACGAGGGTCATCTAGTCCAAACCCCTGCAATGAAGGAATATTTTGCCCAACGTGGGGTTTGAACCCACAACCCTATATTACTAGTTATTTTTGTCCTTTTAACTGCTTTTAATTATATCATGTGTAAATCCCATTGAGACAGTGGTTTACTAGGCAATTAATAAATCAACAACGAAGTGTTCCAGGAAAGATCAGAACCCTATTCCCCTGGGGTATTCGTAAGTTGAGCAAGGAAACTCCCATAGGCTCCCTGTGAACCATACTCTGTGAACCGCGCTGAGATCTTATGATGAAGGGCGGGGTATAAATCTAATAAATAAAATGAATAATAAATAACCATGTGGGTGAGCACAAATGCACATGGATAAAAGCATCTCACTCTCTTTGAGATCAAAGCTATTGAAACAGTCATAGGAATCAGGCTATTTGTTTATCTAACCAAGTATTTTCTACTCTGCCAGGCAGTGGCTTCCCAGGGTCTCCTGCAGAGAGTTTTTCTTATTACCTGCTACTTGGCTCTTTAAACTGGAAAACCCCAGGGAATGGCTGTGAGGCCTTCTGCATGCTCTGCTCTACTTAGAGTTGCCTGGTTGACCTCACTTCTGGAAAACCAGTCCACACAAACATGATGATCTTTTGCTGTCCAACACACCGGGCAACAGCTTTCAGGTGCAGCTAAAAGTCACAAGCCGACTGCTGCAGACAAAAAGTTGGCCATCGAATTGCCTCAAACGCAACATTTTTCAATGACGTTGGCTCACACCGTCAGCCATGTGCCATTAAGTCATGCGCTTGCCTCCCTTAATTAAACCAGACATGAAAGTCCCAAGAAATGCAGCCTCTGCTATTCAATATTTTTAATTAACCAAATCCTGTACTTGCTCTCATCTCGGTTTGGTTTGTCCCAAACTGCAAAGCTCTAGGTAAATCTACTGGTGCCGCTTTAAAAAAAGAAGAGAAAGAAATCCAACTCCTTAAGAAGACATAAACTCCCACCCACATAGTGAATGTAATCCCTCCCACACATTAATGCAACCTAGATTCGGAGAACTCCTATCCTGCTTGACACGGCACAATTGCACTTGGCTATAATACTCTTCCTGCTAAGAGATAAGGAAGAAACCTGAAATGATGAGGAAGACGGGAGGTTTTATATAAATATATAAAACCTTGAGCACTTACTCTGGCAGCACTGCTGGTGGGTATCTTCAGCAAGCAGATCATTATTCTGAGACTAGAATCTAAAGAACACTGGGGAGAAAACGAGGGAGGACACAGAAGAAAGAGTTAGTGCCTTTCCTTAAAATGTAATTTAGCCCTGCCAGGTATAAAGGATGCTAAAGAAAAGGCAGCCGTACAGAAGTGCAGAAGCACACAATGTGAGACTGTCTGAGAGGCAGTTGTCTGAGTTAAGAGTGGGCTTTTGGGCTGGAGGTACCACTTTGTAGCACTTCCACTCCTGCATAGATAGCCAGCTCTAGCAGGTGGTGCATGGCAGTGCCTGCTACTTACTAGATCAGGGTTTCCCAAACTTGGGTTTCCAGCTGTTTTGGGACTCCAGTTCCCATCATCCCTGACCACTGTTCCTGCTAGCTAGGGATGATGGGAGTGGTAGTCAAAAAACAGCTGGAAACCCAAGTTTGGGAAACACTGTACTAGATGATGGGTAAGTTGAGCAGAACGTCTGGCTAACACAGATTTGCCAGCGTGCAAGTCCTCCTTGACCAAACCCTGTATGAATTAAGAGAGAGAGAGAGAGAGAGAGAGAGAGAGAGAGAGAGAGAGAGAGAAATCTCCACTCAGATTGGATAGGTGCTTGCCAAGTCAGACCACTGGCCCATCTAGCTTCACATTATCTACAATGACTGGCAACAGCTGTCTGAGGTTTTAGGTGGGCGGTTTTCTCAGCAGCACCTGGGGATGCCAAGGACTGAATCTGGGATTGCAAGCACTGTACCTTAAGTGGCAAAACGCAGGGCAGTTTCGTAAAGAACGTCTGGAACTGGTTACTGATCGTGGTCCAGAGGTTGCTGGGGGAATCCATCGGCAAAGCTTCCATGAACGTAGCAATGTTCTCCAAGCAGCGTAGCATCCCGCCCCCTGCTGGTAAATTCTTCTTGGTGTTTAGGCCCTAAGAAAATAAGTACATGGACAATTCAAACCCTGCTTGCAAAAAAACTAAGACGGTGAGGAGCATTTTTGAAAAGTGCAGACAATAGGGACTGATTTCCTATTCCCTCCAACAAATAAATTACAAACTACCTTGTATCTCAACCTTTCCTAACCTACAGCACTTCAACTTGCATCCATTCCAACCAGTACACCTGTGCCAGCTATAGCTGGTGAGAGTTGGCGTTCAAAACATCTGGAGGGCATCAGGTTGAGAAAGGCTGGTGTATGTTCTACATCACAGGAATGGGGAGAAGCAAATATGTAGGTGGTGCCTAACCTACCTCACAGGGTTGTTGTAAAGGTGAAAGAGTGAACTACATACACCACCTTGAGCTCCTTGGAGGGAGAGGTGGAGTATAAATGTAATGATAAGAAATGAAATTGATCTGGAGATACGTACGTGTGTGTGTGTGTGTGTGTGTGTGTGTGTGTGTAGTAAGCATGAGTTAGAAGAACGGCTATAATGAAAGGTCTTTCTAATCCAGCAACCAGGAACATCCCTCTGGAAATGCCACAACCAAGGAATAAAGACATCCTTCCCCTGATTTTTGACCCCCAGCGACAGGTATTCAGTGCCACGCTGCATTTGGACACAGATTTTTTTTTTTACCTATACTAGCAATGGGGCAACACGTAATCATGTCTGCCTGTTTGATCAAGGGAAATCCATTTGTGCAAGGAGACTTTGGGTTTCTCTCCTCCCATTTCCAGCCTCTGTGTACCCCTGTCCCACAAATCTGCTGCTGAGGGTCCCCAACCAAAGTGTTGGGGATGCAGTGGAGAGGAAAGGAAGCTGTTGGGCAGAGGAACGGTGTCCCTCGGGAGGTTGTGGACTCTCCTTCCATGGGGGTTTTTAAGCAGAGGTTGGATGGCCATCTGTCATGGATGCTTTAGTTGAGATTCCTGCACTGTAGGAGACTGGACTAGATGCCTCTTGGGGTCCCTTCCAACTCTACAAATCTCTGATTCTATGAAAAGCCCCGTTGTGTAAATGAATTATTTTATTTATTACCTGTTCTTCACCCTAAGGCCCCAGGGTGGGTTGCAACAACTTAAAACACAACTTTAAAACAGTTTAAAACAAATTACAATCACAAGAATAGGGTGAGAACAAAACAAAACAAAAAATACACCTCAAGTGTCTAAGGCCAGCTAGTAGCCAAAGGCTACTAGTCTTGATGGCTATGTTCTGCTTGAACTGTCGGAAGCATCATGTCTCTGAACACTAGTTACTGGCAATCACAGGTGGGCAGAGAGCTGTTGCGCTCAAGTCTATCTTTCTGTAATCCCACAGGTATCTGATCAGCCACTGCGAGAATAGGATGCTGGACTAGATGGGCCATTGGCCTGATCCAGCAGAACTCTTCTTTAGTTCTCAGTGCTGTGAGAGAAGACACACATTTTGTGTTTGCCCTACACAAAATGGAACTGTCTGAGCAGTTTCAGCTCTGCCCCAGTAAAAGCAAAACTCGAGAGTAGAAAAGTTTAGGGTGTGAGATGAGATGTAAAATACATCCAGTGGAAAGAAAACAGTGATGGTGAAAGATACACAGATGGTAGACTAACCTCCAGGAGCTGGCTCAAAGCAGCTATGGAACTCAGTTCACTGAAATCCATGAGAGATGTAGCCAAGGTCCGTAGAAAACTTCCATCTGCAAATGACAACGTTTGGGGTTGTTGTTGTTTTCCAAAGAATTTTCAGCATGGAGGTTGTGGAGAGGAAGGGAAACAAATCTCAGACATTTGCACATTACCTTTGATGTTGCTCTGGAACAGCTGGGGAAGTATGCCATTGGGAGCCAGTTGGTGGAAAATACAGCGGAGAAATTGCTTGGCCACGCCTGCAGCATTCCCTGGGATCATCATGCTGAGGAACAAAACGAAGGAATAAAGAGGGAGGGAGATGCCATGATTCTTCAAGCATATCTCACCATGGAAAAACCAAACATCATCCACTTTGATATGTTCAGTAGGAATTTCATTTCAAATACATTGTGGCGAGAAAAGAGTAAGAGTTAACTGGGGGGGGGGCTGAATGAACACTCATTCGCTGCATGTGATTCGAATGTCTTCGCTCAAATTAGTGCTTTTCCCCCAGCTTGCATATCTTCCTGTTACATAAAAATGTAAGGCTGTCATCACACAGCAGTTCATGCGGCTGCCAACGGATGGTGCTGCAAACTACAGCATGATGACAAGCAAGGGAGAGGAAACCAAATATGTTTGCTGTGGGTTTTTTGTTCTGTTTTTTTCCTTCCTTAATTCAAAATTACCTCCACCAAACAGGGGATATTTATACACTTGTTTGTGGTCTGTATAGAGGGGAAGAACTTGTTTTGATTGTACTGTACCTTTCTGCTTGATTAGAAAAATTGGTGCTTGAAGCCAACCTGGCGGAGAAGGAGGCAAACAAAAACAATTTATTTTTATTAAAGTAAAATAGTCGAAATGACTGGTGCAATCAAATCAAATCCCAGATAAAATGACTTCACAATCATGAAGACTATCTTTGGTCAATATCTGGCTTGCAAAATCTGACATACTTTTGCTAAACCATTATCATAGAATCGTAGAGTTGGGAGGTACCACAAGGATCATCTAGTCCAACCCCCTGCAATGCAGGAATCTTCCACTCTATGTGGGGCTCGAACCCATGACCCTGAGATTAAGAGTCTCATGCTCTCTCAACTGAGCTATGCAGAACAGCTTGGCCACTGTTGCAAAACTGTCGGAACTTCTATTCACTTTCCCTTCTTGTGACAAAGAGGAAGTGATGAAAGCATGTGCACTTAGCATACAAATGGGCTCAGGTCCAATCCCTTCCAACTTCACAGGCAAGTGAAAATATAAATTATGGAGAAAGCAAAAGGTGAGGACATGACATGGGGACAGGACATTTTCAGCTGGGAGCCCACTGTCCTCTGCAAGAAGTAGTTTTCCCCAGATAGCTCTCACTGTGAGGCTGAGCATCAAAACTTCATCAGTTATCTGATGTTTACAGCAGTTCCCGGGCCGAATCCCTCAGCAGCAATCTCTAACCAATTTTCAGGTTCCTCCATGCCACTTATCATGAAGGTCAGAAGTGTGGCCCCCCAGGGACAGGGAACTATTTGCCATGCTGCCTGGGGATTTTGGAGTCCAACATCTAGAGGACATGAACCTCTCCATCCTGGATATTAGCAACAATCTTTAACTACCTTTCAAATTCCTCCATGCCACTTCTTATCACGCACGGTGTCCAGATGTTGTTGGACTCCATCTCCCACCAGCCCCAGTCGGTGTGGATGAGAGTCAGGGGTTATGGGAGTTGTAGTCCAACAACACTTGAGTTCCCCATCCCTAATATAAGCGTTCCCATACATTCAGGATTACCAAGTGACGGCGACGATAGTCAGCTCCCTCATGGTTGCAAACCATTTCTGCACAGAAGGGAGGGAAGCAAGAGGCATAGCTCAGTGACAGAGCATCTGCTTTGCATGCAGAAGTTCCCAGATTCAATCCCTGACATTTCTAGATAGGGCTGGGGGAGAGTCCTGCCTGAAACCCTGGAGAGCTTCTATTTAAAAAGCTAATGCTATTCTAGGCTGCATCAACAGATGTATAGCGTCTAAATCAAGGGAAGTAAAATAGTAAAATAGAGCAGTAAAATAGCACTGCTCTATTCTGCCTTGGTCAGACCAGAATACTGTGTCTAATTCTGGGCACCACAGTTTAAGAAGCTGGAAAGTTGACAAGCTGGAAGGTGTGCAGAGGAGGGTGACCAAGATGATCAAGAGGATCAAGGATCTGAGGAATGGTTGAAGGAGCTGGGTATGTTTAGCAGGGAGAAGAGGAAATGAAAAGGAGAGATGATTGTTGTTGTTGTTGTTTAGTCATGTCTGACTCTTCATGACCCCATGGACCAGAGCACGCCAGGCACTCCTGTCTTCCACTGCCTCCCGCAGTTTGGTCAAACTCATGTTCGTAGCTTCGAGAACACTGTCCAACCATCTCGTCCTCTGTCGTCCCCTTCTCCTTGTGTCCTCCATCTTTCCCAACATCAGGCTGTTCTCCAGGGAGTCTTCTCTTCTCATGAGGTGGCTGAAGTATTGGAGCCTCAGCTTCAGGATATGTCCTTCCAGTGAGCACTCAGGGCTGATTTCCTTAAGAATGGATGCGTTTGATCTTCTTGCAGTCCATGGGACTCTCAAGAGTCTCCTCCAGCACCATAATTCAAAAGCATCAATTCTTCGGCGATCAGCCTTCTTTATGGTTCAGCTCTCACTTCCATACATCACTACTGGGAAAACCATAGCTTTAACTATATGGACCTTTGTCAGCAAGGTGATGTCTCTGCTTTTTAAGATGCTGTCTAGGTTTGTCATTGCTTTTCTCCCAAGAAGCAGGCGTCTTTTAATTTCGTGGCTGTCACCATCTGCAGTGATCAAGGAGCCCAAGAAAGTAGCCACCTTTAAACATCTCAAGGGCTGTCACATGGAAGATGGAGCAAGCTTGTTTTCTCCTGCTCTGGAGCGTAGGACTCCAAACCAATGGCTTCAAGTTACAAGAAAGAAGATTCCGACTAAACATCAGGAAGAACTTTCTAAGAGCTGTTCGACAGTGGAATGGTCTCCCTCAGGAGGTTGTGGACTCTGCTTCCTTGGAGGTTCTTAAGCAGAGGCTGGATGGCCATCTGTCATGGATTTCTTTAGCTGAGATTCCTACATTGCAGGGGATTGGACTAGATGACCCTTGTGATCCCTTCCATCTCTACCTTTCTATGATTCTATGTCAATGAAGGTGATACTAAGCAAGGTGGACCATTAGTCTGAGTCAGTATAAAGCAGCAGGGCAAGGCAAGGCAAGGCAAGGCAAGGCAAGGCAAGGCAAGGCAAGGCAAGGCAAGGCAAGGCAAGTCTCTTACCTTCCTACAGACTGCATGATATCCAGCAACAAAGGAGCAGCCAGATCTGGGCTGAGGTGAATAAATGTGGAAAGAACCACAATGGCCAGACCTAATGTTTCTTCATCATACTCTTCCAAGATGGCTCCACAATCATGGCACCTATAAGAAAATTATGAAGAGGAAGTCTGGGGATTAAAAGAGGACATTACATCCCTACAGTGATTAAAGCCATGACTGATGGATCTGTGGGTTGGCTTGCAGGAAAGGAAGGAAGACATTTATTCAGCATTAGCTGCTGTGGGCACTGACTGGCAGGCTGCTCCTGCAATGCCAAGAGACATCTTTGAAAACTTTGCCAAGGCTGTGTGTGTGTGTGTGTGTGTGTGTGTGTAATGTGTGATCTTAAGGGACATGTCAGATGCAGGAGAGATGAGGCAGAATATCGCAGGGCACAGAAAGAGACAAACAACATTGGGAAACCAGTACATCTCGGCCCAATGGGCATGCTTGGGTAATTTGATCAACCACTCACTAATGTCTCCAACAGATTGTGATATTTGAACTTAATGGGATTGTACAGGCAATTTTCCTCTTCCCTCTCAGCGGCAGCAGGAGAAAATGCCAGCAAGGTCATGAAAGTCAATCTCATTTAGCCCAGTTTACTACCTGCTGCCAAAGCTTTCTGGAAGCAGGCAGACTGACCGGCTGATACAAAATTAACCTCGCGAGAGATTTGGTCATTTGCAAAAATAAAATGAAAATCTTAATTCTACTTCCTTTTATTCCCTTTGTAATGCTACAGTCAGCCACTGGTACCTGATTAATGCATTCAGAGGAGTAATGAGGAATGGTCAGAGCACAAGGTGAGATACCATTCCCAACACATTTTTGTCTGAGTACTTTGCCTCTGGGCACCTCCAGGGGTGGCCACATGTCCTGTTTTACACAAGACAGTCCTCTATTTGAAGGCGTACTTTGTTTCGAGGGTTCTTCAATCCCAGCCCAGTTTAAAGATAAAGAAGGAGGAAGAACAGCTGTATTGAAGATGCCCATCAAGGCTTAGTGCTGGGATAGCACACTGAACAGGTCCGTCTTTTTCACTATTGCGAGATGTACTACAGTTCTATTTACACTACAGTAATTATGTCTAAATGTGCATGGATTTAAGCATTGTGAATTTTATGCCAACCTGTTCCCCAGTCCTCTTTTTTGGCTGTGTGCAATTCATCATCCTAGCATCTGCCCAGTTGCCACTGCTTCCATGACAGGGCCTTTTCAGTGGCAGCTCCCCATTGTGGAATGCTTTCCCTGGTCAGGCGCATCTGTCCCCCTCATTATTGACTTATTATTATTAATAAATTAATAAATTTGTATGCCGCTCTTCATCCGCAGATCTCAGGGGGGTTCACAACATAAAAAATACAGCATAAAAACAAACAGAAAAGCATACTTACAGTATGAATTTCAAAACCTTCCTGTTTACCCAGGCATTTTATATTGTCAACTACCCTGTGATCCTCAGATGAAGGGTGGAATAATAATAATAATAATAATAATAATAATAATAATAAGACTGAATGGCACTGTTCCTGGCAATTCTGAGATCTCTGGCTGAAACAATGATTTTCATGGTTTTAAGAATATTTTTAACTTAATTTAATTGTGATTTTGATTGATGTGTTTGGCACCCAGGGCTCCTTTTTGGGGGTGGGGGGGAAGGAAAGATACACATTGAATAAATATTCAAATAACTCAATAAATAAACCTGTTATTTCCCCATAATGTCCCTTTAAAAATAGGACTCCTGTCAAAAATTGCATTGCAGTCTTTTCTTGTTATTTCCCCCTCCCTTTGCCCCATCCCACCCAAATCATCAAAATGAGAAACATCATACTCCTATCGGGGAAAAGGGAGGTTTTTCTTGCCTTGAGGGAGCTTTTTTTCAAAATAATAATAATCCCCAGTTCTCATCTAGTCTAAATCTTGTTACAAGTGCCTTCTATTTTGGCCTTCCAACTTTCTTTACTTGAAAAGTTCAAGAAAGTCTTCTAAAGATACTTCCAGTTTTGTTTGGGTTACAAAGTTTGCTGCTGCTGCTGCTGCTGCTGCTGCTGCTGCTGCTGCTGCTGCTGCTGTTTATAAATCAACTCTATGTCTATGGTTGGTCTTAAATGACAAACCACTAAATACGTAAGTGGCTACCTGTTAACCTCTGGGCTAAGTTCTAAGCTGGTTTCAGTGTATAAAGCCCAATACGGGGTGGGACTGGGATACCTGAAAAATCATCTCTCCCCTTATATAGCCAGTCAGACCACTGCACTCTGCAGCTGAAGGTCTTCTGTAGATATCAGGAGGTCTGTTTCACCCAATGTAGGAATCAGGCACAAAACTACTCTTAGGAATTTCCTCCCCTTGAGTATTAGATGGGCGTCATCTCTGTTGCCTCTTCAGCACTTACTGAAGACTTTCTTCTTTTAACAAGCTTTTTTAATAGAGACCTTTCCCAGTCTGAACCTGCACTGGAATAGCTTTGTAAATGTTTTGACTGTTTCATCATTTGTGTGTTTGCCATCATTTGCGTGTGCAATTAGAATGAAGAAATGAAGATGCTTACTTGTCAGTCATCATGGTCGGTTGGTCATCAATAAAATCTTCGGGTGCTGGTACAAACATACTGACTATACTGGGTGCTGACAGCAAGCTAGATTTTGTGGCACCTAGAGAGAGAAGGGGGAGAGAAAGAGAGAAAGAGGAAGGAAGGAAGGAAGGAAGGAAGGAAGGAAGGAAGGAAGGAAGGAAGGATCCTTGAATATTAATGGGATTAAAAAACAAAAGTAACTGTTTTGTACGTGAAAGTAGATTTCTCTTTTGACCAATGGATCTTATTGACAATACCTTCTGCTGATGTAAATTTTATCAAAAGTGATGAGATGTTTCTAAAGTAATCAAATATCTGCTAGAGGATATTTCTCCAGAGAAATCTGAAGGATTGTCCCCAATGAAGAGCCGCGCTAGAATCACAGATAGCAGTGTGTTTGGAGAACCCCTTCGATCATACTTGGTCTCTTGTTCTTCTATGATATTCTCTATCAAAGTCAAAGACACCAAAAGAAGAAACCAAGAGGATGTCCCAGTTTTGCATTCACAATCCTGTTCCGGTCCCTTCTTTAGAGGAAAGAGGCGCACTGCAGAACAGAGCTGGCCAGCCAGAGATTCTTTCAATGGGTTGGTTCTTTATGTGATGTTAGATGAAATACTTCTCACCTTTAAGGAAGGTTGGGGACTGAAAGTGTCCATTCATCAAGACCTGGCAAACAGTTTCACTTAGACAGAGGAGGCGAAATGGAATCTTAGCATTGCACGGCTAGCATCTGTCAGAGGCAAAACAGGCTGATATGAAAGTAAACTCATCATCTATATATGCTGGGTGATTTGGGGCTTAGAAAGAGTACAATTGAAAGAGGGTCACTACAGCGCCTTTTTCACATAGAAACATGGGGAAGCCATGTAAACCTGGGGGGGGGGGAGTCAGAGGTTAAGGAGAGTGGGTCACAGAGCTAAGACGAAAGCACAGACAGGTAGTGAACTACTGGGCAATTAATAATTTTTTGGGGGGGCGGGGTTAACATGTCCAAAGAAGCCTGGCAATCCATGGTAGTTATACAGATGTGATTTCTGCAGCTGCCATTACATAAACTCTTTCCTATGGTAAATAAGTTACTGCAACATCATTTGGAATCAGAGTTAGATCCTGCCGTGCTAAAATGGACTAGGAAGCCAGCCACAAACTTCCTCCATCAAGTCCAAGAATGGATATCTTCAATGGTCCTTTTGAGCTTAACTTGATGGACTCTTGGTCTTCAGAACTCTTCAACAATGATAACACAGAATGAAAGCTGTACTGATTACATGTGCTTGGCCTAACTCTTTCTTTGTGACTTAAGCGATTGAATGGCTTCCCTAGCACAAAATTCTGAGGCAGCTGAGGCTGGTGTGTGCAGTTAGAAGCCAGCAGATAACATGAAGCTGCAGGTCTGCATATCAGCAGGGGGCGAGGGGAGGTCACCAACTTTAACCAGAACATCGTAATAAGAATGCACAATTTCCCTATCCCCTATCGTACTGTGCTGTAACATGAAATAAGGATAGCTCAGAATTCATTACAGGGGCTAGATTAGCGAGACGCCTGAGAGACAAAGCAATTTCAGAGTCAGCTTGCTGCTCTTTTGCAAAGAAACAGTTGCCAAACTTTGCTAGAGATCATAAACAAGAAAAAACCGATTGCGCTGAAAGAAGAACATTGTGAGAGCTCCAAGTTGCCCACTTCAAACCTGGGCTGGGGAGATATCTAGTCTTGTAATCCAAGGCTCTGTGCAAAATGGTCGATGAGGTCAGCTCAGAGACTGCCAGAACCACCATCATATTCAGCTCTAACTAAGCACCTTGGTTGTGAAGCTGCGGAGGTGAAACCAAGGCTGAATGGACACTGAACTAACCTCTTATTCTTAGTGGTGGTCCCTCCAGGTCAGGGTTTAGGCAAACTGAGACATTGCACGGCCTCTTCCCATGCTGTATCTGTTCTGTGGATAAACAGAGAACTTCAGTCCCCTCTAGTCTCTGTTGAGAGTCTGCCACCAGCACCACAAAGACACCACACACGAGCACAACAGCTAGCGACAAACAGCTAATGCAAGGCAACTAGAAAAAAAGACAACTCCTATTGGAAAGAGAAGAAGGCAGACCAGGTCAGACCATTTGTCCATTTAGCTCAGTGTTGTGAACTGGCAGTCTTCCCCAGCCCTGCCTTGAGATTGAACCTGAGATTGCATTCACTGTATCTCAGACAGAAGTCTTTCATATATTTGAAGTGGCGGTACCAGGAATTGAGCCTGGTACCTTCTGCATGTGAAGTATGTATCACCCACTGAGCGATATCCCCTCCCTAGATGCTGAGCCCACTTCCTAACTTAAATATATATTTTAAAGAAGGCAGAGAATGTGCTGAAATAGCAACAGCTGGGGTCAAGCACAAAGACCTACTGGTTTTTTTTGAGGGGCGGTCTAATGTTCCTCAGATCTTTAGATTTGGGCACCACATCATTCCTACCAAACTCTAGAAGAGCTGAAGTGGTTAGAGGATTTAGAATATATATTAAATTGGGAACTATATACAGAAAGAAATGGAATGTGTTAAGAGCTGTAGTAGAAGGCAATGTCAAGCACACAGCAAAACAAGATCAAAGATGCTCACCACAATGGCATAGGATGCTTTAGGTTTACATGGCGAATTTGCATTGCAGAATCCAAGGATGAAATGAAGTGTGAGAAAGGCGAACTCAAAAGTCACCTCCACAAAATGGAAGCTTTCCCCCCTAATTAAAGACATTTGCGGGGCGGAAAGAAAATGGAAAAGAATGGCTGTTATGTACTGAGTTCAATAGGATCCAAACTGCAGCAGGCTGATTGGTCCTAGAACAATAGGATCCAAAAGGCAGCAGTCTGATTGGTCCTAGAACAATAGGATTCAGAATGCAGCAGTCTGATTGGTCCTAGAACAATGCAGCAGTATGATTGGTTGGCAGGAACCACCCAATCCTGCTCCAGATAGAAGTGAATCCACAACCTGATTGGCTTACAGTAGAATTCTGGAATTAGCCAATCATGGGCAGCCTATTGTGTAAATAATGTATATAAAGCAGATACTGTGAGGGGACATTCATTCATTCCTCCTCACCACTATGAGCTGAATAAAGAGCATGAAATCACTTTGCGACTCTGAGTATATTTCACTGGCGACGAGGATGGGATCCCGCTGAGCTGACTGCCACACACAGCACCGCAGCACCGCCACCTGCCGCACCGCTGCCTCGCACCGTGTATCCAGGCTTCAGCTCCGGGACACAAGGAACTCAGAATGGCAGCCAACAGCAGCTTCTCGCCATTCAATCCAGCATCTGGAGACTGGGAAGCATACGCCTCCCGTTTCACCTTCCTCCTAGAAGCCCAAGGGGTCACCGACGAAGAAGACGCCAAGAAGAGGGCGATATTCTTCAGCGTCTGCGGAGAGGAGACGTTTGAAGTCGCCCGGGCTCTCCTTGCGCCTGAAGATGTCGCTACTGTTCCATACAAAACAATAATGGAACAGCTGAAGGGGCACTTTTCGCCGCAGCCCTCAGTGGTCGCTCGTCGAAATGCCTTCTACGCAAGCCCCTGGGGAAACCATAACTGGGTTTGTGACCTCTCTCCGCCAAGCCGCCCGGTTCTGCAACTTCTCAGAGCTGGAGAACATGCTTCGTGACCGCCTCGTCGGTGGCCTGAAGGATGAGAAGCTGCAACGACACCTCTACGCTAAGAAGGACCTAACGTTCCAGGTCGCTCTGGAGGAGGCCCTGGCAACGGAAGCTGCCGAGAGGTCGACGCAAGAGGCACGGCCGAGCCTGCCATCCCAACCGAGGGTCCACCACGAAGACCTCACCGACGACTCAGGATCTGACAGGGAGGAGGTGCACCGAGTACAGCAGCGCACTCAAGCAGTGCACAGACCACAGCGGCCTCGACGAGAAGGAGGAAACTGCGCAAGCTGCGGGGAGAGTCACGAGAGGAGGACCTGCCGTTTCCGCAACGCAGAGTGCAGGCAGTGCAGAAAATTGGGACACATCACCCGGGTGTGTCGGGCTCAGCCCACCCGACACCAGGCATCAGATGACCAATCCAAGAGCCCCAGGTCCCGGGGCCCAACGCACCAAGGCAACTTGACGGAGCTCACGGACTGCCAGGTATACCAGTTGCCCCACCCCAACGTAGAGAAAATTTATGTAGAGGTACAGATAGAGGGGGCCCCATGCCGCATGGAGCTTGACACGGGTTCAACTCTATCCATAATCTCGGCAAGGACCTTAAGGAAACTGTGTCCTACTGGGGGTCCCAAACTCAGGCCGGCCCCATTCACCCTACGGGACTTCCAGAAACGTAAGGTCCCCACAATGGGGGTGGGGACCTTCAGGGTGCAATACCGAGGGCGGACGCGGCAACTGGACTTGCTTGTGGTCAAGGGCCCCTACATTAGCTTACTGGGATTGGCATGGTTTGGACCACTGGGGCTAGCTGTCACCGGGGTGAACCACACTACCTTACAAGTGGACGTGGACGCCATATGCAAGGAATTTCCAGGGGTTTTCGACGGGAAATTGGGACAGTATACGGGCCCCCCCATTGCGCTACAGCTGGACCCCGCAGTACGACCGGTCAGGCTCAAGGCCCGCCGGGTCCCGTTCGCCTTGAAACCCCGTATAGACGAGGAATTGGACCGACTCGTGGAGCAAGGAGTGCTGGAGCCGGTGCCTAATGCCCCCTGGGAAACCCCAATCGTCATACCCGTCAAGCCTAATGGTTCGGTCCGCATCTGCGCAGACTACAAATGTACCATAAACAAGGCCCTCACGGCCCACGCATACCCAGTGCCAGTGGTCAGCCATGTCCTTGCCACCCTGGCTGGGTCGAAAATTTTTGGCAAGCTGGACTTGGCCCAAGCATATCAACAGCTGCCAGTAGATGAGGCCACAGCAGAGGCACAGACGATTGTGACGCACAGAGGAGCGTTCAGGGTAAAGCGGCTGCAATTCGGTGTCAGTGTGGCACCAGGCATGTTCCAGAATCTAATGGACTCGCTCCTTAAAGGGATTCCTGGCGTCACCCCCTTCTTCGATGATGTGTTGATTGCCGGGCCCACACCAGAGGAGTTTGAGGACCGCCTCCGCACCGTTCTGCACCGTTTCCAGACGGCGGGTCTCAAGGTAAAGCGGGAAAAATGTCTACTAGGAGTGCCTCAGGTGGACTTTCTGGGATTTATGGTGGACGCAGAAGGGGTCCACCCGACTGGGGACAAGGTACGGGCCATTTGTGATGCCCCAGCACCCAAGAGCAAGACTGAACTTCAGGCCTTCTTGGGACTATTGAACTTTTACCATTCCTTCCTTCCCCACAAGGCGGCAGTAGCAGAGCCCCTACACAGACTCCTGGACAAGCGGGCCCCTTGGGTGTGGGGCCAGCGCCAGGAGGCCGCATTCCAGGCAGTCAAGGACTTGCTTGTCTCAAACTCAGTCTTGGCACACTTTGACGAGAGGCTGCCAGTGGTGCTAGCATGCGACGCCTCACCCTATGGCATTGGCGCTGTCCTGGGGCACCAACTCCCGGATGGAAGAGAGGTACCGGTGGCATACTTTTCCCAGACACTCAACGCAACCGAGCGGAACTACTCGCAAATTGACAAGGAGGGTCTGGCAATCGTGAAGGGAGTAAAAAAATTCCATGATTTCTTGTACGGGCGGCCCTTCACCGTGGTGACTGACCACAAGCCGTTGCTTGGCTTGTTCGCCCCCGAAAAGCAGACCCCCCAAGTGCTGTCTCCTCGCGTCCTCAGGTGGTCAATTTTCCTTGCCAGCTACCAGTATGCACTGATTCACCAACCTGGGAAGGCGATGGGCCATGCGGACGCCCTCAGCAGGCTACCACTACCGGAAACAGGCCCTGACCCAGCACCTGCACAAGAGGTTATGAGCCTGGAGCTGCTTCCCGACCGCCCCATTCAGGCACAAGAAGTTGCACACCATTCCAAGAAAGATAGGGTCATCTCCCGGGTCCTGGACTGGGTGTGGAGGGGATGGCCCAGCAGCAGCCCCGGGCCAGAATTCGCCAGCTACACAACCCGCAAACATGAACTGTCGGCCCACAAGGGGTGCCTGTTATGGGGAAGCAGAGTCGTTGTTCCCCAGCCCCTCCGCAAAAGGGTCCTCACAGCCCTACACGAGACACATCCAGGGGTAGTAAGAATGAAGGCCCTGGCCAGGAGTTATGTGTGGTGGCCGGGGATCGATGGAGAGATAGAGGCCTGGGTCAAACACTGCCAGGCCTGCCAAGAATCCCGCCCAGATCCCCCAAGGGCCCCAGTCCAGTCCTGGGAGTCCGCCCGAGCACCATGGTCACGCCTGCATGTGGACTTCGCTGGCCCCTTTCAGGGGAAAACATTCTTCATAGTGGTGGACTCCTACACCAAATGGCTGGAAGTCGCACTGGTACCATCCACTTCCACGTCCGCAGCCATCCGGGTTCTACGCAGGCTGTTTGCAACCCACGGGCTCCCTGACACTCTTGTCTCAGACAACGGGACTGCATTTACGTCAGGAGAATTCCAAACCTTCACAGCGCAGAACGCCATCCGCCACATCCGTTCGGCGCCGTTCCACCCTGCCACCAATGGCCAAGCAGAACGCATGGTGAGGACTACCAAGGAAACCCTTCACCGCATGACGCAAGGGGACTGGGAGTACCGCCTTGCCACATTCCTTCTAGCACAGCACAGCACCCCCAGCTCAACGACTGGCCGGAGCCCCGCTGAACTACTAATGGGTCGGCGCCTTGCAATCAGATTGGACCGCCTTCACCCCGATAGAGCTCAGGATGAGGTAGTGGTGGGGGAAGGCAGGAACCCCCGGACCTTCGAGGCCCAGGACCCAGTGTACGCAAAGAATTTTGGGGCAGGCCCAGCATGGGTACCTGCCACAGTCACCCGGGTCACTGGCCCCGTGTCGTACGAGGTGCTAACGGATGGGGGGCAATGCTGGCGCCGCCACTGCGACCAGATACGGCGACGATTCCCGGGAGAAAACCAGGAGGAGGACAGGTCAGAGGAGTCCCAACGGAACAGTAGGGCAGTGAGGCCCATAGAGCAGGAGGGGCCAGCAGGAGAGGCAGAATCAGTAAATACAGAGAGGACCCGTGAGGCCGAAAGGACACCGGAACCAGAACCACGACTGAGCGAGCCGGTTGCACCAGACCAAACAGCCCCATCACAGCCAGCATCCTTGGAACACGAGCCAGAACCTGGAGCCCGGACCAGGGAACACCCTAGGCCGCAACGCACACGTAGGCCGCCGGCGTACCTCGAGGATTATGAATGCGACCTCCCGGGCAGGACTGGAACTTAGAGGGGAGGGGTGTTATGTACTGAGTTCAATAGGATCCAAACTGCAGCAGGCTGATTGGTCCTAGAACAATAGGATCCAAAAGGCAGCAGTCTGATTGGTCCTAGAACAATAGGATTCAGAATGCAGCAGTCTGATTGGTCCTAGAACAATGCAGCAGTATGATTGGTTGGCAGGAACCACCCAATCCTGCTCCAGATAGAAGTGAATCCACAACCTGATTGGCTTACAGTAGAATTCTGGAATTAGCCAATCATGGGCAGCCTATTGTGTAAATAATGTATATAAAGCAGATACTGTGAGGGGACATTCATTCATTCCTCCTCACCACTATGAGCTGAATAAAGAGCATGAAATCACTTTGCGACTCTGAGTATATTTCAATGGCAAACTGTGGCAAACTGCACCAATTCTGAAACAAGTTTAGAAATTATCTATGTTAAAATCAGAGGTAAAGCAGAGCAGAAGACATGTGGTAGCCAAGAAGTAAAGAAAACTAGTTTTCTTCTTTTCTAGGTGAAATGAGCAGGGGGGAGGGGATTTCCCACATTTTCCAGAAGGTCCATCTGGGTTTGGAATACTGCAATCTCACCACTGCCAATCTTGTAAGGCTGTGTTAGGGCTCCTGAAGCCTGTAAGGCACAGCTTGGCCCATGCTGCTGTCCCCATGCACTCCTCAAGTACAGCTCCCATATTGCCAGAACTGCTAACTCTTCAGGGACGGCAGGAAGAATGGGGGAAAGATGGGCAGTGCAGTTAAGGTTAGTGACATCATTGGCACACTGCGGGGCCTAACAGCAGAAATGGGACTGTATAATATAGCAAGCAAGACAGCAGAAAAATTAATCTGGTAAATCTGGGACTGTTCATGAACAGGAATCTTTAGTCCAATCCCAGGGTGAGTTATCCGAAACAATGCTGATCTCAGAACCACAGGCGTCCAAGAAGGAACAGAACACTAAACTGATTCTGAATTAAATGGCCGTTTCTGATCCATGTGCATCAACTAATCTGGTGACAGAAACATTTCCCTTGCTTTCCATCTTGGGAATTCTCCTGGCATTTCCCGCTTCATTGCAGAAGTTCCCCAAATGCATAATTTTGGAAGATAACTGCAGTGAAGCATCTGGTCCCTGTAATTTGCCAGGATCTATCATTCTGTAAAATCATCAGCCGAGTGGGACATCCTGGAGGATTCTACAGAATTATAGAGGGGTGGGAAAGAGAGCCAAAGGCTTAATAAATGTTTAGTGTGGTTAGCAAAGATATGTTAATAGACACACACACACTGAAAACCGAATGTCTTCATTTTGTTTTTAAACAACAATAAGGGAAGTGGGAGGACAGAAGTCTTGATTATAAAAACGGCCACAATTTGTATGAACTAGTGGTCCAGCCTGACCCGATCCGGGGTGAGGAACTTGCTGCTCTTCAGATGCTGTTGGACTCCAACTCCCATCAGCCCCAGCTAGCATGGTCAGTGACTGAGGATGATGGGAGTTGTAGTCCAGCAATGGCTGGAGGGCCACAGGTTCCACCATCCCTCCTGCAGGGTATCATGTTCTACTTTGACCACCCGCTGGTTGTAAGTGGCATAGCTGCCTCCTGTGTGGGAATAAATTGAGCTACTATGAAACCAATGATGAAGCTCAACCAGAGGGAGAAGAGGCGAGTCTTTCTTTCCCCAAGGAAATAACGTTTGCTATGGGCACACAAGTAAAATCCTTGAGGAATACTTCTCTGAGTTCTTGCCTTTCCGTTTCCAAGGACCAAACTAGACATGGGGGGGAGAGCTGCATGAAAACGATCCCACACACTTCTAAAGGCAAGCTACCAACCCAGCAAAATGGGAAAGGGACAAAGTGGTATTGTTTTCCTGGTCAAGGAAATAGTAGCTTTGGGGGATGATTTTCCCCGGAAAGTTATGCAGCAGGGAAAGGGTTAACTCGCCTCCCCCAGCATTGTGGGCTGATCCAAATCTCTGTGTCTTTCACATCCACACAGAAGACACACCCACACTATATACTTAGCACACACTTATCCTGCTTTAGCAGTCACAGAGACTCCGGAGAACTGCAGCTTGTTAAGGATTTTAGGACTTTAACATCAGCATTCTTAACAAACAACGGTTCCCAGGATTCTCTGTGAGTGTTAAAGTGGTATAAGAGTGACCACACACACACACACACACACACACACGGCCCTATTTGTTCTAATTAGAAGGATCTCATACACCATGCCTAGTTGCACCAGTGGTCATCAAGAGAGAGGTCTGAAATCAGGACTGGCCCAGGGAATTTGGCTGTTGGAAGTAGGTAAGGTAAAGGACCCCTGGATGGTTTAAGTCCAGTCAAAGGTGACTATGGGGTGTGGTGCTCATCTTGCTTCAGGCTGAGGGAGCTGGTGTTTGTCCAAAGACAGCTTTCCAGGTCATGTGGCCAGTATGACTAAACCAGTTCTGGCACAACAGAACACCATGACAGAAACCAGAGTGCACGGAAATGCCGCTTACCTTCCCGCCGCAGAGGTATCTATTTATCTACTTGCACTGGTGTGTTTTTGAACTGCTAGGTTGGCAGGAGCTGGGACAGAGCAATCATAGTTCACATCGTCTTATGGACTCAAACTGCCAACCTATGGCAAGCCCAAGAGGCTCAGTGGCTTAAAGAATAGGATCACATCTCCTCCCCACTCCACGTATAGAAACTGACTGAACTGTCAGATTAATCTTAATTCAACACTGGTGTCAAGATAGAATTCTTGACCACACCTGCAGTAGCAGGCCAGGTTAGGGGGCCAAGGACAGGCCATTTGAAAACAGAGAGGAATAGCTAGGAAGTTGAGGTGGAAGACTTGCAGGCTACTGTGCCCCAGCATCTGTGGTTGCCTCATTCTGCCTAATGGTAGGGCTGCCCCTGCCTAATAGAGAAGCAGAGATATATGAAAGCAAAAGCAGGCTCTTCAGTATCCATTGATCCAGCCATGCACATCCTCAGTTTAGATCAAACCGGTGTTCAATCTATGATGTTTGAAGATTTCACAGAAGAAAAACAGTGGCTTCCCTATCAACAAGATCGTAGTCTTTCCGTTGACTTGGTTTTAAGCCAGGCTTCTTTCCAAAGAATCATAGAATTGTAGAGTTGCAAGAGGATCACCTAGTCCAATGCCCTGCAATGCAGGAATATTCAGCTCTCCCATACGGGGATCGAACCTGCAGCCTTGGAGTTATCAGCACCGTGCTCTAGCCAACTGAGCTATGCAGTGGAAGATTCTACAACACCAGCAATTCAACACAGCAAGCAGACGCAGCCATTGATTAGCCTATGGGACCAGAACGATGGTAGAGAAAGGAAAGGGAAAAGAGAGGCACAGAGGAACACAGGGATGGAGGGTGGAAATACTTACCAGTGTCCCATGTGCTGATATTATGAGGGGCACTAGACTGGTGTTCCAGCTGCCTCTTCATTAGCTGGTTCATAGTGAGAGCTCCCAGAGAACCCCTCTTCATTTGTCGGAACTGGGCTGCAAGTCAGAAATAGAAGAGTTTCAGGATGGAGATTTTCACTGGGCACATACTATAAAGTGAACTGATCTAACCCACACCTCCCCTACTAACACATAGTTCAGAATGTAATCATCCTTCTACTTTTTGCACACCTCTGTTTTCTACAATACAGTCCTTGGCTAAAAAATAACATAAAAGAATACCTATTTTAGGATAAAATGCATTCTGAAATGAGTTCACTGAGATGAAATACATGTTTAAATATGATTTTGGAACTGGTTATGCAGTAAGATTGAGATGCAGAATAAGGAACCACGGAGAAGAAGGGAGGGAAGTCAAAGAAAATGTTGATGTTTGTTTAGATTTAATTTTTGTTGTAGAAACATTGTAAAATGAAAAATTGGATTTTATTTTATTTTTAAAGAAAACAAGTCTACTCCATCTTTTGCAAGATAGTCCTTTGGGAATATTTGAAGAAACTGATCGCCGGATCCAGTGAGATGTGTGTGTGTGTGTGTGTGTGTGTGTGTGTGTTCTCACCATTCAGTGTTCCATGTGGAAAGGGAGGAGTATGGCTTATAGACAAATTCAGCAAAGAGAAGGCTATAAATGACCACCAATGGCTACCAGCCATGATGCCTATGTTTTCCCTCCAATACTGGAATCAGTACGTCTCTGAATAACAGTTTCTGAGGATCTTGGGTAGAAGAGTGCTACTGCACTCATGCTCTCCTTCTGATCTCCCCATAGGAATCAGGTTGGCTGTTGTGGTGTGAAAACAGGAAGCTAGATAGGTTTTTGGTCTGATCCAGTAGAACATAAAACATTTTTTTAAAAAAACCAGAAGAACGTAAGAAACTGTGAACATGTTCCGAAATCTGACCCATGACTGCCTCAACTCACTCTGGGGACTCAGCTACATTAGTGAAAATAAAACGTTATAAATGCGTTATAACGCTGTGACACCATATGGCGCTGTAGAGCTGAAATAGGAACTCTATGAAATTTCCCATTGTGAGCTTTAAAATGTGTTTTTTCCCCCCAGAGCATTTTTTATAGTTGCGTAGCTTCAGCCTTGATGTATCCCAGGTCAAACCAAATCAGCCTGATTGGGTTTGGAATCTAGGATTTACCAGGAGCCGATGCAAAGTCCTAATGAAAATAAAATTTGAAGAGATTGTATGGTTTTGTTTGGAAGGATTTGGTTTTTGGATCCAAAGCAAGCATTAGTACCAGTCCATGTCATCTGCTGGTGAATGTCAGACTGAACCCATTTCAAAAGTATTTCAGTGCAGAGTGTTGCCCTCGGACGCCCTTGTGTACATTTTGCTTCTTTCAATACCCCAGACAACATCCTGTCTGACCTGCTGGAATTGATGCAAATTCTGGTTCCATTTGATTTAATAGGATTTGATATAATAGGATTCTGTGCTTTTAAAAGGGAAGTGTGCTGCAGAAAGAAGTCTTTCACATCCAGTTGGGAACAACATAACTTCCATCATCTCCAGTGCAATGGTTTAAAATGAAAGCCTTATCAGTTTATCAAACACTGAATTTCCCAATGAAAGAACAGCAATTAAAATTTCAGAGCAGACATTATTGCTTGGGGCACAGATGAGAGTTGAAAACATAGGAAATTGGCTGTTTTGAAATGGATCCTTTGCTTTTATAATGGAAATTAAAGCTTCTCTCAGGCATATTATTCATTATCAGAACACTGATTTCGGTTTCTGGAAGTTACTTATCTGATGTCTCAAGGACAGCTTTGACTATTAATACTGGAGTGTTGTTTTTATAATGGGGTTGGGAATGAAAGGATTCTCTAATATTTGAGGTGCAGGTGGGCCAATACAGCACAATATCCATGTTTCTGACTATATGAGTTTTCGCACATAATACTTTATGCATGTCCATGCTATCAATGGCTTTATAAAATTAATCTGGCATTCTCTGGTGGAACCATTTTAAAGTGGCCATACATGGCCCAGAAAACTTGGAACAGTTATTTATTTATTTCATAGAATTTATTCACTGCTTAGCAGTAAAGAAGCTCAAAGCGGTTTACAAAAGATAAAGCAGTAAAATCAAGAAAAATTTACAAGCCTACTTTAAAACATAAAAAAGTAAACCAATAAACCAGATCAAAATTGCCTCAGTTGTGACAAGAGAGGGAAACTGGATCCCACCGGATCCTTATCTCTCCCACCCCACCCCTGAGGGCTGCGTTTGACAGGTGTGCCAAGCTGTCAATCACCTGATGTCACAATGATGTTAGGTGACCAATCTTCCCCTGCACAGCTAAACGTCAGCGCTTGCGAAGAAACATGTATGGGGCATTTGCAATGCCCGACAATCAGCTGAGTATTTGGATCATTCCACATCAAGTGATCCAACTTTTTTACTTTTTGTCATCCAATTTTCTTAATATTTTGTACACTTGTTGAATGATCAAAACTAAAACAAAAAAAATTCCTTCCAGTAGCACCTTAAAGACCAACTAAGTTAGTTCTTGGTATGAGCTTTCGTGTGCATGCACACTTCTTCAGATATCTGTGTATCTGAAGAAGTGTGCATGCACACGAAAGCTCATACCAAGAACTAACTTAGTTGGTCTTTAAGGTGCTACTGGAAGGAATTTTTTTTGTTTTGACTATGGCAGACCAACACGGCTACCCATCTGTGATCAAAACTAAGTTTAAATATAAAATTTTAATTTTTTATCCCATCCTGTTTGTGAGTTATGAGGGTTTGAAATTTTTAAAAATTGAAAATTTTGGCCTTGCTGGACTACACTAAAACCTTAAAAGCTCAGCCCATAATTGAGATGCGTCAAAACTAAAAACACCAATCTCTTCAGAACTTCATGGAATTTAATATGATATGTCAGATGATGGACTTACTTTAAATGCCTTATTGGCTTCTATTTAGGATAAATGGGTCTTCTTGGAGTAAAATATAACAGAATAAACAAGACTTCAAACTGTAATATCAGCTACTTCAAGCATGTCTTTAGAAAGCTGTATCTGAAAAGCTAGTCAGGCTCTTCTTTTAAAAAGGTGTTTGAAGTGATAGCTTGCTATTGCATGATAGAATAAATATTTTGAAAGAATTCTTGTTAGTACTTCATTTCATGAACATTACAACAAAATGAATAACAAACAAAATCATGGAGAAAAAACCTTGCACATGAAATGGGTCTGAAAACATTTATTTTTCCATTATTTATACTTTACACCAAACACTGAGCTTTTAATGTTTTTGTGTAAGGCCAAAATTGTCATTGTTTTTGAAATTTCAAACCCCCATAACTCACAAACGGGATGAGATAAAAAGTTAAAATTTTAGAATTAAACTTAGTTTTGGTCATTCAACAAGTGTACAAAATATTAAGAAAATTGGATGACAAAAAAGTTAAAAAGTTGGATCACTTGATATGGAATGACCCATCCATGCTTGCCAGATAGCTTGTATAGGAGTTTGGCAATCCCTGATGATCTGCTGATTGCCACACACCATGCCATAAACAGCATACACAATGTATTAGGTGGAATTGCTTGCAAAAAAAATAATAATATGTGTATGTTGATGAATTTTCATGAGGACTTCATAAAAGAAAAAAGCTAACCAATGTGGAAATATGGGAAACTTATGACTGGAAAAACAGGAAGCTGAAAGAAACTGATTTATCCATTCCCTCCTAGTATGCCTTGCTCTTACAGACTGCCAACGCCACTCCCATTCTCACGGAGTCAATTAATCGGCCTGCGCACAAGGCACATAAAGGACCAGTCAAATGTAAATTAGTGGAGGAAGGTGATGCGCCAGATGGCAAAACTGTCCTAAGAAGCCCTCAAGTTCCTCTCCTCAAAGCCAGGGGAAAACTTACTTGACATGGAAGAATGGCTACTCATCTCTGGTACACCTGCTTCAAGTGTCGGCGCAGATGATGATTCCCTTGGCATTTCGAGGGTTGAAAGGACTTTAGCTGAAGCATCTGCAAAGAGAAACAGCGCTTGAAGCTCAGATTCTCTTTTTGGCCTTCAAAAAAACCCCCAAACCCCAGGGAACGCTTGTTCATCAACCACCCTTTCTCAGTCTAATTCCCACCCCCCACTTCACCCCAATACACCACTTGGCTCTACAAGCGATGGTTTGGAATAAACGAGACACTTTGACAGAAGAAAGGCTCCCGCTTATTACAAATGACTTCGAAATGAGATTTGTGCATAAGGAAAACATCCTGAAGTGTTTGGCTTTTACTTTATGCGAGCACTTGGCATTCACTTCTAGGAGGACGATAAATGCACCTGACTCACGGAAGCTTCTGCACAAGGACCTACCTCCCACCCCTTCATTGGCAGAGATCCTAAAAGGGGCATAATAGAAGGGTGCAAATTGCGCCTCTTTGGGGAACTCAGAAATATACAAAACCCTGTTTCAAGATGCCTCTCCCAATATTACAGTATGCCCATGAGCTGAAATACGGCGGGGAGGCCATTGCGGTTATAGCACCTTTAACAGAGATCCAATTGGTCAGAAACCAGAACAGGGTCTTCTCTAAAGTGGCACCCCAGCTCCGGAATTCTCACCCTCATTTCTGCTCGCCAGACAGAACTATCGCCTCTCCTTGCACATGCCGTCCTGGAAATTCTCCCAACTCCACAGAGTTGTTTTGGAGTGCATGAAGGGACATGGGGGGGGGGGGCGAGCAAGGGGAAAGCCCATTATGGTTGAGCAGAGGTTCCCAAACTTATTTGGCCTACCACCTGGTGGTAAGTGTCATTGCACAACAGATGGAAGATGTACAAATATTTTTTCTTCATTTTTTCCTTCTCTTCTCTGATTCCTTTATGCTTCCACCACCCCCTTATTTTTATTCAACGCCGCCACCCCAATTGCACCCAAGGCTACTACCACCCCCCACCATGGATTGTCCCAGCATCCCCCGGGGGCAGTATCGCCCACCTTGGGGAATGCTGTGCTATGTTAGTTTCTGTTTGTGCCACTGTGCTGCTGCTTAGAGTCACAAGACTCTGTTTACATTCCAGAGACAGTCCAGGCTGTTGGAAGTCTCACGGGAGACGGATGTGACGTTACTGGTTTCCTGTTCCTTTGTTTGTTTCAGTTGCTCTCTGCCTTTCACAGAGAGAGGATGTATTTTCTGTCTGCGTAGCTTAGCGATAAAACTCTTTGCAATGTAGCCATAAATCTCATCACTTCTGCATGCTGCTTTGATTCTCTGCTGGGTGGGAATGTGCCTGGGGCCTCATCAAAGGCTCAGGTCGGTAATCACGTTGGAGGCAATTCCAAAGGACTCGGCCGGAGGAAGATGAGCCTTATAATCTCAGTCGAACGCAGATTCCGACATGCTAGAGGGACCCTCCTGCTAGTGTAACTGAGGATGTGACTCTGCAGAGGAACAGGCAATGCTACTCAGAGTGGTGCTGGCTTGATTCTCAATGGTGACAGAACCTAGGAAAACTAGGACAGGGTCTGAAAATTTTATTTCTGTGTGTGCATGTGCACATGTGCGTGTGTGTCATGTGCCTCCACCTTCCCTGCCAGTTTTCACCTTTTCCTTCTCAAATTAAGGGGGAATCCTTAGGAAAGAGGTGAGGGAAATGGACAAAGCCCATTGTGAGCTATACTCAGATTTGAGGGGGTCTGAGCCTGGCTCAAATTGAGATGAGGCCTTTCATAGTAGGGGAGCTCTTACTTCAAATTCCCCCAATTGCGAATTCACCCCATTACTGCTGGGAAGAGCAGTGTAAGAAATTCTCTTTCCTCTAGCACAGTAGCAGGAAGAGAACATTTATTTTTCAGGTGGTTTGACCCACAGCTTCTGCTTACCTGACTCTTTCTGCTCCCCCAGCTTGTCTAAGATGTTGAAGGAAATATCAAGGTACTCTCTCTGAATGGCGCTCACTGCAATCTTCCTCTGCTTCCTCTGCCTTGGAACAATCTGGATCTTAAATTCCGACTCTTCGGCTTCCTCCTCCTGCTTCTGTTCTGTGCTTTGCTCCGTATCAGATTCTGCACCGGCGTCCGGCTTATCGCTTTCCGTTTGGACCTCAGAGTCCTCGGGAGCCTTGATGAAGACGCTTTTCCCACTTGAACTGGGAAAGGGCCCGATCGGCTTAATCTCCTCTATGCATAAATCAAAGTTATCATCAATGGACATCTCTGGAAGAGCAAAGGACTTCTGCAGCATATCTCGTTTCTGCTTCAGCGTGAGGGGGCTGCCGGGGGGTGCCTCGTGGACTTCTTCTGGCTTAGCCAGCTGATCAACATCTTTCTGACCTTCCAGAGGAATGGAGGTGGCTTCCTCTTCTGCGAATGAAACGATATGGCTTGATGCAGAAGGGAGCACATCTTTGGAGCAATCTTCAATGCTGAACTGCACAAGAGGGGTCGTGCTGAGGCTGAGCACAGAGAGGCCAGTGGGACTTGATGGAGATGAGGGAGCCATCTTGCCGGAGATGCTGTCATTCCGCTGGCTTGGGAGGTCAGCATCTTCCTCGTCACTTTCCACTATCCTGAGAGGAGGGAGCGGTTCAAAGACCAATGAGTCGCTGTCTGAATTGGAGACCACCGACTGCTTTTCAGGTCCTGAAGTTGAATCAGAGGAGAGGTCTATAAGGTCCAAGTCCTCCTTTGGAGGAGAGCATTTGGCTGGGGAATCCACTTTCACTTCGTATGGCTCCATGCAGTTTAACCTGACTTCTGGTATGATAGGCCTCCGCCTTGCTAGGGTTCTTTCTGGGATGGCAGGCGGGTTCTCCTTCTCCCCTCCGTCTCCATCTTCCGTCTTGGTGGAGGAATTTTGCCGCGGCCGCCCGTACTCATTCTGCCTCAGTGCTGCGGAAGTGGCGGGAGGCTTCTCTAAGTCGCAGTGGTCTATGCACGACTTCCGGCGGTGTTCATCCAATGTAAACAAGAGGGAGTCGGCATTTCCTATGTCAAGCGATTTTTGTTTTAGTGAGCGTAGTTTCTTCTTCTGAATGCTTTCTTCTCTCACACAGCGCAGAATGTTGTCTTGCAATACTCCTGTTTCTCTATATTCAGCAAGTTCTATTTCACCTGGTTGAAACAGGGGGAAAGAGCTAGTACCATGCAAGTCACTGGCATTTCCACCATTCCCCCCTTGCATTCCATCATTAGGCACTATCACATTTTAGATGCAAATCCTAGCGTGGATTTCAAAATTAATTTAGAGGCATGCAAAATTAGTTCCACACAAGACACAACAAAAACTTTCTGGCAGTAAGAGCTGTTTGACAGTGGAACAGTCTCCGTTGGGAGGTTTTGGACTCTCCTTCCTTGGAGGTTTTTAAGCAGAGCTTGGATGGTCATCTCTCATGGATGCTGTAGCTGAGATTCCTGCATTGCAGTGGGTTGGACTAGATGACCCATGGGGTCCCTCCCAACTCTACAATTCTATGACTCTGTGATAACACAGTGCTGGCTCAAGACTGGCCCAAAATGAGGTTTTCTATAATCTAAAACATGGGAAGATACTTTTAAAATCAGTTAACAAACAGTACATTGAGAAAAACTCGGTACTGAAAGAAAGAAAATCAATAGTGAGCTTTTGACTGAATCTGGCTCCAGTCCAGCTGTTACAACAAGAGGGAACTTCTAAGGTGCAATATATTTATGATTGATTCAGCCAACAGGTTTCAATTACAGTCTTCACCAGGAGCACTGTAAAACCACATGTTCTGTTGCAAAATGACCAGGCAGGCTAAGCAGCTTCTCGAGCGCTTTGTTTGATGAAGCACTGAAACTGAAATGCATAGGGCTGAATAAATTAGAATTGCCCTTCAGATGTTTTTGGACTCCAACTCTCATCAGCCCCAGCCAGCATGGCCAATGATCAGGGATGATGGGAGATGTGGTCCACCTACATCTGGAGAGTCAGTGGTGCCTTGCCTTCCTTTCTCCTCAATCCACTAGTTGCACACCCCAACAGCTAATAGTGTCAGGTGTAAATGCAAGGTCAATAGCACCCCGATGAGCATTGTATGGAGCATCCAGACGGGAAAAAACTGACAAGGACAGGACAGGACAGCACTCTCAAACACCTGAAAGACTGTTACATCACCTTGAATGTCATCTAGTCAACCCTCTGCTTAAGTGCAGCATCTGCAACTACAGAATCCCTAACAGATGAACACCCAGCTCTGAGGGACTTCTGGCAGTTCCCTCACCTTGAGAAGTGATGTTACAGGGAACTAGGCAGAGGGCCTTCTTGGTAGTGGCACCCGTCCAGTGGAATGTCCTTCCATCAGATGTCAAGTAGACCTTTAGAAGACATCTGAAGTCAGCCCTATATAGGGACGTTCTTAATGTTTAATGTTTTATTATGTTTTTGTATATGCTAGAACAGTGTTTCCCAACCTTGTGCCTCCAGATGTTTTTGGCCTACAACTCCCATCATCCCTGACTAGCAAGACCAGTGGCAAGGGATGATGGGAATTGTAGGCCAAAAACAGCTGGAGGCACAAGGTTGGGAAACACTGTGCTAGAAGCCACCCAGAGTGGCTGGGCAACCCAGTCCGATGAGCAAGGTACAATTATAAGCCACAGCAGCAGCTTAAATACCACCAGCAAAGGACAGCCCAACACCTTGTTAGGCAATGTGCTCCACTAGCCATGATGGCTATGTTCTACCTCCACTGTTGCAGGCAGTATGTCTCTGAATTGCTGGAATCACAAGGGGAGAGAATGCTGATGCAAATGAGGTCCTGCTTTCAAGCTCCCCATAAGCACTGGTTTCACTGGTTGGCCACTGTGAAAACGGGATGCTGGACTAGATGGGACTTTGACCTGCTCCAGCAGCCAGGTTCTTCTAATGCTCCCTTCTCCTAGTTTAAAAAAATACCCACCACTTCCAGCCATTCCTCAACTGTGTTTCCAGAGCCAATACTATCCTGGTTTCTCACCTCTGGCCAAAGACTGGATCTTTGTTGCCCAGAAGGGCTGGACAATATCTAATGAGTTGCAAAAGTTTAACAATGAGGCACAGTTTAACAATAGAGCCAGTGCCCTAGACTAGCTCATCATCATTGGCGATCTTCAAGCAGAGATTGGAGAGCTACCTGTTGGGGATTTCCTACATCAATCTCTGGCTTTCCTGCATCAAACTACAAAACTACTCTATGATTCGATGGCACACATTTCCCCATGCTTCCTTTAACTCCTCGTGATTTATTCTCAGAGCTCCACAATCCTTCTTTGTGCTCATCATGTTGCATACGATGTGGTGTCTTGTACACATGTCTGTTTGGTTAACACCATTTTTATAAGGTATAAAAAAGAAAAATGTACAGCATAAAAGATGTTCGGTTACATTTAAAATTAGTTGCTCTCTTTTTTTTTATGACATACTTCTCTGAGCATTCATCTCAACTGGCTGGTATTTCACCATTTTGCTGCCCCCAATTCTTTTCAGCCTCGCAAAGAAAGTTTGAGACTCTTTATTGCCGTTTCCAGTGGGTGTATCATGAATGTCAGACTCATCAAAGACGCTGTCTTCCTCCGCTGGAGAGAGAAATACAAGCATTGGTTCTGTGGCAAAAGGCAACATATCGCACGTGAAACAGTTTGGCGATCAAAACTTCATGCACTGATCTTCTATTTCAGTTTAATTGTTTTAAAAATAAAGGTCAAATAATGGCAGACAGCATAAGTTCTATCACAACAGTATTTCACTGAGCACACAGCAAGTATGCCAACACTACGGTGAGTTGAGAATTAATATGTGATTGGAGGGCCATCTGCTTCCGAGAGCAGTTTGGGAAGGAGAGATCCCTAGTGGTCATTAAGAAAGCTGTTGGAGTTAGCATAGTCAGAAGTGCCGACTCTCTGTTGTATAACATCCCGAAACAACAAGTTTTGGTTTTCTTTATAGGAACTGGCCTATCCTTTGGTGGAAGTTTGAGAAAAACTCTTAAATTCCATTTCAAGGTCATAGTCCTGGTACTAAGAGGACTACCACTTCCCTTTGATATAAAGGCCTTCTTGGATACCAATACCTGAAACCAACAAATATTTCAGTTTTTGTTCCACTGTCCAAGCAAGCTGGGTAGCCACTTGCATTCTGGACAGTGTCACAGTTTCTAGCCATGGTGCAGTGCAGAGTGACCCAAGCAGCTGCCAGGCAAAGTAGACAGCACTGGACTAAATTGATGGATGTTCTAACACAGTAAAAAGGAGCTTCATCTAACCCCTGTTCCAGCAAACTCAGGTAGGAAAGATGTAACCAATGCACCACTGCCCTCTGAAGCTAGAAGAACTGGTGGGTGTTTCACTCAGTTCAGATGCCACTATCTGTTGCAGCCAGCTTCCCCCACCCCACCCCCTCCAAACTACTAAAGGTCTACAGCAGAAAAGAATAACTTATGGCCCTCCAGATGTTGGTGATCTTACTCCCATCTTCCCTGACCATTGTCCATGTTGACTGGGGATGATGAGAACTAACAACATCTGGAGAGCAACACATTCCTCACTCCAAAATCATGTCATTGTTCTTGTTTTAAAAAAACCTGTTGACCAAGGTTCCATTAAATTCAGATAGCATAACACCTAGCCTAGAAAGGGTCCATGGTGTGTCCTGAATGTGTGAATTCAGTTAGTGACAGATGTTCTTTTATTTTTCCTTCCTTAAAGGCAAGAATTGTGAGGCAAGCAGGCAGACCATGTAAGAAAAGGTACTGCTGCAGGCCAGCATCTATTTTTACTCTTTTTCCACTTTGTCCTCCTAGGAGAGCCTCTGAGGCAAGTCTCCTGTAGATTTTATTAAAAGTGACACCAGATCTGCTTGAGGTATCAAGCTTAATTCTGGTTCTTTCCCCCCTTTTTTTAAAAAAAAGAAGTTTCGACTTTCCAAATCTCTTCAGGAAATAATGTAAATTAATTGCTGCATTAAATGTCACACTGCAGCTTGTAAAATAAAGAGTGGCATTCGGCCAAGTTTTACTCAGAGTAAATCCACTAAAATTAATGAACATGCCTAAAGGCTGCAGTCACATGGCAGTTTATTCCATTTTCACGATATATCCCAAACTGTTAATTTCCACATTATATTTGAACTTTCACACAATGTAAAAGCCACTTCCAGAACTATAGCAGAATATGGTAGAGCTATAGTGGAATGCAGCACAAGTTAGCACTCAGTTCCATATTGCTTGCAAACAGATTTTTTTTTCCTGGAAGCAAACAACACAGAAATGAGCACTCAGTTTGCACTGTGTTTCACTATAGTTCCAGAAGTGGCTTTTACATTGTGTGAAAGCTCAGTGTGGAACTTAACAGTTAGAGAAAAGTAATCAAAATAGAATAAATTGCCTCAGGAATGCAGCCTAAGTTAGGTTTCTTGATTTCAATGGGTCTACTCATAGGAAAACTTAGTTGGAACCCACCTAAGTCGTAAACCGTAGCTTAATTCAGTTTCATACTTTGAAATGTTACATATGTCATTTATCTTGCTTGAAATTCTAATCCTTCTTAAGCACTCCTCTTGTAAATTAGATTGAAAACCCCACAAATATTCTTTATATATGCAGGAGTTCCTTACGGACTTTATAACGAACATCTCATTTCCCTTTATGCATATCCATAAGCGCTTCTGAAAGAGGGTAAAGAATCATAGAAATATCATTGGTTCTCTATCTCATGCTGTTCAGAAATGTTATGCATTAGGGCTTTCTCTTTAAATGCTGTTTTTATACTTTTGGTTAAAAGTTGCTAGCAAGAAAGAGAAATGGAGCTTGTGAACCAAGGAAGCAACATTAAGCTTAGGCAACCCGTGTCTTTTATTTTATTTTTAAAAAATGATCTAATTCCTTTCCTATGTGGACTTGAAAGCCTTGTGTACAAGAAATTAGAAAAACACAGTTACAGACGGCTCTCTTCCCATGATTGTGAGCCCTTTACTTTAAGAGTAAGATTTTCACATAAGGGAGCTCTCCATAGACATTATAATGGACACAGGTAGTCACTCCTCTACCCTGTTCAGCTGAATGTGAGAAAGCTTTCTTTTGCTTTTATTGTGTGACACCTGAAGGACAGCAGGGAATTTGTATTAAATAAGAGCAGTGCTATTTTTCTAGGGAAAGGTGCTGGAACGCACCAGGAACACCTCTCTTTTCTCTTACAAATGGCAATGGTGCCTACCTGGGAGGTGCTGGAACTGAGTTCCAGCTGGAAAAAAGTGTGTTTCCTTACAATTGAAACCATGAGCCACATGGTTAAAATTTGGTAGGGCATTTGAGGGCCAGGAAATCCTCCTTCAGCTGACCCAACTCAGTCCATGGACAGCTGGCCTCTCAATCTAGGCTAAGCATGCCAGAAAACATTCTTCCTTAATCCATGCCACCCACAGCTTCCTCAGCTTCACATTCACATTGTAATATTATATAATACCTTTTTCCTTTTCGCTGTAGCGGCTTATGTTGCTGTTGTCGCTGTACATAGGGCCTGCTGAGGCGTGAGGCTTGCAGCTGTGGTACTGTGCATTTAGAGTGTTGACGGTTATATGAATGAGATGCAACATGATTTTGCTGATGTCACAATCTCTGTAAGGATACTGTCCAACAAGAAAAATGGAAAAGGTTGTTTTTTTGTATTGAAAACACCACTGACCTAAACAACATAATATGCAAGTGCAAAGGAGAAGGTTTTGAAACAGAAGAAAACCAAGGACAAAAATGATAGATAAAGTCAACGGTAACCTATAAACATTAAAGGAGATGTGTGATATAGTTAACAGAAGGGCCAGTGCAATATATTACAACAACAGCACACAAAATAATGTGTGGAATACTCTCATATTGTAGCCAAAAACCAGCCACTGAACAGACTAGAAATACAAATTTCCCTTTGAAGCTGAATGTAAGAATGCATTTCATGTTGAGATCTGGAGAAAATATCTCACTTCATAGCTTTATCAAAACCAACTTAGAGAGGGGAAATCTTTCATGGCCAGCAGCTGAAAATGATCCTCTTCCCAAAACATTAGTTATTTTGTAAAAATATATAAATACAAGCAATTAAATTAGCTTTATTTGGCAATATAAAATTGCCCTTATTAAATGACGTGACTCACCCAAAGTCTAGTTCGCTTTAGTTATTTTATCAAGTATACGGCTCACCTCCAATCTGGTTTACAGTTCCCCTTGACTGCCAGTGGTTTTTGTAACACCACCCAGCTAGTCATGTATTGCTATTATTTTGTGCACCGTTTTCATTCACAGGCTTCTACACTCTCACTCCACAGCCTGCTGAGCAGCAATATTTCCATGAGTAAAGCCTTATGGTTCTTGTGACGTTTAATTGATAAGATCCAACATAGCAGAAGCAAGTGTCCATTCATGCAATGGGGCTTCTCCTTCCTCTCCTCCCCCTGCAGCTTCCAAGGGGCATTGGCAATTTGGGGGGCAAGTAGGGGGCTGGAGAGCAGGGGGGAAGAGACACCAGAAGTCCTGTTGCACAAGCAGATTTCAGTTGTGCAAGTGGATAAAAATCAGTGAACGTTGCTCAATTTTCATCAATGCAGTTGAATATTAAGGGAATATAGTATTAGACACTGGTGAACTACAGGGATAGGAAACAAATAAGAATGCTTTAAATGTAGTGAGGGGTTTTCTATGCATATAACCCTGTCTGTCATCTCACAAAAGCAATGATATTTACTTACTTCTTATTTTAAATATTTCTACACTGCCTCAAAACATTTAGGAGGCTGTTCACTAGTGATGCTTCTTTCGTCATTTGAGAGCCCCACGGAAAACAGTTCCGAGTTAAATAAACCACACAGGACAGGGCTGGAGGTATCAGCCATGCTCTCGATTGCGCCTTTGTCTTTTACCACTATACTTACCCAGGATCCATGCCGGTTGCTGTAGGAAAGACTCAGGCAAGCAACACAGAAGCATTTACCTTATAGAGGATGACAAGCAGCGCCTTCAGCCACATCTGCCGAATGTGGGGCTTCAGGGACCAGAGGGAGCAGCGGGGCGGCTGCTGGAAGTAATGCCTGAGCTGAGGGCATGAGCAGTACTTCAGCACCTGAGCCACTAAAGGGAGGAGGTGTTTCCCCAGGTTAATATTATAGTCCATCACCTAGAAATGAACACACAATTTAGAATTTAGAGCATTTACTAAAATTACATTTTTTAGAAAATAATAGCAACAAAGGCATCAGGAAGAAGAAGAAAAACACTGGCAATGATTCAAGAAAATGACTGCAAGCTTTAAATTGGTAGATCAGCAGGCCTCAGAACCAGGGTCCAAATGCAACCCTATCCAGGCCTCTCTTCCTCACTCTTTGGCCTCTTCCACGCCAGTGGCAGAGCGTGTATTTATGGTGCCCGGGGCACACATGCTAGCAGGGAGTGGGGCACGGAAGGCGAATGAAGCCCACCATGTGCCAGCACAGCCTGCACAGCCAAGGCAACACCAGCTCCAAGCTGCTTTGAGAGGCTGGAACAAGCCCAGCCTCGCAAAATTGGCATAGGGCACTGGCTGATCAGATATCAGATACCAGCCTTGCGAAGTGGCTTGAGGAGGGTGGCGTGAGAAGGACGCCTTGCACCCTTTGATCTCAGCCCCTCGAGAACAAACCTGGGGTCCAAGGCGCCATTCTCACGCCACCCTCCCCAAGCTGTTTTGCGAGGCTGGGAACTGATCAGATCCCAGCCTCGCAAAGTGCTGCAGGACTGGCACCCAGGACAATCGCCCCGGCAACCCCCTAACCCATGCTATGCCCCTGCCCCAGGCCACACCCCTCACCAGCCTTGCTTCACACCCTTCTTGAGTGTTTTTACTTAGCTAGAATGGGTCCTTGAGCTCTGCTCATGACTTTTGCTTGTGAGTGTGTGTAGAAAGCAGCCTCCTGCATAAAGGAAGATTTGCAGTCACCACTCTGCCCACTTTTGCCTCTGGCTCCATCTGCCATAGGCTGAAAAAAGGTTCCCTGCCCGCTCCATAGTAGAGCAGCCAACCAAAGCTTTAGGCTAGGTATGGGAATCCTGTGGCCCACCAGATGCCGTTAGACTCCAGCTCCCATGAGCTCCAGGTAACATAGTCAATGGCAATGGATGATGGGAATTATAGTCCAACAATATTTGATTCACCCCATTCTTGCCCAGCTTTCGGCAACCCTGTGCACACTAACCAGAAAGACAGGCCCGTGGAAAGCAATTCTAATTAGGAATGGATGTTAGAATTCCTGCTCCATGACTGCAGTCATAGGATTGTTGCCTATCACATGATGGTATATGTTTTGACTCCACAGAGTGAGAAGTGACGGAAACAGGATGTTTGTGTTACTGTGTTCCGTGAAGTGGGACTATTGTCCTTTGTTCTTTTTCTCTTTGCTGTCTGATGCTAGAGAGAGAGAGAGCCATGTTGCAGTGCTCCGTGTATGTTTATATGCAAATAAAGTAGATTAGCCAAAATGCTGAGTTGCTGGGTCTGTCATGTGAACTGCGCAAACTCTGGATCCCTAAGTGTGCCAGTGTCGGTTGGCATCGGTTGCTGTGATGTTTGGGCTGAAGAAAGCTTTTGAAGCTCCCGAACGATCGACCAGGAGGGAGGGAACATGCCAGTCAGGCATGTGTCTCTGCCAGGGTCCTACTCGAGTGTAGGCTGAGCTCCTGACAATGGGTTGTGTGTTTATTGATCAGGAAGAGCCAGTTTTAATTGGCGGGGCTGAGTGTTAATGGAAATTCAAAGCTGCGTTCTCATGATCACCTGGAAAATGTCCAGAGAGACAAGCTGCCGTTTTCCTTAGCCTCTTGCGTGGTGTCAGAATGGGAAGTCATCTTCCGTGACACTGTCACTTTGATACTTGTCACTTCATAGTTTGCTGCAGGCAATTTCCCCCCTCAAAGCTCGTTGCTTAGCTCGCCCGGATAAAATATGAATCAGCGCTCGCTATGATTGGCAAGTGTCCTTTCATGGACTGAATCTATGTGCCTGCAAATGTGTAGTGATGGGTCCCCAAACGCACACATGGTGTATGTGCCTGGCAGGAGAGCTATTCCAAGTGCAGCCATTAACTGTAAAAGACCATCAATACACACGTGGCACATTTGCAGAATTAAAGTACAGGGAAAGTTCCTGCTCCATATACGCTCTGGAGCCACATGGGAGAGAAAAGAAGCAAGTGGAAGGAAGAATGAAACAAGAGCTCTAAGGAGGAACATGGTGAAAGGGGAACACACACAAAAAAATATTTTCTCCTTTCTCTCACAACACCAGAACTCATGCACATGCAATGAAGCCGAATGCTGGAAGAATCAGGACAGATAAAAGAAATGATTTCTTCATGCAATGCATCGTTAAACTATGGAACTCGCTCACACAGGAGGCAGTGATGGCCACCAGCTTGGATGGCTTTAAAAGAGGTTTAGGCAAGTTTGTGGAGAAGAGGGCCATCAATGACTGTTGAGAATTCCATTCCACCTTAAGGAACAGGCATGAGATTGTTGCATGTCACATGTCTGTTTACATTCCAGCACAGCTTGCTGGGAACTTCCCTTTGTGTATAGCTTTTGCTTTTGCTGTTCTCTCCGAGACGACATGAGAGAGAGGCAACATGTTCCTTTGTTCTGATTTATGTTTAATAAATCTGTAGCTGTAGCATGACTTACTCCTCACGCCTACTTCTGGGTGTGCAGTACACTCTGCTAATTGCGTGCCCTGGCTTTTGAAGTTTGGGTCGCTGATTTACGTCGGAGCACAAGCCGATGGAAGGAGACGTCCGAGCTGGGCTTGCCAGCTGGCCTCCCGGCCCCTCTGCATGTCGACAATGACTACCAGCCAAGCTAGCTATGTTCTCCCTCTGCTTCCAGAGGTGCTACGCCTTTGAATATCAGTTTCTGGGTATCGCAGGTAAGCAGAGTGTTGTTGCATCCATGCTTGAGGATTTCCCACAGGCATCAGGGTGCCCATGGTGAGAACAGGATGCTGAACTAGGTGGTGGTCCATTGGCCTGGTCCAGCAGGCTCTTCTTATGATGGCTTTCGGCTACCTCTGGGATTAGCAGCAGCTTGCCTCTGAATACTCGGTTCTGGGGAATGGCAGTGGGAGAGGGATGTTGCTTTCACGTCCTGCTTGTGGATTTACCACAGGCACCTGACTGGCCACTGTGTGGGACATAGGGTGCTGACATCAGGACTCTTCTTAGGCCCTCTTACTAACAGCAATCACCATCTCAACCATAAGGCATTTTATAGAAAACCAACGCAGGGAGCAGCATGGGCATGTTATCTATATTGGGACACTTTTGCCCATATTATGCTCTAGCCCAGAGGTCGGCAACCTTATCGAAGGATGAGCAGGTCGACGCTCCGTCCGTTGGAGGATGGGCTGGAATGTGTGTGCATGCGCGCTCTTCCGGGTCAGAGGAGTGCCCGTGCGCATGTGCACACGCTATTACCAGTGCTCCTCTGATCCGGAAGTGCACTGGAAATAGCATGTGCGCATGCACATGGGTGCTTTTCCATCCTGCACTCATGCGTGCACACTATTTCCGGTGCACATCGGGGTCAGAGGAGCACCTGTGTGCAAAGGTGCCATCAACCTGGAAGTCGGTCCCCACACCACGCCGGTAAGAGCAGGGGTGGAGGCAGGGGTAGCCATGGACCAGTTAGACAAGTCTTGTGGGCTGCTACTGGCCCATGGGTCTTAGGTTGCTAACCCTTGCTCTAGCCTACTTGCTTGGTGATGTTCCTTTGCTTAATGGTTAACATTCCGTCCCTGCTAGGACTTAATACTGCCCAGCCTTGACAAGAGATATCCAGGCAGGTCACAGCTACAGTCTCTTTCACAAAAACCTGTCCAACACCACCCTCTAGTGGACCAGCATCTAAATGATATTCAGGTTTATAAGGCATCTCCACCCCCTTTGAAAACAGCAGCAATATCCAAATGAATGAAAAGAACATCTTTCAGAAACCAGGTTTCTCTGAAAACGGAATTGAAAAGTTGAACTGACGATTCAAGAGGCTGATAGAAGGCCAGATTCATTCAGGTAGTGGAAACCAGTGCAAGAACACTCACTAGTGCAATGGGGCTTTCCCCCCCCCCCCATCTCCCTGCTCCCCCAGATCTGCTCCAGAACTTTGTGCAAGAGGAGGAGAAGGGAGCTTGTTCCATCTGGCAGGCAGAAACTCCTGCGCTGATGGAACCATCTCCTGAGCACTACATTGAACTCCACCCTGTCTCCAACCACATTCTTGAGTCTCTCTTGCAAATTCTGCTTTGTGAAATGAACACCGTCATCCTTTATAAGACCTACGGTGCTTCCAGACAGGGGGTTTGCTTGCAAACTGGTTGTTGCGTTATCGCAAATAGGTTACTGGCAACAGGGCATAGGAAAATCAGTGCCAAAATTTCCATGGTTTTCTGTGGAACAGTCTTCCAGGCTTAACATATTTTCCAGGCAAGGTTCAGAGCATTGTCTTGGTAGCTTGGGAGCTGAAATATGAAGTAGGCTTCATTTGATGTGGTTATAACATGCCTCCAAAACACCAGTCTTTTTTCAACAGTACCATCTTTTTTCAACAGCCTTTATTACTTGCCTGATCAGAGGAGGAAGGGGCTGACTGATTCTGTGTTGCCCAGGGGCCACAGAAACCTGGAGCTGGCCCTGAAGTCATGAACAGGTAAACCAGTGGCTTGCCCCAAATAATAATAAAAAATGCAGGGAATCGGACATGGAATATAAAGCTGACTTACTTGAGCGATCCCCGCAATAAAAGCATTGAAGCATGTTGAAATGCGCATTTTTTGAGGAGCGATCATGAAGCATCCTTCCTGCTGATCATAGCCCATTAAGACATACAGGTGGCGCTTGACCGTATTGAAGGCTTTAGCGCTGCTGATATCCGACTCTGCACTGCTCTCGTCTTTGGCCATGAACTTCATCAACACTGTGATGAGCTGGTGGACAGTCTGATGGTCAATGCCAGCGTCCTCTGGGAGCAGGTCCTTTATGGTGTTGTCATTCTCTGGAGAAGGCTGCCCTAATAGCACAGAAAAAGAACACATTGCAGTGCATAGATGGCTGATGGGGCAAGGGAGATGTAAACTAAACGTCCCCCCTGAAGGAGTCTTGGCATGTTCCTGAGATGTTTATAGGTATGGAGGCTTGGGAGTAAAGCAGTGGTGCTTGAAATAAGTTACCATAACCAATGGGGAGTGATAGACATACATACATACATACATACATACATACATAAATAATTTATACCCCCCTCATCTGGCTGGGTTTCCCCAGCCACTGTGGGCGGATTACACCACATAAAAATTGTAAAACATTCGACATTAAAAATTTCCAAATACAGGGTTGCCTTCATATGTTCTCTAAAAGTCAGATATAGTCACATCTTGGTTCTCGAACGGAATGTTGGACTTCCAGAACTGTTTGAAAACCAAGACGCGGCTTCTGATTTGCTGCAGGAGCAGCCAATTGGAAGCCACAGAAGCCGCTCCAGATGTTCGGCTTCCGAAAAACGTTTGAAAACCAAAACACTCACTTCCAGTTTTCAATTGATCGAGAGCGAAAACGTACAAGTTCTGGGGCATCCGAGAACCAAGGTACTGTGGTTATTTACTTCCTTGACATCTGATGGGGAGGCGTCCCACAGGGCAGGCGCCACTACCAAGAAGGCCCTCTGCCCGGTTCCCTGTAACCTCACTTCTTACAGTGAGGGAACCACCAGAAGGCCCTCGGAGCTGGACCTCAGTGTGCGGGCTGAACAATGGGGGTGGAGACGCTTCTTCAGGTATACTGGGCAAACTGAGGCTCATGCTTCCTTCCTGCTTTTTCTCCAAGTTTGTTAGTCCACGTATGAGCTAGCATGCTCTCATGCCTCCATATTGCAAAGGCTATACTCAGAATGGCTTTGTCTGCCAGGAGTAACAAACCTTAAGTCTCTTTCTTCTTCCAACCACCTGCCTTATTGTACTATTTAATTATTGCACTCCTCTGCACTATATTTACCAAACTGCAGCAAGGGGAACAAAGTAGGCACTGGGGTGGGTGGAATTTGATTTCTTATTTCTAACACCACGTTTTTTAAAAGGACACAATCCTTTCCATATATTTACCAGTGAACAATACTTCATTGCAGAGGGTTGGACTAGAAGACCCATGGGGTCCCTTCCAACTCTACAATCCTATGGGTCTATTCTTCTAAATCACTGTCTAGATGCTAAACATGATCATTGTGAGGACTGGACTGAACCACACCTCCTTCTCACCCTCAAAATATCTGAATATTTGCATAAACGTTCCTCTCTTGTCTTGGAACCAATCATGTACTGTACACAAACACAGCATGTACCTTGAGTTTGTTCTGGTGTCCCACCAAGTGCTGGAGCAGATTGCTCATGCCTCATCAGCCTATTTGCTAAATAAAAATAAAAATATAGGCCTGTTAATATTAGACGAAAGACAGTCTCTCTGCAGCCACACCCATATCTCAGTGACAGGGCACATGTTGTAACTATTACTGAAAAAACCTAAAGAGTTCCAGCTCAGTCAGCAGAGCATGAAACTCTCGTGGGTTCGAATCCCATGTTGGGCAAAAGATTCCTGCATTGCAGGGAGCTGGACTAGATTGCCTCATGGTCCCTTCCAACTCTTCAGTTCTATGATTATATGATGTATGTGCTTAATAAAGGTAAAGGGTAAAGGGACCCCTGACCATTAGGTCCAGTCGTGACCTACTCTGGGGTTGCGGCGCTCATCTTGCTTTATTGGCCGAGGGAGCCAGCGTTTGTCCGCAGACAGCTTCTGGGTCATGTGGCCAGCATGACTAAGCTGCTTCTGGCGAACCAGAGCAGCACACGGAAACACCCTTTACCTTCCCACCGGAGCAGTACCTATTTATCTACTTGCACTTTGATGTGCTTTCAAACTGCTAGGTGGGCAGGAGCTGGAACCAAGCAACGGGAGCTCACCCCGTCGTGGGGATTCGAACTGCCGACCTTCTGATTGGCAAGTCCTAGGCTCTGTGGTTTAACCCACAGCACCACCCGTGTCAGAAACATCTAGGACATCATGAGTTGCCAAAATGTGGTCCAAGCTTCCTTCAGGTGGTCCACAAAGTGTCTATGGATTTGTGGTTGAAGACAAGAAATGACGCATCCATCATATTAAATATTCATATTGATCTTTAACTGTTTTTTTTACTACTTCTTTAATTTTTACATTGCATTACAGTTTGATATCTATCGAGTTCAAACTGCAATACAGTAAAACATACTATATAAGAAATGAAACGGAACAAGAAAAACACAAAAATAAATCATAGCACCTTACAATAGCTACAAATAGGTAGGAACATCAGTAAGTGGTCTGCTAAGTACCTCAGCAACTTTCAAGTGGTCTGTGTGGGAAGGGGAGTTTGGGAACCAATGTAGCAGATTATATTTCATATGATCTCCCATATAATTTTAACAATACTTTGAAGAACATGCTGTGGAGTGTTCTAATAACAAGAGTTAAAAGAATTAATTAGTCAGTATTCCTTTTTGTCAAAATTTCTGTCTTATACCTACTGGAGTAATGTTTACATCCATCTGAAAGAGAAACCTATTCAGACATGAATGAAAACCAGTCTCCACCTAGAAGCAATGTGGTAACAGATTTGAATTAAGAAAGGAAAATGAAGGAGAGACAATACTCAACGGATTTTGCTTGTAAGGGTTTCTGGGAGAGAAAGTGCCCTCTTGGATTCCACCGGGCCCTTCACGCTGTCTCTCAAAGAGCGCACGCTCTTCTGTCGATTCCGGGCAAACCGAGCTCTCTTGATTTTCCACATTGCTGTATCGCTTAAGTTGGCAACATTCGTCCGGACAGCCGTAATCGCTTTTTGAATAGAATGAAACAAGTCAAGTTTAATTTCTTGGCACATTCCAGACCAATTTGTTCCAAGGGAACCCTGCACCTTCAAAGCACCATGTGCATCTTGTTGCAAAAGAAGGATTTCGGATTGTTAGCCCCACTCCTTTGGCAGATGAGCACAGACGGATACTAAACGTGGAGGTCAAATGTGCCTCAGCCAACATCTGCACAAACAACTTTATCTAATTCAGGAAACCAGTTCAGATGTTATGATCCCAGCCCACAAAAAAATCAGTCATTTTCAGCAAAGCTATCATGGTTTCTAACCTGAATTTTCTATTATTATTGTTATTATTATTATTACTACTACTACTACTACTACTACTACTACTACTAGTATTTTATACTCCACCCATCTGACTGGGTTGCCCCAGCCACCACTTGAGTGGCTTCCAACAGAATATACAAAAACACAACAGAACATCACACATTAAAACATCATACCAGAGGCAGTCTGCAGAAAATCTAAACGATTATGTTTCCAGTTGTGATGTAAATGTAATAGTCAAGTGACCATTTCATGTATCTCATAGAAGACCCTTTGATGCCCACAGGCCAATGCAGCTTTTCAATTTTTTTATTAGCCAGCCATTTTGACGATTCTCTCTATTTTTTAAAGTGGAGTTTTATGTTTCAATGTTGTACTCCACCTCAATCTTTTATGATACGGCCGTATAAAAATACTTTTATAACTAACTTTATAAATATATAAAAGGGTTATATGCGCAAGATCCTGGTTTCATACATTAATTTAGAGGGAGTTCTTAAACCAGAGTTTGCTAGTCCTGATTTCATGACAGATAAACCATGGTTTATGAACCAGGCCACTCCCTCTGTTTGTCTGGTTTTTAAGAACTTTTGGGGCAGGGAATTTCACTCCCATAAGGTAGTTCCCATAAAGGCAGAGCTGTACTTCTGGAGTCATCAACAAATTTAACAGGTGTTCTTGGGAGCTGTTCCCTCAGCAATGAAGCAGAACATATAGCAGCCCTTCTTGTTACAAACATGGGGCCTTCTACCCCCATGTTTGTAATAAGAAGGGCTTATAAAGGTGAGGAACATTTAACTGTGACAATATTATCCCCTCCACATAAACACCTGCCCACACCAAAAAGTCACGTCGGGAAGTGACACTTACTCGTTGGGAATGGGAATTCCTTGTTGCAATCCAGGTGGAGCTGTGCCTCGAGAGAGAGGGTTTCAAACCTATTCACAAAGAATTCCCAGCTCAACGCCGGAATGTCTTGCTTGAGGAAATGAAGCAGCAAAAGCTTGCTGAGGATGGTGGGCCTGTCCTTGACGACAGTATCAAACTGGAAATCAAGGCAAAGGCAAAGGCCCTAGAGAGGAGAAATGAAAAAGCAAAGGTAAAACACACAAACATTAATTGTGGTGTCACTAGGGCTCACACACACCTTCCACAGCCACTACAATTAGGTTTCAAAAAAGCCTTAGATCATAGGACTGTAGAGTTGGAAGGGACCATGAGGATCATCTAATCCAGCCTTTCTCGACCTGTGGGTCCCCAGATGTTGTTGAACTACAACTCCCATCACCCCTAGCTAGCAAGGCCAGAGCTCAGGGATGATGGGAGTTGTAGTCCACCAACATCTGGGGACCCACAGGTTTAATCCTGAGTTTAATCCAACCCACTGTGGTGAAGAAATATTTTGCCCAACATGGGGTTCAAACCCACAACCCTGAGATTAAGAGTCTCCTGCTCTACCAACTGAACTATCCCAGCTCCTTCTAAATTGAAGGTTAATTTTGAACCTAATTTCAAGTGGAGAGGGAGGCAGAGGCACACAACCTTGTGGACCTCTGCACGTGGAGGTGCAGGCATTGTGTGGGCAACCCGTGTCCTAGACCTACTCCTGGTCTCTGCCGTGGGACCTAACAGCCCCAACACATCATAGGAAATCAGCTGGGGCAGCTTCTCCCCCCCCACTTCCTACAAACCATTTATCCAACCTTACAATCTTTCTGCATCATTTCTAGCCGCCCCTTTTACTCCCATACAATTGTCCTCTCACTGGCCCTTCCTCCCCCTCCTGCCTCTCTTTCCTCAACTTTCTCTGCTGCTTATAATGCTTCCACACACCCTTTTGGTATATGGGGGCTTAATTTCAGGCAGGTGGCATGGGCAGGGAGCCAAGCTGCTTTGACACAGCTCATCGCAGGTGACAAAAATGTTATTCCTCCCCATAGGACGGAATAATATATCGCAATTTCATCAAGAACGTTGAGAGATTGCGCAAAACGGGTTGAACCGCATCTTTTACATGTTTGCCCCTAGCAAGGAAGCAAACTCAGAAAATAGAAGGAGGAGGAGGAGGAGGAGGAGGAGGAGGAGGAGGATTTATTTATACCCGCCCATCTGGGTGGGCTTCCCCAGCCACTCTGGGCGGCTTCCAACAAAATATTAAAATACAGTAATGCATCAAACATTAAAAGCTTCCCTAAACAGGGCTGCCTTCAGATGTCTTCTAAAAGTCTGGTAGTTATTTCTCTTTGACATTTGGTGGGACGGCATCCACAGGGCGGGTGCCACTACCGAGAAGGCCCTCTGTCTGGTTCCCTGTAACTTGGCTTCTCGCAGTGAGGGAACCACCAGAAGGCCCTTGGCGCTGGACTTCAGTGTCCAGGTAGAACGATGGGGGTGGAGACGCTCCTTCAGATATACTGGACCGAGGCCGTTTAGGGCTTTAAAGGTCAGCACCAACACTTTGAATTGTGCTCGAACACGTGGACTCTTCCGTTTGGTATATTTCCTTTGCCACTGTTAACCTACCTGTAGAGCTGGCCTCTTGATGGTATCTAGCAACAGGCCTGCTCTGGTGGCCACAGCTGGGTTGACATCCTCAACAGCAGTCAAGAAGCAGCAAAAGGCATGTGCTAAGGAATACTTCAGCAAGTGGTTTTTGGTCACGGAGTGAATATCCAGGAACCGACACAACACAGCTACTTTCTCCACTGCAGCAGAGAGCAAAGTCCCAAGATAAAGAAAATAACACATTAATCAGACATTAAGAACATAAATATCTTGCTGGCTCAGGTCAGCGGCCCATCTAGTCCACTATCCTGTTCTCACAGTGGCCAACCAGATGCCCATGGGAAGTTTTGTGAGAGAACACCCATGAAAGAAGATTTTCCGTTCACTTCCAGGTCCCTTTTCAGCTTTGGGTAGAAAGGTTTGACAGAAACATTTTGGATGTTGTAACTAACATATAGTCATTGTGCCAGTCAGTTCCGGGTCAAAGTGGGTCTTTGGCTAGCTAAATGTTCCATCGTTTCATCGTAGCAGAAAGTGCGATAGGTCCAGCAAGCAATAGGGCATTGGAAAGGTGTAATCCTGGGTTTCTGGCACCAATTTACAACCAGAAAAATAGGTGGGCTTTAGAGTAAGGAGAGGCGGGTGGCGCTGTGGGTAAAACCTCAGCGCCTAGGACTTGCCAATCGCATGGTCGGCGGTTCGAATCCCCGCAGCGGGGTGAGCTCCCGTCGTTCAGTCCCAGCTCCTGCCCACCTAGCAGTTTGAAAGCACCCTTAAGTGCAAGTAGATAAATAGGTACCGCTTTATAGCGGGAAGGTAAACGGCGTTTCCGTGTGCTGCTCTGGTGCCGGTTCGCTAGAGCAGCTTCGTCACGCTGGCCACGTGACCCGGAAGTGTCTGCGGACAGCGCTGGCTCCTGGCCTCTAGAGTGAGATGAGCGCACAACCCTAGAGTCTGTCAACACTGGCCCGTACGGGCAGGGGTACCTTTACCTAAGGAGAGACACCATAGCCAGCTGCTTTTTGTATTTTCTAATGCAATAAATATCTGGAAATATGTAGGTTTGTTTCATTTCCTTTGCTTAAAACTCACATTTCCCCCCATTCAGTTCATGACAAAAGACTTGGCAATAAATGGCTGGCATTTGTTATTCACATTGGGGGGGATTAACCATTTTTGGCCCAGGTGCCACATTGACCACTGCACAACCCAATTATTTTTAGTTGTATTGCTTTCTTGCTCTGTTGTTTGCTGGCCAACAAGGAAGTGCAAAAATAGAAATGGTATAAACAGAAACAACAACAGCTCCCATCATCCCTGGCTGTTGGCCATGCTAACCGGGGCTTATGGGAGTTGTAGTCCAAAGGTTCTAGAGGGCCACAGATTCCACACTTACATCTTTTTTTAATGTTAAAAGCTTACCTGCTTCAAACCTTATCTTCCAGTCTTTGCTGTTGAAGTTGCTATTGATGATGGTCCAGAAAATATCAGCTCCATGTGGGAGAGACAGAGCATGAAGAAGGAGGGGCACCGCCAGTGAAGAAAGCTGGGAGAATTCCGATTTGACAACTCTCCATAAGCTGGGGAAGAGATTGCAATCTGTTTATCTTCCCAACTTCACAAAATGGTTGCATTACTTTGCTGCGAGCACAATGGAAACAGCTGCTCCAGGAACTTCTTACTCCTCCCTGGAGAGCCAGAGAACCCAGTTCCAGCACTGTTTTCCCTCAAGGAGATGCAGGGAGAAATTATCTTCCCACCACACCCAGATGTACCACGATCCTGCCACTCAAATGGCAGGTTTAAAATAGGAGTGATAAGCAAATGATGTGTGCTGACACCATCTCCTATATACAGGGTAGCTCAGTCGGACCTCCTATGGTCTTCAACAACTCAACTGGTATTCAGAATTATACGGCCAGGACTGTCTACAAGGCCACAATTTCTACCTTTGATCACCTGCATGTGAATTTAATGAACTCAGTGGTTTCCCTCCACAAACCACTAGTTTGAATCTAACAATGGACTTGAAACAGGGATGGGGTGAAGGCCTTCCTGATGTTCTAGGATTACAACTCCTACCACCCCTGAGCATTAGCCATGCTGGCAGGGGATGATGGGAGTTGGAGTCCACCAACAGCGGAACCTCAGGAGGTTGTGGGCTCTCCTTCCTTGGAGGTTTTTAAGCAGAGGTTGGATGGTCATCTGTCATTGATGCTTTAGCTTAGATTCCTGCATTGCAGTGGGTTGGACTAGATGACTCTTGGGTCCCTTCCAATCCTACGATTCTATGATCCTGTGAACATCAAGAGGTCTACAGGTTCCCCAATGCAGATTTAAAAGAAACACTTAGTAGTTTGTTACCTGTCACCCATAACTGATTGGCTTTAGCCCAGTCTTCCCTGACATTGGTCCTCCATATGTTTTGAACTACAGCACCCATCATGCCTGACCACTGGCCATGTTGCCTGGGGTTGATGGGAGTTGCAGTCCAAAACACCTGGTTGCTGCTTTAGCCTACAAGCTTGCACTAGCTTCATATAAAGTATCAACACTTCTCTTGGGTGAAAATAGTATACCTGGCAATCAGCATATGATCCTGAACGTAGGCTAGGAACTGTGGGTAGTCCTTCCTTGCAATGTATAAACACTCTCCGTGAAGGCAGAGAATCTTCAAGCAGTTGAGCATGTTAAATAGAATATCAGGCTCTTCAAACCGTGCCATTTCCTTTGCCAAATTTAGAAACAAGCAGACAAAATACCATGCAATTAATCAGAAACGCCAAGCAGAAGTAATAGGACCAGAGCACTTGGTACTATAATTCTGAGCTAAAGCAGAACTGCATCAATTGAACCATGAACTAATATTAACATAAATAGCAATAGAGACTCAGGGCAATTTAAGCTGCATGTATGTTAATACTTTCTGGGAGATTGTCTGTGCTTGTGACTACTGAAAACCAGTAAACATTATTAAAAGAAAAGCACACACACTTTCAGGGAGAAATACAATATCAGCATACAAGTGGAACAAACTTCTACTTACATAATGAGGTTTCATTTTTGTCATTCCCGCCCCTCCTTCTGCACCCGAAATCTTCTCCAGTGGGTTGGGGGACCTCTTTATCTTACTTCCCCCCTCCACTTAAAGAGTTTATCAAAATGATCAAACAAATGGTGCCCCACAGTTTACCAGTCGCAAAATCATTATTCAATGGGAGTGTCTTATCAAGAGACCACTTTATGACATAATCAAATCCACAAATACTTTTTTTTTTAGTTAAACTTTACCTGCAATATTGTATAGATAAGTTTCAGTGTCACTGGAAGCTGCTGGTAACAGAATTTCCTCTCAGTGTCATTTTTGATGGCTGCTATAAAAAAGGCATATGCAAAGGTTCACAGACAATTTTGTAAAAAGAAAGAAAGAAAGAAACCCACAGTTCCCATATATCAGCAGCAGTTATGATCTCTTGTAAAATAAACCGGCAAAAATTAAAAGCAAGGTGAAACATCCAAATTTCTAAGGCCTGTTTAGAAAACAGTCAGTGAGGGAGACGGGCATAGTTCCAGCAGGAAAGCATTTTGTAAGGCTAGAACCAGCACAAAATAGGCCCTGTCACTCATGTTCATCAACCTGACAGATCATATCCATCCGTCAAGACTTTTGTGCCTGATCTTAGGGTCTACAATAAACACACAAGATGTAACTGGCTGTGTTGTTAGATAAATAAGGTATACTATTCAATGTGCTTTAACTACTGATGAAGCCCAGGATGGCAAAACAAGGCCAATAGCCTTGTCTAGACTCTGTGAAAGGGTTTTGTGGAACTGTAACAACCTTTCATGTGGATTGTTTGGACTTTATGAACAGACAGGTGGAATAGACACCATTACACGGATGGACCTCATGCATGAACTGACTAGAGAATGATCTGATCCACTGGGTCTTCTGCTTTGTTCATTTGTTGAACTTTATGAGTTACTTCTGTTGAAATTTGATACAATGAATAGTATACCTTATTTATCCAAGAACACAGGCGGTTACGTCTCGTGTGTTTATTGAGGAAGCTTTACGTGACCATAGGTTTGTTTGTTGTTGTTGTTGTAATCTTAGGGTCTAGGCAGGTTCGTACAGGGGGTCTTTCAAATAATCTGGTGCAAAGCCATTTAGGGCTCTAAATGTAATCACCGGCACATTAAACTGAACCCAGAAACACAGTGGCAACCAGTGTAGCAGATATAAAATTGGTGTTATATGTTCAGATTGCCTAGGCCCCACAAGCAACTGTGCTGTTTGTATTTGTGGAGGCCAAATTTTTTTCTTTGACACAGGAGTGAGGGGCAACTTGTGATGCAGGCCCCTCAAACAGTTATGATACCCGGCACCCGTGATCAAACAAAATTCCCAGGATTCTTGTGCGGGTGGTGGGGGAGCCGTGCCTGTTGAAGTGTGGTATAAGCGTGCTTTAAATGTACGGCATGGGTGTATTGAAAGAGTTTGAATTCATGCCATCAAACAAGCACCAGATTTGGTCGCCATCGTAAAATCCAGGTGGTTGTAAAGTTTTGAAACACGGTTGCTCATCTCCAGCTTACCTGTGTTTTCCGTTGTCTCTGTGTGATTTCCTGGGTTTTCTCCATGCTTTGATGCTGATTTGTTCTCTCCCTCCCCTTCAATTCCTATAATGAACTCAGGTCTAGAATCTAGAAGACTGTCCTCCAGATTATCTGTAGGTTCCTTCAAAAACCAAATATGGAATGACGTTGATTTTCAGATGCCTACATTCACATGTTTTTAGATCAAGCATTCCTTAGGAGGACATCTTAAGACATCTTAAGATGGATCAACAGACAGCAGATTTAACTTTACTTTTGTGTTGTATTTACTAAATACAGTCGTACCTTGGTTCTCGAACAGAATGCGTTCTGGGAGTCTGTTTGACTCCCGGAAATGATCGAAAACCAAGACACAGCTTCTGATTGGCTGCAGGAGTGTCCTTCAGCCAATCATAAGTTGTGGAAGACATGTCGGACATTCAGCTTCCGAAAATCATTTGAAAACCGGAACACTCACTTTCTTTTTTTGAGCGTTCAGGAGCCGAAACGTACAAGTTCCAAGGCGTTCTGCAACCAAGGTACAAGTGTACTAAACCAGGCAAGCAAGCCAGGATTCAGTATAAGGGTTAAGGTCTATCCATGTGTGCTGCCCTATCAAAAAGTCAGCAATCGTTGCAGGGAGGAGCAGGAAGTGGGAGGAACTGAACTGATTCCCTGCCGCGCTCTCCTTTCCCAGAGTCTGATTGGTGCAACTGCTAATTTCTGATGGCGCTATGAATAGGCAGTCCTGGTGTCTGCATCAAGGGAAGAACCCCACACTCATAATTGTGCGCATGGCTCCTTAGCCAGCCAGAGCAGGGTGGTTATGCAGGGAACCTTTCATAGCCCAAGGGCCACATTCGCTGGTTGGCAACCTTCCAGGAGCCACGTTCCGGGGGTGGACAGGGCAGAGACAAAAGCAAGGAGAGCATTGGCTGCAACTCTTAACTTCGTACAATAGGCTCCATTCTAGCCAGGCAAAAGTAAGTGGTTTCTACACACTTAAACACATGCATCTTTCCATCTAGGCAATATGCAAAGCACCCCTGAGTCTACAACAGGTACAAGCAAGAGGTGTTGCTTGAACACTACATCAAGGGCAGTGTGTGCTGAGTGTTGCACATTTGTTTATCACTTACCACTAGCCGGATTTCTTCTTTGGGGGCTAGTCTCTCCAGCAACTCACAAGCTAGCTGATAGCACAAGATACTGGACTGACACAGGTTGCATTCAATGGCCTTCTCGTCTTTTTGACAGGTATGAGAGCCACCCCAGGGGGCTTGGAACACATTGTTGATGATAGAAATTATGTCTTTGGATATGCTGTTCTCTAAACCCAGGGTAATGCCGTCATCTTGCAATTCCATCTGAAAAGCAAGTTTTAAGGAGCATAATTAACGAAGCAACTGAAACACACACTATTGACATAAAACAAAATCTATAAGCAAGCACCTCCTAGGCTACTTATTTTCTTAAAAAAAAGAAAGACAGATGTTCAATCCGTTCAAAACAGCTGCGTAAGAAGCAGACGTCAACAGGTGAAAATCACTACTCCTCCATGCCAGGAAAAACTGCAACTGTTGAAATTCTTCTTGCCAAGCTGCTGTTGAAAGTGAACAATCTCTATCAGGGGAATAAAGCAGAGGTGGCTTGATCTGGGGCCTCCAGATGTTGCCCCCAACATCCCTAACTGTTGGCCATACTGGCAGGGGCTAAGGGGAGTTTGAGTTCAGAGGTGGCTGGTGTGCCACAGGTTCTCTAACCAGTCTACAAAATGTGAGGCTGGAGGAGATCGCCCGAATAATGGCAAATAATATGAGTAGAGAAAAGGAAGCTTAGGTCCTGGGGTTAGCAGCATGTGATCTGATTTGCTTTGCCCAAAGCCGCACCAACTTCAAGTGGGAAGAAATGCATCCACAACCTTGTGAAGTCCAATTTTACCAGGTTCTCACTTTCTTTGGGCTACATTGTTTGCTGCTAACATAAACATGGATTAGGTAACAAGGAATGATGCAACTTCCTGGGCCACCCATTATACTAATATGTGTTCCTCTCCTTGCAAACCGGATCTCGGGAAACAAGCTGAGACTATTCTATGCATCCAAAATCTCATTGTGCAAATGCAGAACCAAGCATCACAAGTGACTCGCACTCTTGGATATTGCATGGTTCTCATGTATAACATTTCTAAACAACAACAGCGTTATTAGATAACCCTCCAGAAACTCATGCATCACTCTGGAGCTTTATTTCCATCCTTGTTTAAAATGCCAGAATTCTCTTTTGCATTGTCACCTGCTTTAAGATGAGATCGAACATCAGGATGAAACAATTCAGATTCATTTCTTCATCGTCGCAGTCAAAGTCAATAGCCCTCCCTCCTCCTCCTCCTCCTCCTGGGTGCCCAAAGTTCTTGAAAGGACTACGGAAGGGGCTTCGCATGGGGCTGCGAAAAGGACTCTGAAATGGACTTGGGAACGGGCTCAGTGTATTATGCTGAACTCTGTGCCCCGGATCAGAGGCAATGCTCACCTAGAGAAGTATGAAGAACCCAACATGCACAAAATCAATGCTAAGCTCTTGTGGACTGACTAGCATGAAGCAAACACATCAACATTTTGCAACAGAAACAAGGAGACAGTTCATTTAAAGTAGGGTCATCAAATGATTTGGGAGAAATGCCCTGCCTTGCTTCTGTGCATTTAACAGCAGGCTTCAATGGAGCAAAACCTTTTTAAAAACAAAAAACAGCATGGAGATCATCATTATTACCTGCTATTGATCAAGCTGCACATTAGTTAAACATCACTTTAAAATAAAGAAAGAAAAAGGTGACAACAATATCTCAAAGGTATCTTCCCAGAAATCACACCTAAGCACATCTACAAAGTGGTTTAAAAATGTCTTACTGGGATTGATGAAGTATTTCTTAAAACGAAAATGTTCAGAGGCATAATACAGAGAAATATAGGTGCTCTGACTTAAATCATGTTAGAGTGATGTGACCAAGGGGCAAGTAAGACGTGGGACACCATTTACACAATTAGAAACTGCATGAATGTTTTTAAGTAAACAGCAAGCTCAAAGAACCTGGTCCCAATGGGGAACCTGGTAGAGGGGAAATTTAACCCTTTACTACCCACTGTGATCCCAGCGGATTGGGCCCTAGGCACATGCTTTTTGTATTGGGAAGGAAGCTCCCATTCACACAAACAAATTTCCTTCCCTATGCAAATAGCAGGGATTGGGGTAATAGGGCACTCCAGAATGGAACCCCAGCAAGTGGCAAAAGGTTGAAACCACTCAATGCACCTACCATTTACATTTTTTTTTAATTTTAAAAAAAACCAATCGCACAAAAGTCTTTAAAAGCTTATTACATTTATATACTGCCTTTTGTCTGAAGATCACAAGGTGGTTTACAACATAAAACTGCAAAGTATGAAATCACATCCAACTTTGGCTCTGATCATAAACACATCTGTACATGCAATTAAGCCTCACCAGGTTCACCATGGTTTACTTCTCAGTAAGTGTGTTCAGTTTCAAACGCTACATACTCTTGTGTCACTGAATTCAGTGGAGTTTAGAAAACAACACGCTACGTTTTCGCTGGATTTCACCAGCTGCCTTTGCCAAAAGAGGTGAGACATGCTTTTCCCTCTTATCATAAAGGTAAACTGATAATGAATTACCCTTCGAGCTGCAAGGTTCCCAGTTAGTTCCGTTACTCTTGATTTCCTCTGATTTGCCAGCTCTTTTACAGAATTAACCCCATCAGAAAACATACTGATCAGTAGCTGAAGAGGGACCACAATGTCTAATTCAGACAACACCTAAAAGAGAGAGAGAGAGAGTTCTCAGACCAAAAATGCAGTGAATGCTAATATTAGCACTAGGCCAAAATGAACAGTGAACTTAAGCAGGCATTTAACGTAGGGGAGTGCCATTTTCCCCAAAAAGAGGTGCCAGAACTCACCATGAACGCCTCCCTTCTTCTCTTATAATGGCATTGGTGCCCTCCTGAGAGATGCCAGAACTGAGTTACAATGAGTTCTGGCTGAAAAATCCCTGGTTAGGAACCTCTGTAAGTTTTGACCCACCATCAGAAGCTGTTGGGAGTTAAAAATGGAGCATTTGGGTTCATCTGAACCTGTCTAGTGTGATAATATCATGCATACATGGCTTTCAACACCAGGGGCTGGAGTGCACTGGGTCCAGACGAAGCTGTATTGTGCACACAACCTAAGGCTGCTGCCTCAGGTGCCTGAAGCTGTATTATCCCCATATTATGGAAGAGGAGGTAACAAGACTGAAGGGTAGTGACTTAGAATCATAGAGTTGGAAGGGACCCTGAGAGTCATCTAGTCCATCTCCCTGCAATGCAAGAATCTCAACATGCTTGTCAGGTTTCAGTGAATTCCGATCCTCCCCTCCTCCCCTCACGGCAGACAGCCAAGGAAGTAGACAAGGAAGCTCTTACCGAGTCTTTATTTAATATTCACAGTGAGAGGCCTCTGTACGCTGCCTCTTGAGTTAATGGCATTGCTCCAACTGAGTTCCTCCCCCACTTCCCCTTAAGATGGCCGCCAGGGGCTAATTGTCTCTGAGTCTTTTGCTCTTCCACTTTCAATGCATGCCATGTTTTGGGAGAAGGGGTCAGAAATGCTCTCCAGTGATAACGTGTCAGCTGGCAGCTCTATCTCCTTCTCTTCTCCCAACACCTCCCAACTCTTCTGTTCACCTGTCTATGAGATGTGACCTTCCTCACACCATATGAGATGTGACCTTCCTCACACCACTGCTGTAATTTGATACTGCTTTCCTCTTCTTTGGAAGCTTCAGGAGGAGGGGGGACGGTCTCCACCATTCCTCCTCAGTCTCGCCCCCCCCCCACCAGTCCCTGACAATGCTGCTTATAGCTCTTGAGATATGAAGTGGAATTTTCTTCCTGGCTCGCAGGCACATGCTTCGCTTACAGCAAGCTCTTACCACCCAGAGGCGGCATGTCCTGTTTGTCAGGAGCTCAGCCTACACTCGAGTAGGACCCTGGCAGAGACACATGCCCGACTGGCATGTTCTCTCCCTCCTGGTCGATCGTTCGGGAGCTTCAAAAGCTTTCTTCCACCTGAACATCAAAGCGACCGATGCCAACCGACACCGGCATACTTAGGGATCCACAGAGTTTGCGCATCAAGCGTAACAGACCTCAGCAACGCAGCATTTTGGCTAATCTACTTTATTTACATATAAACATACATGAAACACTGCAACATGGCTTCCTCTCTCTCTAGCATCAGACAGCAAAGAGAAAAAAGAACAAAGGACAATAGTCCCACTTCACGGAACACAGTAACACAAACATCCTGTCTCCGTCACTTCCCACTCTGTGGAGTGGAGTCAAAACATATACCGTCATGTGAAAGACAACAATCCCATGACTGCAATCATGGAGCAGGAATTCTAACACTGTTTCACTGACAGGGGAGAAGCAGGATGTGCCGCCCCACTGGCTCACCCCGTCGAAGCCTCGCTTACCCAGGTCACATGGTGGCACCTTCAAGATATAACCAGAAGCCACTGCCACTTCTCTGCTAGCAGCAAGGCAGGGCACCTGCGGGGGGGGGACTGTCTCTGGGGGTTCTTCCACCCAAGGAAGCTGCCTCAGCATGCCTCGTGAGCAGGCAGGCCCTGCTACCCCCAAAAAACAGCAATGGGTTTACAAAGCAGACCAAATCTCTGCTTGGGAAGGCAGGCCGAAAATCCAATAAATACTGATACGTAAAAGCCATGCTGCTGCTAACAGAGTGTTAATAAAGTAATAATGATAATTATTTTATTACTTATACCCCACCCATCTGGCTGGGTTTCCCCAGCCGCTCTGGACGGCTTCCAGCAAAACAATAAAAACATAATAAAACGTCAAACTTTTAAAACCTCCCAATACAGGGCTGCCTTCAGATGCCTTCTACAGCTCTTTATCTCCTTGAGACTTGATGGTAGGGCGTTCCACAAGGAGGGCGCCACTAACTATGGTAACTATGTTTAACTATGAGGGTTAGTGAATTATTATAATCCTGTTGGTACAGAGACAACGTTGACCTGATCATAGGAATGAAGGGGGAGCACTTACATGAAGCCAGAGTAAAGCCTGCTCTTGTACAGAAGAAGGATATCCTGTAAACCGACAGCTTATGAAGCCAAACATCTCCTCCATGGAAAAAGGGAGCGGGCACAGCTCAATATCAAACATTTTGCTACAAAGCACAAAAGACAAAAAGGGCTTATCAGTAAGTTCTTCTCGCAAGCTCTTTTTACAAAAGACCAAAAGTTGTACGTAACATGAGAAGAACGAAACCTCTGTATTTGTTTAAACAAAATAAAAAAATTCCTTCCAGTAGCACGTCAGAGACCAACTAAGTTTTTAATTGGTATGAGCTTTCGTGTGCATGCACACTTCTTCAGATATGTATTTGTTTGTTTGTCAAACCTATAAATGGCCTTCAGGCAAAGGTGCCTCTCAGTATAGTTTGCTGCTATATGAAATAAAATACCTGCAGGTTCCGCTTTACAAACACAATGCGTTCTCTGGAATTCGTTCCTTAGGTAAGTGTTCGCATAACGAGTCAACAATTTCCACTGGTTCCTATGGGGAAATTTCTAATACATTCGCAACCACAGAATTTTGACACACACACACCCTGCCAAAGCAGGGGGAACCCAGACAAAAATGATCTCTGATTTGTCCAGTCTCTCCCCCCCCTCCCTCAGCCTACCAGCAAGAGGCAATCAAGAAGGGAAAGCATGCTTTCTGTCCAGGTATCTGAATCTGTGGTGCTCACAGTGAAGTTTGGGTACTAATACCTTATGTACAGATAAGTGAATTTTCACAGAGTGAATTTTCATAAAGTGGGTCCTGTGTGTCTAATGTTCCCTTCAACCAATAGTAAAAACCAGCATTAAATATTATTTTATAATGTTTCTTGCCTGCCCTCCACGGTAAAATCCAGGGCAGATTGCAAAAACAGCATAATGCAAATTGAAAACCAAATAGAACTACTCATCCATATACAACAATCCTCAGATTAATCAGGTTAATCTGAAGCATGAACCACCAACACTGTCTCCATTCAATTTTAAAACCATGGACCATCTGTAGACATTTATGACTACAGAAAAACCATCAAAAGTGGTGAACAGGGCAAAGGACCCTCTGATCCCCTATAATTTGAGCACTGGCCCCAAATCAATTCTCCTGCTTATTGAAAAGAAACCACCTGTGCTTCACTCGATGGTTGAGAAGTAATGAGCACCCCAAATTTCACAACTGATGGATTTGAAGCTTAAAGCATTCCCTCTTCCACATTACAAGCCGCTTCAGGGTGCCTCCAGATATGTGAAGCAATATATATAAATACAATGGACTAAAGAGTAACTATGGGACACAGGTGGCGCTGTGGGTTAAACCACAGAGCCTAGGGCTGGCTGATCAGAACGTCGGCGGTTCGAATCCCTGCAACGGGGTGAGCTCCCATTGCTCGGTCCCTGCTCCTGCCCACCTAGCAGTTCAAAAGCACATCAAGTGCAAGTAGATAAATAGGTACTGCTCCGGTGGGAAGGCAAACGGCATATCCGTGTGCTGCTCTGGTTCGCCAGAAGAGACTTAGTCATGCTGGCCACATGACCCGGAAGCTGTCTGTGGACAAATGCTGGCTCCCCTAACGGTCAAGGGTACCTTTACCTTTACCTTTAAAGAGTAACTAACTTTGGCGCTCTATTTTCAAAAGCCCAGATGCCATTTTTTCCCCTCTGCAATTTGATTGACACATGCACAGAAGCCTCCACCAAGAGTTGGAAAGCTTCCACATCCTCCTACTTACCTTAATACTTCCCTGAACTCCTTCAGCTGATTGTCTGGCACCTCAGTCCTGATGGCTTCCAGCCATTCTGGCATAATGCAATCCCACACAGGTTGGTTGATTACATTGTACGGAATTAAGCACAGGATCCGGTTCAGACCTTCCTTCAACTGCGTCACCGTGCTGCAGGACTTGTCCCAGTATCCACCCACCTAAGGGAATTTATAGGGGGAAAAGACTTCATTAAGGACTCTTTCCCCCCCTTCAAAACAGCCCAACACATACATGGCACCATGCAGTCATGAAACACTACTGAATAATCCACAACAGTACATTTTCTTCTCTCCTATAGGAAGAACAATGAAAGTGAAGCTAAACTCTGCAATTTGAGGTGGCCCAAAGAGCTTGTGATGGCTTGTGCCCACTGGGACTTGGAGGACGGAAGGTAGAGAGGCCATGAGTAGGTGGAGCTCGTTCTTGATTTGCCCCCTCCCCCTCCCTGTTGAGTTCCAGAAAGGCAACACTGAGATTAAGGAGGTGCTGAATGAGAGCTCATAGTGCCACCCTCCAGAAAAAAAGGAGGTAGGGCAGGGGATTGGCTGGAAGCAGAGCGAGGTTGACAGGGCAACGCTCCATTCTCCCCAGTGGGTCAACCTCCACTCAGAACACAGTTCATAACAAGCTACTGACAGAAGAAAACATGGACAGACTCCTCACCCGTGCAAATTCCATCGGTTTAGGAAGGAGGCACATCACCATGACATCAAACCGGACATCGCACACTGTCTTCAGCCATTTGGTGACAAACTGGGGCTTGAGTTTCTCCACCAGGCTGCCAACTTCATCATCCATCATGTAGGCTGTGGAATGGAACCACTGGAAGACCATGCTCACAAGCCGAGCCAAGCTCTCTGTGGGGGTGTTCTCGCTCGGGGTGCAAAGGCTTACCTGGAAAACATGTTTTGTTCAGAAGTCAGAGTAAGTTCCAGCTTTCTCTTGCAATCACTCTCATTGCAGTGGGAGGAAAGAGATGCGTTAGGATGTGTGCAACTGGAAAGTCTTTGAAAAAGACCACGAGGAGGGACAAGGCTGATATCAAGCTTTTGCAACACTACTTGGAAAACAGTATGTGAATGTTAAACAAAGAAGGAACAGACCCACTTAAACCCTCCTGGCCCTGCTAAGGTCTCAGATCAAGTAAGTTCTGCAGGTTTTGTAGCCTTCTCGGTAGTGGCACCCACACTATGGAATGCCCTCCCACCAGATGTCAAAGAGAAAAACAACTACCAGACTTTTAGAAGACATCTGAAGGCAGCCCTGTTTAGGGAAGCTTATAATGTTTGACGGACTATTGTATTTTAATCTTTTGTTAGAAGGAAACCCAGCCAGATGGGTGGGGTATAAATAATAATAATTACTACTACTATTATTATTACTATTTCCATAACCTACAAAACCTGTTTGAGAAGTGACTCTGGAAAATTACACAAACTCTGTTTCATATCTGCTTTTCTAGACTATGTAGCTCTGCAATAAATTGTTATATTATAGTAATCTCTTTAGAATCCAAAGAAGAAGAAGAACGGGAAAAGCAAAAGAAACTCACCAAAAACCAAATTCCAAACTGGCTCAGAAGGCGCTGGTCGTTCTTGTCATCATCTTTGTTATCAAAGTCTGTGTTGTCCAAAGAATGATGTGAAGAGGATAAGCCCAGCTGTCTCCTGCGATTCAGCTCATACTCCCGTTGCTCTGCGTGGAGTTCAGCCTCCTTCAGCAAGCTAAACAACAACATCAGGTGTCTCTAAACAGATGCCAAAAATACAGCTGTGCACAAGGCCCCACATTTATTATTTTATTTTTTCCCCTGTTGCCTTTGATTTTATGGCAAACCCCTCCTCACAAAGCACCTTCTATAAAAAAATAAAATTCCAGTGTATACAGTATCATGTTTCAAGAAAAGCAGCAATTTAAAGGAGCAGTCTCTAAGATAATTCATGGGCCACCAGCACACCCTTACTGAAAAATTTACTAAAAACAAATTAAGACACTTACGAATTATCGCCAATATAAATCTTCAAAGACAGGGATGGGGAGCCAGTGGCCGTCCAGATGTTGTTAGACTACAACTTCCATCAGCCCCAACCAGCACAGCCAATGGTCAGGGGTGATGGGATTTGTAGTCCAACACCATCTGGAAGGCCACAAGTCTCCCACCCCTGCTGCAAGAAAAAACACAGCTTTAAAAGTGGATTTTTTCTGAGTCTGCTTAAAAACATGAACTGATGGGGTCATATGTATAACATCTGGGAGGAAATTATATAACCATGGGGCTTTGTCTCTGATTATCTTATAGGCAGGTTTACAAGCAGGGCCTCTGAAGCTGATCTCAGGATCCGGGCAACCTCATTATTAGTAAAAGCAGTCCATTATGTAACCTGTTCTCATGCCATATATATTCCTTGATTATGCTACATTGCAAACTGTAAGAGCTCATCTGGTGTATTATTGTCCATGAATTGTTTTATGGAGACATCTACTTTACAAAGTGGGAAGCGGGTGGTGCTGTGGGTTAAACCACAGAGCCTAGGGATTGCTGATCAGAAGGTCGGTGGTTCAAATCCCTGCAACGGGGTGAGCTCACATTGCTCAGTTCCAGCTCCTGCCAACCTAGCAGTTCGAAAGCACGTCAAAGTGCAAGTAGATAAATAGGTACCACTCTGGCGGGAAGGTAAATGGTGTTTCCGTGCGCTGCTCTGGTTCGCCAGAAGCGGCTTAGTCATGCTGGCCACATGACCCGGAAGCTGTATGCCGGCTCCCTCGGCCAATAAAGTGAGATGAGCACCGCAACCCCAGAGACTGGACCTAATGGTCAGGGGTCCCTTTACCTTTACCCTTACTTTACAAAGTACCAGAGGCAGAAGGTTAAGCAGTGGAGAACAAGTAGCTCCAGACCCTTGGTGCTGCTAATATAGATTATGCTCATCTCTATGTGTTAATTATTCTCCAAATAGCATTATTATTTGGACAGCCACTTTTAGGTCTAGGTCCTGAGTGGCCCGACTTTAGATTACTGCCCAGCTGTGAAACTCACGGAGTGATCGAAAGCCGATCCCTCTGGGCTGTATCCAACTAAGTCAGAACTCAGAGCAGGCCCATTGGAATCAACAAGCGTTTGTTGGCAGGACCAGCTTAGGCCTATTGCTTCTACTAAGTCAGAGAACTCTCTGTCTGACCTGAACCTACCTCAAAGGGTTGTTGTGAGGCAAAAATAGGTTGCCCTGAGCTCGCTAAAGGAAGGGGTTGAATTATTAAGTTAAATTAAATTATTCAACGTGTAATAAACTGAGAAACTCCTCTTATATGTTACTTTAAATAAAATTTAAAAATAGCAATGCAACAAATGGAAACACATCAAATGAAAGAAAACCAGTTTGTTAGACAGGAAGCTCCTAGTGCTGGTCAGTAATTGATCTTCTGCTGTAAACTACAAGTTGAATTGCACTTGATGTCTTGCATTTCAGGGGGGCAATTTTCCTGGTTTGCTCATCTTGTCTCACTATGTTTCATCCCTGCAGAGGGAGCGACAGAATCACATGGGCAGGGCTGTTCTCCCCTTTCTCCTCCCCCTCATGTTCACTTTCAGTCCAAAAGCCACCGCTCTAATTTTATTGCTTCCTGCAAGTTGTTTCTTCAAAGGGATGAGGGAGAGCAGCAGTTGAAACTGACAAACTGCAAGAGTCAAAGGCTTTATTAATTCCTTCTCCTCACCTCCCCTTCTCCAGGCATCTGAAACAGCTGCTTAAATTCATTGTTTCCTGTAGCAGTTACCTCCTATCTACTTTCGGTACCATACTTCCTCCCCCCTCCCCTTTTTACACTTTTTAATTAGCGAGAATGCACCTACATTTACTTCTCTTTTCTTAAGTGTTATTTTGCACCCGCTGAAGTGAAAAAGCAGGAATTAAAAATAAAATGAAACAAATTAGCGCCTGCAGCCCAAGGGAAGAAGTTTGTGGGCTTTATCCAGTCTCCTCCCTCCTGCTGAGCTTTGAAAGGATAATTGGGTTAAGCAGAGAATAGCATTGCACAATCAAAATATGGATACTGGGGATAAATTATATGGTGGCGTTTAGGCTGCTGAAAAGCTTTGCCGCATCAGGAGATGCTGCCCATTTGTTCTGAAGGGATAGCAGCCAACATGACGCTCTCAGGATGTTGTCAGACTACAACTCCCATCTCCCCTGCTCATTATCCATGCTGCTTTGGGCTGCTGGGAGATGAAGTCCAGCAACATTTTGGGACAGCTTAAGGTAAAGGACCCCTGGACGGTTAAGTCCAGTCAAAGGTGACTATGGGGTGCAGCGCTCATCTCGCTTTCAGGCCAAGGGAACTGGCGTTTGTCCACAGACAGCTTTCCGGGTCATGTGGCCAGCATGACTAAACCACTTCTGGCACATCGGAACACCATGATGGAAACCAGAGCACACAGAAATGCTGTTTGCCCTCCTGCCTAATAATAATAATAATAATAATAATAATAATAATAATAATAATAATAATAATAATAATTTATTATTTATAGCCCACCCATCTGGCTGAGTTTCCCCAGCCACTCTGGGCGGCTTCCAATCATGTGTTAAAAACAATACAGCATTAAATATTAAAAACGTCCCTAAACAGGGCTACCTTCAGATGTCTTTTAAAGAGAAGATAGCTGCTTATTTCCTTCACATCTGAAGGGAGGGTGTTCCACAGGGCTGGCGCCACTACCAAGAAGGCCCTGTGTCTGGTTCCCTGTAACCTCACTTCTTGCAATGAGAGAACCGCCAGAAGGCCCTCGGCGCTGGATCTCAGTGTCCGGGCTGAACGATGGGGGTGGAGACGCTCCTTCAGGTATACAGGACCGAGGCCATTTAGGGCTTTAAAGGTCAGCACCAACACTTTGAATTGTGCTCAGAAACGTACTGGGAGCCAATGCAGATCTCTCAGGACCGGTGTTATGTGGTCCCGGCGGCCACTCCCAGTCACCAGTTTAGCTGCCGCATTCTGGATTAATTGCAGTTTCCGGGTCACCTTCAAAGGCAGCCCCATGTAGGGCACATTGCAGTAGTCCAAGCGGGAGATAACTAGAGCATGCACCACTCTGGCAAGACAGTCCGCAGGCAGGTAGGGTCTCAGCCTGTGTACCAGGTGGAGCTGATAGACAGCCGCCCTGGAAACAGAATTAACCACTGGTGTGCTTTTGAACTGCTAGATTGACAGAAGCTGGGACAAAGCAATGGGAGTTCACCCCGTTGCAGGGATTTGAACCACCAACCTTTTGTTCGGCAAGCCCAAGAGACTCAGTGGTTTGGACCACAGCGCCACCCGCTACCATGTTGAGCTCTAAGAGCTTAGAATGATTTCCATGCATGGATGGAAGAGGGAACGGGACAGACAAGAGCAGGATTTGGGTTCCGTGTGTGTTCATCTGCCTGCTGTGGGTTACCTGATAACAGCTTCCACAGTACAAACAAGCTCCTCAGCCCCACACTCCCGAGTGTTGATAGGAGGAGGCGATGTCTGGTAGAGATGTGTCTCAGCCGTTGCCCCAACTTCACTGCTGTGGTGGTTGGAGTGGCATCGTTTGCAGTAGCGCACCGGCCTGTTCCCATGGCGACCGCAGCAGCCGGCAGAGAAACACGTGACAACAGCCCTCCTAACATGCGAGCTACAGTTCTGGAAAGAAGCAATGTAAGTGCCATTAAGCCCATCATGGTGACTGAGAGGAAGAATCAAAGAGCTATCTATTCAAAGAATTAGCAGCTTATCCAGCAGGAGGGAGAGAAACACATATGCGTGTAGTTTGAATTTTAGGTAAAGGTAAAGGGACCCCTGACCATTAAGTCCAGTCGCGGACGACTCTGGGGTTGCGGCGCTCATCTCGCTTTATTGGCCAAGGAAGCCGGTGTTTGTCCGCAGACAGCTTCCGGGTCATGTGGCCAGCATGACTAAGCCGCTTCTGGAGAACCAGAGCAGCACAGGGAAACGCCATTTACCTTCCTGCCAGAGCGGTACCTATTTATCTACTTGCACTCTGATGTGCTTTCAAACTACTAGGTTGGCAGGAGAATTTTACTTGGATGTGATTTGGTGAAATCGGCTGGCTTGACTTCTGTGAAATGGGCGTTCTGCAGGAGCAGAACATGGGTTTCAAATGATTGGCTTTTTTAGCAGCCATTTTGTGACTGGCTATGCCCTCTCATGTGGCACCCATTTTGTGGCAACACACAGCACTTTTGCAAAATTCCAAGTGTGCCCTCCAAAACACTAAATCATACCCCTTATCAATGTGTGCATTTTAAAAAAGATGGTCGGTGAATACTTACTATAAATAACGTCACTTAAGTTCATCTTATTAAAATCAGTAGGGCTTATTTCAGAGAAAATAAGCTTAGGATGGCGCATGGTATTAATGCAAGTGAATTCCAATTCTTTTGGAGGGTGTATATATTTCAGTTTTAGGGACATGGAATCTTACACTGCTTCTGTTGTCAAATGCATATGTTTTATGAAATTATTACATTGGCATTTTCTCCTTTTTATAGCACATGGTAAAATGAGGACCCTTCAGCATTCTGCTCCCAGGCTTCTCAGTCAAGATCTGCACTAAACATTTAAAACATATTCAACACACATTTAAGGCATCTGAGTTCCCCCCAAATAATTCTGGGAGCTGCAAGTTGTTAAAGGCACTGGAAATGGTAGCTTTGTGAGGGGGGAAACTACAATTCCTAGGATTATCTGGGCAAAGTAATGTGCTTTATGTGTGTGCTGAATATGCTTTGAATGTATAGTGTGGAACTACTGTGATGACTTAAGAAAGCCCAGAGCGCAGGAGGTAACTGGCTCTACTCCCTGGGCCATCATTTTGCAACTGGCTGCTCCCACAATTTCATACATGGCTCAGCTTGGTTGGTGTTGAGGTACTATATTTAAAAAAATATATAAAGAAGACCCCACAAGTCTGCCATACACAATGGAACAAGGAACTGTGAACAAGATATCTCATTTCCTCTTGCCATCTTCAGTCTCCTGCTCTAGGGTGGATTCTAGACACATATAAAAAAACACACTGTGAAAATGCTTTTTAAAAACCGTTTTGAAAAATATATTGAATTTGCCATAAGCTCACCATCGCCATCTAGTGTCAATTTCATATAATGCCCTTAAAACACACTTAAAATGTTGTATTTGCAGCTGTATAGCTGTGTCCTAGGTCTAATTGTGCCACAATTCCTTTATGTCATGGCATACGGTAGGGAAAGGTAAGCAGTGCCTTGATCTTGTGTTGTTTTTTTAAAATAAGAAGGCCATATTTTGATAGAATAGTAGTGACAACTCCAAGGTGCAATGCCTGGCTGAAGCAATTCCAGTCTGAGCAAACGAGAACAAATTGTTTATTTGGGGAGCTAAAAGGAATCACTAGATGAGAGTAAATTTGTAAGCATGCTTCATTTTGTTCTGCTGAAGCCTTTAAATTATCCTTGTAATCTCCATTCATTCCTACGGGCCTCGTGCCACAGCAATTATTTGTGGATTGCACTCACACCGAACTGCGCAAGGTGAAATGAATGGCAACAAGGCAGCGCTTGAAAATAGCCACTGAATATCAACGCCCAGTAATCAGAAGCACAATGTCAACACGTTCCAGCAACATTCCACAGACTCCATCTCTTAACCAAAAACGACGACAATGGGAGAATATTTGCACTGCGTGTGACGACGAGATGAAATCACAGACAAAAATAAAAAGCTGAGAGTGATGCCCCATCACATAGATGGAAGAGTCTTACCTTCTTTTGACATATAGCAGAAATTTCGGCTGTAATGGGAAGGTAAACGGAATATCAAAACAGTTATGATCACTCCTTTGACAGGCTGATCTGGGGCCTTACAAGATATTCTAGAGAAAATGGAATTATGAGGTGGTGATAGTGTGACCATCAAAAATCTTGTTTGCCTGTTCAGCACATTTATGTCTCCTAATAGCAGTTTCTGGGGATCGTGAACACGAGAGTTGTATTGCACTAATGCCTCCATTTACATAGATGTCTGGTTGGAGACTTTGAGAACAGAATGCTGGACTAGATGGGCCTGTGGTTTGATCCAGCAAAGCTTCCCTTATTATATGTGTGCTGGAAACAGACCACTAGCCATACAGTACGCTTCCAGAATGAGGCACCTCTTGCAGTTCTGTTTGCAAAGCTAAGCAGGTTTAGACGTCTGGAATGAGACGTCTTTTGTAATTCAGAGCTTCTTCCTCTTACAGTTCTAAAACATGGCAGGTGTTCCCTGCTTCCCACCTACGTGGAAATGGTAAATGATTCTGGCCAGTCCAACACAAGGAGTAGTAACATGACCCTGTTCATGCAGAGGTACATACAGAGGTTCATACAGAGGTAGAAGCCAGAGAATTCATCGGAGCAATATGCACAAGAAGAGATGCACAGATGGTAAAAGTAGTCTGAGCCAAGAGAAGAGCTGGAATAGAGAGTGCCACTAAATTCTGGGTTCATAATAAATTGTCAGGCCTCCGTGGGGTAGAACTCCTGGCACCAGACTCAGGGCTTACTAGAATCTGGATCTCACCACAAGAAGCACTGGCCGAACTCACAACAAATTACCCCCAAAATGTTCAGGGTTAGTGAAATACACAAGAACAAGATCAGCACCAGAGGGTGTCAAGACCTAGCATTTGCCAGGTTCCAGAAAAGTGCTACCATTTCTGCTTTGCACAAAACACCCAATTCTGGAACCAGCACTGCATGAATATAATATAATATAATAATATAATATAATATAATATAATATAATATAATATAATATAATATAATATAATATAATATAATATAATATAATATAAATGCAGTGCTATTTTTCTAGAAAAAGAGGTGCCAGAACTCAACATGAACACCTCCCTCATTCTCTTAGAATGTCAATGGCGCCCACCTGAGAGGTGCCGGAACCGAGTTCCAGTGAGTTCCGACTGAAAAAAGAGATGTGTGGCTCAGGCGCGCTGCAAGCCAGGCCCAGCATTCACCCCTCTCAGGGATGACACCCAGGGCGCCCTGAACCTGCTGCTCCCCCCTTCCTACGCCACCGTTCCAGCCTGTATTTGTTGCAGTCAGAGCTGCTTCCTTTCTGCTGCTGTTCAGATTCCCGTGAGGAATACACGATTCATCTCACTGTGCACTATTTAATGTAAGTTATGTAACTTACATCACATTCATTTCAATGGAAAGCAAATGTTAAAACAATGTCAAAAACGTAACTACCGTATTTTTTGCTCTATAAGACTCACTTTTTTCTTCCTAAAAAGTAAGGGGAAATGTGTGTGTGTGTTATGGAGCGAATGCAGGCTACACAGCTATCCCAGAAGCCAGAACAGTAAGAGGGATTGCTGTGCAACGATCCCTCTTGCTGTTCTGGCTTCTGAGATTCAGAGTATTTTTTTTTTCTTGTTTTCCTCCTCCAAAAACTAGCTGCGTCTTATGGTTTGGTGCGTCTTATAGAGCGAAAAATACAGTAATTATGTCCCTAACATCAATCTACAAATGGCTGACATTGAAGCTGCTCCCCCGAGGAATAGTCCTACTGATTCTCTGCGACCAATTCCAGTCAGGCTGGCAGACAGCAGTTCTGAACACCCTTCAGAAACTGGGTTTTGCCCCTCAAGCCCTTCTAAGTCTGGGCTTGGGCCAGGCAAAAGCTACAGTCAGGCAAAGAATCATAGACACCGAGAGACAATGGGACTGTTCAAGGTGCCCTGACTATAAAATTGGAGAAATCAAGAGATATATAACCGTATCGGCAGCATATCTCTTCTTTCTCGTATCTAAAAATGCCAGAAGGGCCTTTACACTTGCCAGAAGCTCGGCCCTACCCACACCGGTCCTGGAAGGAGCCTTTTAAAAAGTCCCATACGCTCAGAGACTTTGCGCCGGTCCATTGGGGGAGGTAGGAAGCCCAGAGCACTTGTTCTTTAGATGTCCCTTTTATGAAGAGGCACATAGTAAATCCATTGATCCCCTACTGGGTGAGGCTCTCTGACCTCCCGGAAAAGCAAAACTTCGACCTTTTTCTGTTAGGCAAAGATCAGAAGATGGCCCGGATGGTCGCCAGATTCTGTGTACAGACCTGTAGGTGCAGACCACCTCCCAACTCAAACTAGTTCATTAAGAAAATCCCCAAACTCGGTTCTATGGGTGAATCGGCTCCCTGCGGTAGTTTATTGTTGTACTTTTTTAAAAAAAATTATTGCTGTACATTGTTTTAATTGTTTGTTTTTCTTCTGTGACTGTACCCCCAAGGGTGTTTTATAAACTGGTCTCCAACCATAATAAATTATCTATCTATCTATCTATCTATCATCTATCTATCTATCTATCTATCATCTATCTATCATCTATCTAATTATGTATAGATGGTGGACTTAAAAGCAACAATGTGAATGAGTCATATTTGTTTGACTGATTTCCATTTTGGAAACTGAACTGCTGTTATTTCCGCTTCCTTTGCCACTTTTGTCTGTGTTATGTACTGAAGTTCTCACCCTGGGCCAGCAGGGGGATACTGTAGATAGTTATGCAAATAAGGTATCGAAAGTGACGTTCAGTGATTGGATAGTTTGTATGCAAATGAAGGATCGAAAGTGACGTTCAGTGATTGGATAGTTTTAGAAAGTTGTTACAATTATGTGTACTGGAGCTCTATATAAGCAGGCTGACTGAACCCTTCAGTCCTGTTCTGTTCTGGCCTGTGAATAAACAAGAGCTGCTTGAAGAATCGCTGTGTCGTCTGATATGTTCGCCCACAACTTAACAGTCTGGATTCTCTCGCATCTTTAATTTCAACTCTGATCATTCCTGAACTTATGTCAGCTCAAACCATTTGCCCATCTAGTCCAGTATCGCCTGTTCTGACTGGCAGCAGCTCTCCGGGGTCTCAAACAGAGGGTCTTCCCCATCACCTGCTGCCTGGTTTTTTAAACTGGAGGTGCCAGGGATTTGAACTCGGGGCCTCCTGCATGCATGCCACGTTCTCTACCCCCAAGCTATGATACAGGGGCTTGGTTTGAATGACCTTTGAGCACCCTTAGAATCCCACAATTCTATGATTCTATAAAAACACCCATATCACGGTATTGCCATTAGTACTTGCTATCCAACTTTAAATGGTCTTACCTTGTGGTAAAAGAACATCAATCAACCATTCACTGTGATCCCTTAAAAGGAAAGGAAAGAATCAGAGTAGTTTATGATGTGTTTTCCCTACCACCACCACCAAAATAAAATAAAATAAAATAAAATATGAAAAAGCCATTTTTAAACTGCGCAGGCTGGGCTCCTCCTGATTATGGTTCTCTGTAATTTTTACTTCTGAACTGGACTGCTTTGTCACATTGCATTTATCGCACATTACTGTTGTACTGATGTCATGTCTGCTATGTTCTACCCATTTTTTGCAGCTTATATTGAAAATTCCCAATTAGATGAAGAAATACAGAGCACCTTTGACTATCCTCAGATGGCTACGGGTGTGATCCCAACATAAAAAGAGAACAAACAGCTCCACCATCTAATTCGCTTGTTCCTGCTTAAAAGCCAGACCTCCTAGCAAATTTAATTATTTTCACTTCAGGTTTAAATCAAAGATGACTTCAACACCAAGGTGACTTCTATAAAATTAAATTACCTTCCCCCCCCCTTTCTGCAAATGGCCTCGCTGTGATGCCAAGGCTGCTATAAAGCAGCAGGCAAAAATAAGAAGTGCACCTTCTGGTCTAATTTTTAGTAAATGTGCATTTCTTTGCCCTAAATTTTTATTATTATTGGACTCTGAAACTAAGGCAAAATGCTATCAAAGCGGTGAAGCCACGTGCTTCTCTAAACCGCAACCCGCCATACTGTGCTTCTCTAAACCGCAACCCGCCATACTGAACGGCAACCACTGTTACGATTTTATTACACTATAAATATGCTCCCTTCTAAATGTCTCGCGGAAGGCAATAACAACGCCTTGTTGAGATGGAAAGTCGTGTTATCCCTTCCCTGTAATAACTGATGCATGGAGAAGAATTACATGATTTTGTGCCAAAGTTTATAACCTAATCCTGTACAGCCAAGGTTGGGTGCTAGATAGATTACTGCGATGCTCTCTGTGTGGGGCTGCCCTTGAGGTTGGTCCAGAAGGTGCAGTTAGTGTGAAATGCAGTACTTTGAATGCTCACTGGGGCCAGCATGTTACGCCACTGCTCAAAGAATTGCACTGGCTGCCAGCTGGCTGCCAGGTTTTAAGGTGCTAGTTCTGGTGTGTAATGTCTTATACAGCTTGGGACTAGGATACCTGAAATATTTTCTCACCCCTTATCTCATTCACTGCACTCTAAAGATAAGGGCCTCCCACAGGTACAGGGGAATCTCAGTTTTTGAATGTCTCGGAAGCCCAACATTTCAGAACCCGAACACCGAAAACCCAGAAGTGATTGCTTCCGTTTTTGAATGCGCCTCAGAAGTCGAACGGCTTCCAAGGCACGTTTCTCAATTTTCACCATTGAAATTGCTGACAGCCCTCTGCACCTCAGTTGTCGAATGTTTCAGAAGCCGAACTGTCTTCTGGAATGGATTATGTTCGACAACCGAGGTTCCACTGTACCATCTTATCAGGAGGTCTCCACTGTACAATCTCGGAATTGGGCACCTACAGATCCCGTTATATATTTAATAAATAAATGAAATGCCGGGTTTAGAGGTGAGGAAGCCATACCAGACCCCTTCAGAGCCAAACTAGATGTGTTGCCCTGCACACAACTTTTTAGGGCTTGATTTAGATTGGGACTATGGTATGCAGTTTTAAAAAAAAACTCTGCCCCTGCTGCAATCCCATTTTCAGACCTCACGCCTCTGGGGATGTGTTTCAAAAGGCAGAGGGAATATTGTCCCCCACCAAGCTACAAAATCAGAAGTGACCTGAGCAATTTCTTGTGGATATAGGTTTCCATCAGAACAATTTGCTTTTCCCAGTTTGCCGTCGCTCATCCTGAACCAAAAATCCTTCCTTGCAACATCCGGGGAATCCCTTTTCTCCCTCTCCAAAGTAAACCGGGCTGTTTTGCAATCAGGAGACAGCAACTTCTGGCAGCAAGAGTGGAACTGCCTCCAAACAAATCATTTCCTGTGATGCCACATGGACTTGGGTGTCTAAGAAATCAGACCGGATTGGTTTACCATGCTCAATCATCAAATAGCATTTGCACTTACTTGCAAACGTGCCTTGGTTTATTCTGATTTCTAGAAGTTTCAGTACTTAACCATTCAGCTTAAGAGAAAGCTGTGTGGCTTTTGCTTTTGACTTAATTCAGGTTCCAAAGTTTTTGCATAGCTTTTTAGGATAGAGGTTTCTCAAGTTCACCATGATTCTTTTGGTTTGGTCGGCCTCTCTTAAGTCTACCCACCCTGCAATCCTCTGGCTGCATTCTTCACAAAGGTAGAGAGGGGGTGGTTTATCACCCAAAGCCACAGACAAGGAAGGATCTATGCACATCTGAAACACACAGGAAGGACAGGATCAGTTTCTCTCCAGAAATGTGCTCTAGTCAGTGAACACAAATCCCCTGCATGTGACCAAAAAAACCACCACCTCATTGCTTCCACTGACGTAAGGGAATCTGTGTTCATGAGCCTCAAGCCTCTCTCAGGCATTCTTACCAGCTTTCTTTGTGCTTAGGTATGGGAAAGGCTCATCAATTAAGATGGCACAGGTGAGCTGAATGTTTTGTTTGGGATATTGGCATTGCAGAGAAAGAAGACAGAATACTGTCATTGCTAATGGCCAACTTTGGTTCAGAATAACGCATTCATGTTTGCAGAGCTCTCTGTGGAGAAAACTAAGTGCAGTCGCAAACTAAGCAGAGCTTCTGCACAAACAAGATTTGGGGTGGACAAGAATAGAAAAGGCTGTTAAACTACAATATTAAGAGAGAACTGGTACCGCTTGTTTCTGAACTGAAATGTGGATGCAACTTACTGGATGAAAGGGATGCGAGTAGGCTCTTTTAGAGCACGAGAGTCATTCAGGGTCATTGTTAACCCCTGATATGTAACTGCTCAGGAATCACAGGATATGCCATGATATCAGCATAGAAAATGGGTGGTACTACTCATGGGTGGGGGAGCTCAACACAGGGACGTCAGTTTGGGTGGTATCCCCGAGTCTTCTGTAAGGTTCAGTATGTTCTGCTCTAATTACCATGAGATCATACATTCAGCTCTGCTCAAATGCTATCATATCCACTCAGAGCTATTAAAGGTAAAGGTAAAGGTAAAGGTCCAGTCGTGGACGACTCTGGGGTTGCGCGCTCATCTCGCTTTACAGGCCAAGGGAGCCGGCGTTTGTCCGCAGACAGCTTCCGGGTCATGTGGCCAGCCTGACTAAGCCGCTTCTGGCGAACCAGAGCAGCGCACAGAAATGCCGTTTACCTTCCCGCCGGAGCGGTACCTATTTATTTACTTGCATTTTGACGCGCTTTCGAACTGCCAGGTGGGCAGGAGCTGGGACCGAACAACGGGAGCTCACCCCGTCGCAGGGATTCAAACCGCTGACCTTCTGATCAGCAAGCCCTAGGCTCTGTGGTTTAGACCACAGTGCCACCCGTGCCCCCATATCTGACAATTAGGACCAAACAAATTTATACTCCTAACATGCAGTGAGTGACCATGTACTAGGCACAGGGGGGAATGTTTATTGGAACCACAGCACATGGACAGAGGAGGGTTAACTCTTTCCTTTCCAGATGTGATGATCCTGACAAAAATCCCCCTCCCAGTGCAGCAAATAACATGGTCGGGGGGGGAACCCCCCTGCAGCATGGAGGGCACTTTTTGTTGGCATCACAAATGCCAAAGGGAGGATTAAACTTCTCCTCCCCATGCACTGCGGTTCTGATGAAAATCCCCCCCCATGATGGTTTGTATTAATTTTCTTATTTTAAAATTCCATTACATGCACACTGACAATGTCCTTAGCATAATACGTACTTTAACCCTTCATCCTGAGCTATTTGAGGAATGAAGATGCTACCCAGGAACACCAAACCCAAACTGGGGAGAATAGTGGTTTTTACCAGTATTCTGCTGTCAAAGGTACAGTACAGAACGCAATGTACTGTTTAGGTTTACAGTTGCCCAGCACTCCAGTCCTGTAGCTGAAGGATGGTAACAGTGGCTCAAAGACAGATAGCATCTGCTCCAACAGGTAGGACTATCCTATATAGGAGGAGGGGCCAATTTAGGGCCACCTTTTCTTGGTCACACTTTGCTCCTGGCACGGTAAGGCCTCTGGTCCTCTATAAAGTGTATACATTCCAAGTAGTCCAATGTTCAAGGGGCATGGGAAGCAATGTGTCTCTTCAAGGAGAGGCAAATTTGTCTCTGGGTGCAGAATTATAGCAGGATTAAGAAGAAATCCCCGTTCCAGGGGCAAACTAGAGAAAAGTTTCTAACCAATTCAAAGGTAGGGATACAGGGGTTGCTGTAATGTTTGGTTATGCCTGGCAATGCCACGGTTTGAATAGAAGGTATTTTGGAGATGTGGCCGTCCCTTCATTTGTTCACTCTTAATGACAGATAACCCCACTATTCCAGCAACTGCTGGGACATCATTAGCCCCTCAGTGGGCACAGTCTAAGGGGTGCATAAGTGTCCATTACCTTCACTGCTGGCTTGTTAATGGCATTATGGCATTCAATGTGCTGACAGTGTATGGGGTTCCATGCTGAAAAACAAAACCATCACTGATGAACACACATAAGTCTATTGATGAGCTAAATATGGGTCAGATACAATGCTGAGAGACCATTTCTACCAGCTGTACTCATTTCAGGTGATGAGATTTTGTTTCAGGTTCAGGTTGAGATACTGAACACCAGTTTAGAATTATTTTTACTCTCCAGTTCTTATGTCAGCTCTGGCAACTACCGAGTTGGGGGGCACTGAGAGTGCATGCCTGCATTATGGATCCAGGTTCAGTGATCAGCACGTCCATTTAAATGCTAACAGGCTGCCTGCAGAAAAGAATTCTGCCTGGGAACCTAGAGAGGCATTAAATACACTGAACTTGATGAGAATCTCCCTCTATTCTAATGCTGGGAAGTCTTGTTTATTATTCTGCATATACAGTAAAACATATTTCTCCAGCTAGTTTGCACAGTCATATTCATCACTTGACTTCTGCAGCATGTGCTTGCTTGCTTGCTTGCTTGCATGGAGGGAGGAATGGGCCATTGCAGAGTTAAGACAGAACTGGTTGTGTTCACACGTCACAATAATGAGCAGTAATGAATTTCAATGAACTTTGCGCTCACCTGCTTCTTCCTCTTCCTCTTCCTCTTGCATAGCCACTAGAACAGGGGTCTGCAACCCGCGGCTCCGGAGCCGCATGTGGCTCTTTTACACCTTTGCCGCGGCTCCGGGGTGGATACTAGCGAGGGGAGGAGGCGAATTGTGCGCCCCGACACTCCCCACTGTGGCGGGCGCTGTACTGGCTGTGACATCGCATGGGGACAGTGCGTGCGTTAGTCACGCACCGTCCCAACGTCACCTTCCCGGTTTTGCGGCTCCCAGGTTTTTTTTCCTTCGGAAACGGGTCCAAGTGGCTCTTTTTGTCTTAAAGGTTGCAGACCCCTGCACTAGAAGGACCCTGGAAGCTTTTGCTTCCACTTCTGCTTAACCATGGTTTGTTGCATTCCTGGAGCAACAAACTGGTTTAGGGTTAGTTTAAAGCAAGTTAGCTCCAAGCCATGGTTTCTGAGGCTGGCTTGTTTAAACTATCCATAGTTCCAGCTCAGGAGCATTGTGGCTGAACAAAAGCAGAAGAAGCTTCTGAACTGCTCCTCCCGTCAAAATGTGATGGGGAGGATCACACAAGCCAAAAGCTCACCTGCAGCTCATTCTAGATCGTACGTGACTTGTGAACGGGCCATAGTATCAAAATGAGAACCCACAATAAGTCTGTCTGCTGTAGCACAAGCCTTCCCAGCTTCATAATTTGAGTGGCTGGCATGTATACTAGCACACTGAAAGCTGGTTCAGTTATCAGACTTTCCCCTCCCAATCTCCATGCTTCAGGTGAGCTGTTCCCCCTTTTAAAGAAATGTTTAAAAGAATAGCACACGTGAATTGCCCCTACATGAGAACAAAGAGAGAATGCAGAAGCGGAGCAGAAAAGCCAAGAAAGACATTTCCCTTACCCTCCTGGAATCCAAACAAGTTACAGAAAAGATATCAAGAGGGGAATTCACACAGCGGCCGATTGACAGGTGTCATGCCTGACCAACTGCGCAACTCAGCAATTTCATTATAGAATCATAGAATTCGAAGGTGCCCAATGGATCACCTCATCCAGCCCTCTGCCCTGAAAGAGAACCTCCTAAGTCTAAAGCATATCTGAGAGCTATCTGAAAATTCACGGAGGGAGTACCTTGGGAGCGCATTCCAACACTGAACTTTTTTTCTAGTCAAGAAACTGTCGCCTACTTTACTTTTTAAATTACCAGGAACACGTTATCCCAGAAACACCTTGCTGCATGTAAGCATTTACTACACAGTTCTGCGAACACACTGTTAGTTAGAAGTGAATGTGTCGATTCGGGGGTGGGAACCATCCATCTCTTAGCATCCATGACAATATTGAGTTAGGCTTCAGCATCCAGCTCTAAGATACAGGTGCGCTGCGCATCACTTACCTGTATACTGCAGTCCTCGGTATTCGCTTATTGCCCCGGGTGGTTTTAAGTTGGGCCAGTAGTGGAAAAGCATTTGTACGGCCGGTGGTTTTACTTGAGAAGGACCATACGCTATTACGTAGAGCAAGTCCTAAAAGAGAAACAGGGCTGTAGGTTGAATTTCAGAAGGCGTCACAGGGGCAGAATGCAGAAAACTGTGTGCATTTTGTTGCACCTTTGAAGGCCTGCACTTTGGCTGCAATGCTATACCCACTCACTTGAACTCAGTGGCTCTTACTACTGAGTAGACCATGCCTAGGATTGTGATGTTTGGCAGCAGTCTTGGGCACTACACACTTACCAGGGAGCAAGCCCAATTGAACTCAACTGGGGCTCACTTCCAAGTAGATGCAACCAGGATTGCAACGACTGCCTCAAAACGCCTCCCTCTGTTCTGTTTAGTATTGTATTTTATTTTACTAGCTGCCCTGTGTTCTCCTTGGGATATGTATATGGAGTGAATGCTCAGCGGTGGTGCCAAAACTTAAGAATCCCCCTCCTGTTGACATCCACAGAATTTCCTACTCTACTTGCTCTGAGGCAGGTTCAAAAGATTCATTTCAACCATCTTTAAACGCATAATTATATGCTGCACAGTTCTAACTGCAGCAGCTATTAGCTATTTTATCCTTTTTAGTTTAGTTTTGTAGTTTGTCTTGGTGGTGGCTGCACTGTGAACAAGAATGGGCAAAGCTTTCAGTTTCTCATTTTTCTAATCTTAAATTAAGTTCACATTGGTTTGTGAGCTTTTTTTTTTTTAGCCATCGTGAAAATTCATGCATATTTTTGTGTTCGCTTTCCCTACTATATGCATTTTTGCAAGCCATTTCCTGATATGTAATGGATTTTTGCACATTTATGTGCACCCTTTTTGCTGATATATGTATTTTGCACACATTTGGGGTGGAGGACTGCATCGCAAAATTCAGAGAAATCAAAACTTTCAAAAGGATAGTTGCAATTTGGTCTGCTTTTTATTTCCCCCTGTGTGAATTAGGTAGGTCCACATTAAAGCGAGAGCTGAACAAATGTCTTGCCCATCACTAATTGCAAACCACTTATTAACCACAGGGCTGCTGAAGATTGAACAAACTAGAAAAAAAGACAATCAGGTGTAGTAGAGCAATCCAAGTTAAAGGAAACATCCAGGCAGGGCTGGTTCAAGGCATTTTGCTACCCGAGGCAGAAGAGCACATACCCCCCTCTGCACAGACAATAGAGGTGTATCCTATATTGTATTTATTCCATTTAATTATTACTTAATTTTCAGAGCCAAGCTCCCATTAAGCAATTCAGGGCTTCATACGCACCATACACTTAAAGCACATTACTCCCCTTACCAATTAATCCTGGGAACTGTAGTTTACTCCCTACAATTTCCAGCACCCTTAAAAAACTACAGTTCCCATGATTCTTTGGTCACGTGCTTTAAATGTATGCAGCCAGAAAGAGAAATAAAACAATAGAACTTCAGAAAGCGTATGAAGCACCAAACAGACACAGACAAACAGATGCATAAGGTAATGATCACCAGCATCATTCTCTTTAAGGAAAGGCAAGTTATCCATGACTGGCTAAGTTATTTAGGCACTGCAAACAGAAAATTCTGCAAGTTCCTCTCCCCTTCTCTGGCAGTAGAAATGCAAAATTAAATAGCAATCTATTTACTGCCCCTCTCATGAGACCAAAAATCATCTTCCTAAGTAAGCTTCCTCACTCTGCCTAATGGTAGGGCCAGTCCTGAATCCAGGCCTCCAGTAACCACAAAAATTGGACCCAGCAATGACCAACTCTGTTGCTGAAAAGGCCAGAAAGCCAAGCTTCCTACCCCATACTCTGGGTTCTAGAGCAGGGTTTCCCAAACTTGGATCTTCAGCTGTTTGGGGACTACAGTTCCCATCGTCCCTGACCACTGGTCCTGCTAGCTAGGGATGGTGGGAGTTGTAGTCCAAAAGCAGCTGGAGAACCAAGTTCCTGGAGAACCAAGGAAACCTTGTTCTAGACAATGTTGCTGGCTCCTAAATTTTGCAAACCACAATGCAAAGCAACATTCTAGCCCTCTATGAATTTGTGTTGTTTTGAACTGATTTGGTTTAAAGAAACAAAAAGACTGCATCAGTGCTATTTCCACACACCCCTCCCCCGTGCTATTTCCCCTTGTGGCCTAAGTCACTTCTAAAAACATACCATGACGAAGGATTCCACCTAGGATGCAGGGGGAAAGGCATGCACAAATTCCTATTGCAATACAGTCCTTCAGGAAATGGGTCAGACATGTACATTTTCCCAACTCATTTGGTCATTTACTAGGATTTCAATGTTAAAATAGGGCATTGTTCATTCTACTCTTTTTGTAAAACATATTTGGTCCGGCACTTACTTTCCAAACTTCTTGTTTGTACTTCATAAGGCATTCCAGTAACTGACAATGGTACACTGGAAGAGAAAAAGCAGACTCCTTGAAACACAAAATGAAGGAACGAAAGTGCTTTGTAGCATGCTGATTGGCTTAATTCATAGCTGCCAGTTCAAAGCCTGCATAGCAAATGGGTAGCAATTGCAGTTTCTAAGTCATGGAATTGTCCAATTCCCTGCAATGCAGGAATCACAGCTGAAGAATCCCTGGCAAACGGCCATCCAACGTCTGTTTAAAAACCTCCATTGAAAGAAAGCCCCCACCACATTCCAATGAGTATCCCTTACATGGATTCAGGAAGTCAATTCAAATGTTCATCAAGCTCACATGATACAGTCCTCATGAGCCTGTATCAGAACCCACGTGGGAGAACGCATGTGTGAATGTGCTCCCCGTGTCTCAGCATGCCTCTTTGCAGAAAACTTACTGGGTTAGATCCAGACTTGGTCATGCTTAGCGCTGACCCAATGAAATAGGCTTTAGCTATTTCCTTGACTGCTCTGTGTGTACACTGCTTTGAAAACAACTGAGGAAATGTGATTTTAAAGAAATTTTGCAGTACAAATATTCTATAACTCGTAAGCTTAGTAAAAGATGTATATGAGACCTTACATTCTTATAATTCGTTACATTTCTTATACATCACAATCATATAAGATATATTGTTTGTCTGTTTATTTTGATGCCACTATTGACCTCCCAGAAGGAGCCTGGGGTGGCAAACTCTGAAGTGGTAAAACAATGAAACAATGAAAATAAAGCGAAAAAGTATTTTAAAATATCTAAAAGCGTCTATGCTGTGTACAGACTGCTAAATTTAAAGTTGATACACATAACACAGCCAAAATTATAACAAATAGGTAACAAAAAGCAGTATGTTCACCTAGGTTCACAGAAATACAATATGGGTAACCTTCAAGAGAAGATTTGTTGAAAAAACTGGGTTTTCAGATGGTGCAGCCAGCCTAACCTGGTCAAAGAAAAGTCCCATAATCTCAAGAGCGCCACACTGAATGCTCCATTCCTGATTGATGAAGACATGATGTAACCACAAACCCATCACTCGTGCCTCAGTTGCAGATTATAAAAATCAGATGGAGGTACAAAAGATGAGGCAGTCCTTTAAATGCACTGGTCCCAAGTGGTTTCGGGCTTTAAACACTGGTAATAACATTTTGAACTTGGCTCGGTAACAAATTGGCAGCCACAGCTTGGACACCCACACCTGACTCAGACATTGTGGAGAATCAGAGCAGGGTGTCATCAGCATACTGATGGCACTCCACCCCCCCCCCAAAAAAAAAACACCGCCTCCTAATATCTGCTCCCAATTCCTTCATGTAGATGTTAAATAAATTAGGGTTGCCATAAATCCGGGATGACGGACGTAGTGTCCAGGGGAAATTTGGAAAATTGGCCAAATGTCTGGAATTTTGAGGTTTTCTCAACAACTTTGGGTGTCCGGATTTTGGGGGCAAAGAGAATTCTGGCGGTGTTCCTCTTTGGATGCGAACATGTAGGTAGGACTGGAACCATTGTAAAACAGTGCCCTAAATTCAGCTAAGTCTGAATCCAACCCATCTTAAAAGGAAAATAATAACCTTAAGAACAGAGTATTAGGAAGCTTGGCCAACTCATTTCCTAAATATTTTGAAACTGCTTTTGAAGGATCTGGTGCCAGTCATCTTTTTAACAACAGCAGTGCCATAATAGGTGTGCCACAAGGAAAAAGTCAACAGGTAAAGCCCATGCATGAGTGCACAGTATATCTATGCCACAAGAGAGATAGGTTCACCTGCTGTGCTGTTGTTGTTTTTTAAAGGTGGCAGATATACCTCACACAGAATAACTGAATATGTTTATCAGATCCAGCATGACTGCTCCTATCTTTCTAATTGCAATCAACTTATGAGACTGTAGGAGGCATAATTTGCCCTTCTATAAGGAGGCTTCATTAGGAAACTTACCAAAGTGCAGGATATGAAGCAATCAACACATTCGCCTCTAAATTTAATGTGAAACTTCAGTGTTCCTTAATTATCACTAAGGCAGTTGTGGGGTTTTGTTTAGTTAAAAAAAATCTGATGCTGTTTAATTTTCTGGTGTTAAAATAGAATTTACAGAACTGGTTCAAAGTCTCCAACACTGGGATCCAAATGTACTTTTGAAACACTGTGAAATTAATTATCACCAAAATAGCTGCTTCCGGCACTAGACTCAGACATTCTCATGGGGCTGTTTTCAGTTCTTTTGCAAAATAAGAACACAGCAAGAGGGATTAAGAACTGGTTGAGAAGCAATTCATGTAGTGTTAGCTTTCCAATAGTAAAGGGGACCCCTGACCATTAGGTCCAGTCATGACTGACTCTGGGGTTGCGGCGCTCATCTTGCTTTATTGGCCAAGGGAGCCGGCGTACAGCTTCCGGGTCATGTGGTCAGCATGACTAAGCCTCTTCTGGCGAACCAGAGCAGCGCACAGAAATGCCGTTTACCTTCCCGCTGGAGTGGTACCTATTTATCTACTTACACTTTGACGTGCTTTCGAAATGCTAGGTTGGCAGGAGCAGGGACCGAGCAACGGGAGCTCACCCCATTGCGGGGATTCGAACCGCCAACCTTCTGACTGGCAAGTCCTAGGCTCTGTTGTTTAACCCACAGTGCCACCTGCGTCCCAGTAGCTTTCCAGTAGCTCTGCTCAAAAAACGTTTTTCACCGTTTCCATGTTTTAAACGTTATGTGATTTATGTCCAGGAAGAATGACAGGTGAACAAACGGTCAGAAAAACCAGTACATACCAGGGTTGGATGTATACTGCATTGCGATCATTAGCATTGAAGATGCAGAAAGATTAACATGAGCAGGTACTCCTTCTCTTCTTGAGGAGCCCACTTCAAAGAAAACAAACAAGGTATTAGTAGCGAGCAATCCAAATTTGCCTATTATTCTAAGCAATTCATCCAAATATCAAATTTCTAACTATTCAGTTAAACTGACACTACAAGCATGATATCTTCTGGAAGGTTATCCCAATACATCTTACTGCAGTATTCTAGAGCTCTTGTTTTCTGCACACAGTGGTACCTCAGGTTACAGACGCTTCAGGTTACAGGCGCTTCAGGTTACAGACTCCGCTAACCCAGAAATAGTACCTCGGGTTAAGAACTTTGCTTCAGGATGAGAAGAGAAATTGTGCGGCGGCAGCGGGAGGCCCCATTAGCTAAAGTGGTACCTCAGGTTAAGAACAGTTTCAGGTTAAGAACGGATCTCTGGAACGAATTAAGTTCTTAACCTGAGGTACCACTGTAGTTTGTATAGCCAAAGACTCCTCCCTGACTCACATTTGCCTGGTTTGCACATAACACTAAGCCAATTATCACGTCATGAGAACGAGCAATCGTGCAGATCCGTCCACCTAAATGAGACTTGCTACGAACATTGGGAGATTCAGGGCCAACAAAAGGAATCACAGAATTGTAGAGTTGGAAGGGACCCCATGGGTTATATCGTCCAATTTCCTGCAATGCAGGAATCTCAGCTAAAGCATCCATGACAGATGGACGTCCAACCTCTGCTTAAAAACCTCCAAGGACGGAGTGTCCACAAGCTCCTGAGGGAGACCATTTCACTGTAGAACAGCTCTTACTGTCAGAAAGTTCTTCTGTATCTTTAGTCGGAATCTCCTTCCTTGTAACTTGAAGCCATTGGTTCGGGTCCTACCCTCCAGAGCAGGAGAAAACAAGCTTGCTTCACCTTCCATATGACAGCCCTTGAGATATTTGAAGATGACTATCGTATAGGATTGCAGCTGTCATGAGCTGTACAACTTCCTGTATCATCACTACAGTAGCTGAACACTTGGCAACAACGCTCATTGAAATTCATTTGGAATTACAAAAAAAGCAAGATTAAAAGCAAAAAAGAAAAGAAAAAAGGACGATGAGAAGGAAAGAGGCTTCAGGTTCCAAACTTAACTTTGTTGTATATTACAAATTGTATTAACTGGTTAGCAGATCGGACAATAGAATAATGTTCAGATATTTCAAAACTGGAGCAAAATATTATAGGCATCCCACTATGTGAATTACTCTGGAGTAATAAAAAGCTTTGCTAAAGATCTGGCATCGATATAAAAGATTGCTACATCTAAGCCCATCCCTACCTGAATCGTTAACAGACAGGATAAAAGGAAGCAAGAGGATGGATTTTCAAATGTGGAATAACAATAACTTATTTAGGTTTAAAGATATTGTGACTCAGGAATCAATGATTTCAGAAAGCAGCTCCAGTGCAGAAATTTCCAGCTGGTTTGAATATTTTCAGATAAGATCTTCAGTGCAGGGATGTCTTGGAGAGCAAGCACAGTCAAAAGAGCTTCTGGAATGTGAAACACTAATTGTAAAAAACCAATAGCGTTTGGATATTAATTGAGCATCCACCAGTCTTTCGCTTCTGGGGATCATCTCCAAAAAATGCAAAATAAACTGGAACTTGCCTTTTCCAAGTGCTGTGAGCTGGAGAGGCTTTGGCGATATGGCCATAGAAAGCAGTTCTGCATATCAAAGGAGGCGGGGACTCAGCAAATGAGCTAATCTAATCATGAGCAGCTCATGATTTTATATACGCTAAAACGGCATTGTATCTCAGATAGCATTCTTCTCCTGAAGAAATCAGACTCCACACATACTCTAAAACTGACCCAGGAAATGGTTGTGATGTATTCTGCTTGCAAAAATTAAGACTGTGACCCTGTACGTTGCTTTCCTGGAAGTTCTGATTGTTTGTTTTTGCTTCTGAGTAGACCTGAATATGATCGCACTGTGAAATTCTGAAATAGGCATGCTCCAATGGTATATTATTGAAAATACAAAACGCATAAAGGCATCAAAAGCAGAACTAAGAGGAAAGAAATAAAACAGATATTGTATTCAAAGATAAATATCAATCAAGATGCATTATTATTATTATTATTATTATTATTATTTATTATTAAAGTCCTGGAAATAGGGTGGGTCCTGAAAACACAAGTCCCAGGTTCAAAGGCCAGGGTAAATCGGTATGTTTTAATCCACCAAGCATAATACAAATACAAAGATAGATGCATAATGGGCAGAGAAGAAAAATAAAATACCTCTTCCCATCATCTTACATGCACGAGTTAATGTTGACTATTGCTTTTTGGAGAACTATTCCATAAGTAAGAGGAAAATTTAGACATGGAGCCAAGAGAGGGCAGAAAATGTAGCATTCCACTATTATTAGCGTACTGATTCACTGACAGATTGAAAAGCATTTATAAACTACTTAATATTCTATTCTCAAGTATACAATATTTTAAAAGTTATTGAAACAAAAATACATCCAAAAACCAATAAAATAGCATTAGGAAAACACACAATTGCATATAAAAGCAAATGAAACAAAAATGTAAGCAGATAAAACAGGGTCCAGTCTCATGGGTCATGGAGAGCCCATCTGAACCAGACATCTGAAGCAACTGCTGGTTGCTGCTTTGTGTATGGCACAGGGAAGAGCATTCTGAAAAATGTCTGTTTCCAGGTCACACACACACCCTATGATTTTCTTTAGGGTGCAGTACCACAAACAGAATTTCCTCAGAATACTGATGTAGTAAACAGAAAGCGAATTCTGATGCCTTTCCAGAGTTACCTTTTCTACACATTTACAGCAAATCGTCACCGCTCTGAGTCTTAAAAATACTGGGTTGTATGTGAAATTTCAATGGGTTTACACTGAGTATGACTAACTTCAGACACAAACCATTGTATTTTATGAACTGCCATGTATCCTGGGTATGACAACCAGGGGTAGGGCCTTCTCTGTGGTAGCCCCCTCAGAACTCTGACAAGTTCCAAGATGATATTTTGGCACTTGTTATGAAAAACATACCTGTGCCCTACACCCTTTCTGGATCAATTAATGGTGCCCTTGGGGTTACCATTCATATTTCATTTATATTACTCTGATTTTACTCTGTCTGCTTTTATCGTTTTAACTTGCACATTGTCATCTAATAGCTAGTGTACAGATACTTTTACAGATAAATAAATAAAGGAGACCTTGGCATGAGAGGTGTTTTGCGCCGATGAAGCTCCTGAATCAGTGGCATATCCATAGTAAGGCCCAGAGCATTCAAGTCAGTAAGGAGCTCTTGACAGGCTTTGGTACAATAGTATTTTCAATTTCCCAGAGCCATCCTTCCACAGGCTTTGGCGCAGAATGCCGCTTTATTTGCAAAATTGCAAATTCCACCACTCACCTAACAAAGCCTGTCAGTGAAAGCCCTGCATAAGGGCTTCTGTTCCCTCAAACACACCATAAACCACCTGAAATTGGCTCAGGGGGGATCAGGAGAACCCCCAGAAGAGGATTCAAGAGAAAGGGAAGGGGGATTATTCCATCTGCCAGGCTGATACAAAACATTTGTGATAGCACAACATTGAATTCCACTGGGAGCATCGTAACTATAAAATCTATACTCAATATTTCTATGTAGGACAAGGAGATGCCTTGGGGTTGTTTCTACAGGCCAGTTAATCCTATACAGCACACTCACGTTGCTACGGGAAACACCAGTGTTTTTCCACCACCCTTTTCTTTCGGAATTTACTTACATATAGCCATGGGCAAGAACGAGGTGCTGAGATACTCGACGATGTCTTTGTGCAGAAAGGGCGGGAACGTGGCTAATGTGGAGATCATGGTATACGGTAAAGTGCTCAAGATGTCGTCGTTGAGAAACGGGAGCAAGCACGTGGTTGTGTAAAAAATGGACTGTCCGAGATCTGCCAAGAGGAAGAGAAAAGAGACAACAGTGAATGCACAGCTACCATCAAAGCGGGAGAAGGCGCCCTACGTATTATATCTACCTTCCCACACCACCTGGTCCCCCTCCAAAAGTTCTGCAGGTGGGGTGTCAGGTGGGGGTAAGCTGCTTTATAGCTTTCTGTGATAGATCCAATCAAGGTCACTGATGACCAAAGGAGTCCTTCTGGGGCACAGGGAGGCAAGAGAGGGAGGGAGGCTTACAACAGAAATTGGAGGAAACTGTCCTTTCAAAATAATGCTTGACCCAAAGACTGCTCTGCCCGGGGCTGAGCCACCCTGAGTGCCCATAAGCCCATTTTAGGTAGTGCCATTTGTCCAGGCATTGGGTAGTCCCTAGCAGCTGCTGATGCGAAATGGTAAAGTGAGGAGGGGCTATAAGGAGCAGGAGGTGGATGGAGGTCTGCCTCTGCTGCTAGACCATCATATTGAGGCCACCAGAAGCCAAACTGCACTGAAAATGCAGTATGGATGAGGGAGAAAGGAGAACAAAGGAAGGATGGAAGTGAGTGAGAGGAGGAAGGCACGGCCTGGTCCAACACATTTTAGAAAAAGTGAAGAACCAGCTTCCTGGCCTCTTCAGCAACAAACCAAGTACCAAGCCCAGTTCATTAGGCACCAGTGGTGACTGTTTGTCTGGATTTTAGGAAAACAGGAAGCTCCCTGTAAGTCAGGTCATTGGTTTGTCTAGTTCAATAGTGTTGACCCTAACTGACAGTAACTGTGGGGTTTCAGATAGGGGTCTGCCCAGCCTTACCTGGAGGTGCCTGGGATTGAACTTGGAGTCTTTTGCATGCAAGGCAGATGATCTGCCACTGAGCTATAGCACTCCAGGGTGCGTAAAATTTCCAAAGTTAAAAGCACTTCCAAGTTACATTGATTTCAATGGGACACTTAGTGCAATTGAAACCAAACTAGGACTTGAAATGATCTCCTGTTGGCTGGATCGCTCCCAAACTTTAAGGCAAAATCAAATTACTGCTCCTTCTGCCAGAATTTCTGAATGAGAGGATCCCAAAGGGACTGTGAATGCAATTGAACATAACAGTTTTGCTGATTTACTCCAATGATTTTGGTATTATCAGTGTCCTAAATAGAGAAGCACAGACCTGCAACCTCAGTATACATAATCAAGGAATGCAAAATCTACAGCAGAAACACTTTTGACCAATGCTATCCATCACAGAGTGATTTGTCGCAAAGCAAAAGGCTATTAAAAGATACGTCACTATATTTAATACACTGTATGTATTACTATAATTACAACATTCTCTTGGCTACAATATCATTCCCCACTCCACATGGTTGCTTGTCAAAGGTAGAATCTCTAAACATGGTGGTTCAATTCCTTTCCAGACTTCATGCAATAACAGTCAAAAGTGGAGTGCCCCAGGGTCCATTGTTGTTCAACCTCAATGTAAACATCTTGGGATGCTTATCAAATTTGCAGATTACACCAACATGGGAGGAATAGCAAAGGTGGCTGAGGACAGAATCTGGATTCAAGATTACCTTAAAAGATTGGAGAACTGGGCCAAAACCAACAAAATGAATTTCAGTAGGGACAAATGTAAGGTTCTCCACTTAGGCAGGAAGAACCAGATGCACAAATATAGGATGGGGAAACTCTGGCTTAACAGTAGTACATGTGAAAACGATACAGGGCTCTTAGTAGACCACAAGCTTAATATGAGTCAACAGTGTGATGCAGCAGCAAAAAGACATCAATAGAAATTTAGTGTCCAGATCAAGAGAAGTAATAGTACTGCTCTATTATGCCTTGGTCAGACCACACCTGGAATACAGTGTCCAATTCTGGGCACCACAATTTAAAAAGGATATTGACAAGCTGGAATGTGTGCAGAGGAGAGTGGCCAAAATGATCAAGGGTCTGGAAACCAAGCCTTATGAGGCATGGTTGAGGGAACTGGGTATGTTTAGCCTGATAAAGAAGAGACTGAGAGGAGACAGCCATCTTCCAATATCTAAAGAGCTGTCACATGGAAAATGAAACCCAAACCAATGGCTTCAAGTTATGAGAAATGAGCTTCTGACTAAACTTCCAGAGGAACTTTCTGACAGATACCTATTTCCTCAAGTAAATGCCTTTCTTAAGTCTTCCATCTCTACAGCAGATGGCTTCTCCCAAGGACAGTGCTGAAACTAGTCAAGCAAAAGGGAACACATACGCACCATTAAAGCACTTTTACATCCCCTTAAACAGCCATGGCTTCTCCCAAAGAATCCTGGGTAAATTTTGCCAAGGCTGCTGAGAGCTACTTTCCCCTCACAGAGCTACAATTCCCTGAAAATAGAGCTTGATTGTTAAACCACTGTGAGGACTGTAGCTCCGTGAAGAGAACAGGAGCCTCCTGGCCACTCAGCACCCTTAAGAAACTACAGTTCCCAGGATTCTTTGGGGAAAGCTACAACTGGTTAAAGTGGTATAACGGTGCTTTAAAAGTATGCTGTGGGTGCAGCCCGTCTCTGAACAAATGGAGCTGCACCAAACTGAGCCATGGGTTCACATAAGCCAGTATTGTCCACCCTGCCAAGTGGTTTTTCTCCAGTGCCTCAGGCACTGAACAGCAGCTGCTACCTGGAGATCCTGAGGGTTCAACCTGGGACCTTGAGTTTGCAAAGCATGTTTTCTGCCACTAAGGATGAGGGAGTGCAGCTAAGGCATTTTAGGGGGAGCTGAGTGCTTACACTCAGAACACAAGTTTCCAGTACCCAGACTGGTCCCTCCAAACTTTGGGCCTTCTCCTGTCCCACAGCTATCCTAGATCAGAAGACGTTAAAGCTGTGGGAGGCTTGATACAGTGGATATATACAGGAAATAAGGGCCAACTGCACCTTCTGGTTGAAAGTGAAGCATGGCAGAATTTGCAATGAAAGAAGGGCAAGAATGTCTATTAAAAAGGGCCTCTTTGTGTGTTGATTCCCTGATAGCTGGAATGTCAAGCCATGGCTTAGAAGGCTGAGGAAGCCTTTGTAAATCCAACACCACAAGGAAAACACTTGTTCCAGTGCAGACACAATGCTGCACAGCTGGGCCAATTTGTTCGTTCACAGCAGCGAGCCATCAAGCAGAGAGCAGCCACTGAGGCGTTGTGTATATTTGTGTGAGAGAGAACGAACGAAATCAGCCAGCCTAAAATGGCTGGCAGAATGGATGAGGAAAGCTTGGGGAAGGGCCATAGCTCATTGGAAAAAACATCTTTGGATGCAGAAAGTCCCAGGTTTGATCTCTGGTGCCTCCGGTTAGGACTCCTGTCTGAAATTCAGTGAAAGCAATACTGAGCTAGATGGATCAATGATTTGAACTCGGGATAAGGCAGTGTCCTATGTGAGATTTTGGGTGAGTGGGAGTAGGTTAAGGCAAGACTGACCCCCATAACACGTCTGGATCCCACAACACTTGTGGACTGCCCTGAGATCTTGAAGGGTGGTATAGTCGTACCTCGGAAGTAGAACGGAATCCTTTCCAGAAGTCTGTTCAACTTCCAAAACGTTCGGAAACCAAGGCGCAGCTTCCAATTGGCTGCAGAAAGCTCCTGCAGCCAATCGGAAGCCGCAGAAGCCATGTCGGACGTTCGGGTTCCAAAGAACATTCGCAAACCAGAACACTCACTTCCGGGTTTGCGGCATTCGGGAGCCAAAACGTTCGAATCACAAGGCGTTCGTCAACCAAGGTACGGCTGTATATGAATTTAATAAATAATATTAATAAATAAACACAGCAAGACTCCATTCCTAAAGCACTTGCAGAGAAGAGTAGAGTGCCTCTAGAATCTAAGACAACATTTTCAGATACATATCTCTACGCCAATACATTATAACTGTCCTTGGATCCGTCAAATTTGCAAAACATAAAACATCTAGATATCTGCCGATTTAAGGTTTTCTTATTGACATAAGCCCGGTGTAGATAATGGTGTATCTACAGAATAGAAACAAGATACAAAATTTGGATCCGTGCCAATTCAAGCCTATTTTTGAAATCTGTTTTTTTCTCATTCATACAAGCCAAGTGTTGATGCCATGCCCCCAAGCTGTCTGTAAGGATTCAAAAGTTCCACTTACCATGCTGGCCATGTTGTAGCAAAGGAACTAGATCCAGCAGAGTCACCAATGTCACGTATAGTCCTTGATAGTCCAATGAAGGGTAGTCTGATAACTGAGCATCACGACTTTGCTGGCCGCGTTCAGTGGGAGCATCTCGCAGGACGCTGTAAAGGAGGGAGCGAGTAACAGTAGGGTTGATGGAACTGACCTGTGGTCTTAGAGATGGGGTGAGTGGGAATGGCACAGGAAAAAGACACATGGTCATGGGCACTGTCAAATTGGAGGCATCTTGGTTCTCCTTCTTCCCTGTGCGGGACAAAATGCTGTTGGGGGGACAAAGAAAAAAAAGAGACAACAAAGACACAAAGAACAGCACATTACATTGAAATGACACTATAAAACAAATAATAAAACTCCAGATACATCCCACATGAGATGCAATCTCTACCAATAACTAGTGCATCTTGCAAAATCTAGCAACAGTTCACTTCCATGCTTGGGGAAAAAATACAATTCAGAAATTGCTACTTGTGGGGAAATTTTCCATTGCATCTCATGTGTTATCTGGTTCATAAGGAGCAAAAATATAAAAATGCATGTTTCAGTGGCACACCCATGTTTCACAGTTCTGCAAAATTAGATGCAATTGGCTATGGAAAGAGAAAAACAGTGCAACGGCGGCAGCATCAGATTGTCTGAAATATATGTGTGTATTATTATTATTATTATTATTATTATTATTATTTTATATAAGAAAAGGATAATATTGGGAAAACATTTTGAACATCTTTATTGGAAACCAAGCAGGAAATACTTGCAAAAAATAGGTGTGGCACTTCTAGAAACATGTTTTAGCAAAGAATAAACATGTGTGTTTGTTAAGAGAGCCTTAAAAATCACATGTTTATTGCATCAAAATAATGTCTGTATGTATTACATGATACTGTTTCATGACATTCCGTCAGTATCATCTGAGATAATGAGATTTCAACAGGCACATGGATTTAGAAATAATATAATATTTCTAAAATGTTAGCTAAACTACGTTTGGAAAAGCTTTAAAATAATATATTGTCGATGGGCTGCAGCATGTTTGTGAGCTTATGAGAATGGTAGTTTGTGTGTGCTTTTAATTTAGGGGAAGGAAACATCTTATTTTCTGAATACAAACACTCTCTTGTTAACATGGTTACTTTTGAAATCTAAGGGCTAAGCAAGCATCACCCGTTGTATAGCTGCATATCAGACAGGGTCTTATCATACATTGCTAAGGCTACTTACGTTATTTATTGAACAAACTCACTACAGACTAAAGGAGAAATAATTTAGAATAATTAAAAGGCTTAGTGGGAATCAAAACGAAGGCTAAAAATTAGATTGCTACGCCTTCTCAATATCATTGCAATCATATTATTTCACTTTTCTGAAATGGCTATTTAAAAAAGGCTGCTATTGCAACAAGATTAAAGGGCACTAATCCAGGCAAAGTTAAGCACCTTTACAACTCACTGAAATCAACAGAAGAGGTGCAACACAACCCTTTGCAAATTTACTCAGAAGCAAGTGTAGTCAATGGGGCTTACTCCCAGGTAAGTGGCACATAGGACTGCAGCCTTAAAAATGTGCCTGGCTCTCTCCCGGTGAAATCAGAGGAGCTTAAAGGTGCTTAATTTTGTCTCGTGCATGCTCTTCACTTCTTTTTACTAATTTATCACACCACGACTATATATTAGCTAACTTACAAAAAAATATATTTTGTTTACAATGCATCAGACCAGATACCCATTTCCCCCCTGTGTGTTTGGCATGGAAGAGGCACTGTTTGAAATGCCTACTCAGAGGCTGGCAACTTGTGGCCCTCAGATATTGCTGGACGCCCAGCTCCCATCATCCGGGACCACTGGCCATGCTAGCTGGGGCTGATGTGAGATGCAGTCCAACAACATCTAGAGAGTCACCCTGGTATATCCTTGACCTTACTCTTCCTACAGATTTCTACGGTTGATCGTCTACAAAAGACAGAAGTTAGCATCCCATTGACTGTTCATCATTTATAGGATGGATGTTGAGCCAGACTTAAGATATTTCTGAAATCACCGGCCTCATTATATACTGCTGACCTCATGAATTGTCTTGCACATGAATAAGCAAATGCGCAGCTAGCAGGAAGGTGCCCCGAAGTAATCCAGAGAGGGTACAGGCACTGGGGAAGTGATTTAAACATGTGCAGAACAAGAGCTTATTGTGGTGACACAGGAACTGTCGACCTGTTTGGAGATTGTACAAGCGTTCTGGGTTGGTCAAGTATGCCAGCTGCCATCTTCCAACAAGTAATCTGTACCATCTGCTCAACTCTACAAGTCTCAGTGATACAAACAGAGGCCACACAGCAGCAGGTTGTAACCATTATATTCAGCTTTTTAAAATGCCTTGTTTATTGTGCCTTATATACTTTCCTCATCCCTTTTGGTATCCCAACGTCCAGTTACCATGAGGGTATTAACGCAGACCAATAAAATCGCCTAAAGACCACTATCATAATCATGTCCACACTAATAAATAGAAGCAAAGGAAGCTGGCTTATATCATTGGGCCATTGTCATTACTGTCTACACTGACTGATGGTGGTTTTTTTAGGGGGGGGTTAATTTATTCTCCTGTGCTGTGCTGTTCCATTGCCTTAGCTACTCAATTTCATTCTGTTCCAGTGCAGTCCAATTGCTCATTTTTCTTTATTTGGCTGCAAAGCATAAATCTCAATCAGCTCTGGCTCTTTGAAGGTATAAGGCATTCAAGGTTGTCCTCCTTCAAAATGGAGCTGAAGCATCGAGAGACTACACATCCCAGCATGCAATTCTCCATTGCTATCAAATGTGCTTTCTGGCCAGAGCAAGGGAACTTTTAAATGTTTAAAGACCAAGGATTTGCATGGCAATGTGCTTTCTTAGCAGGTCAAATTATTATATATCTTTTTGTGTACATGCAGAGGATTGAGGCAAATTGTAGAGTCTGCAGGGCAGGGAACGGTATCTAATAGCCACTTGTGGCTGGTGTGGTGGGGCAGAGCTGTCCTGCTAAGACCAGCAACACTACAGCTTACCTGGACAGTGTTGGGGTGGCAGCAAGGTCAAGGTTGTGTGGACACAGTTGGATGTACCAGCAGAAGCACTGAATTGGTTCTTCAGGTGCATCTGTGCAGGGTCTTGAATAGCTGCATAGCAGGCGGAAATCCCTAGTTCCCAGCATAGCATCCCCATGTTAGGAATTGTTGCCTTCTACTCACCATGGAGCTGTCCAAACCAATGGGCAGCCCATAAACCATGGCACACCTTGGGGGCTTTTCCTAACCCCAATAGCGTGACATTGCATGCTGGGACTTGTAGTGTGTTAGGTGACACACCTCCATACAGACTAGTTATGCTACAGGGGTGCCATCTATAGTTGTGGGTGCTGAGCACCCATGCCACAGGGCCCCTGATGCAATGTCTGGTGCCTCGCAAAGCACCGGAAGTCACGTCCGAGCGCTCGGAGATGCTTTCTGAGGTCTTTCTGAGGTCTCGGAACCTGACTTCCGGTACCACCGGAAGTCAGGTTCCAAGGACGGGGAGTGAGCATGATGTCATGTCACAGCGTGATGTCATAACATCACGCGCACTGGGTACCCATAACCTGGGGGCCAAGTTGGCTCCCCTGTTACGCAAGAACACTGTCAATGATGATCTAACTCCCATAAAGAGGAACTTAAAAGTGAGTACAGCCTCCAGGGAAGACAGTGTAGAGTCCAGCTTTCAATCTGTACCCACCACCATCTCCCAGAGGTGATTCGACTTGAAATGGCTCAAGAGCGCTTGCAACCTTCACTAAAACTGCCAAATATAAAAGAGGACAGGGCTTCTTTTACAGTTGTGCAAAGACCCAGATATTCAGTAGGAATGCTCACTCACTCTTGTCTACATGACAATTTGCACTTGCCTTTCTATCCCAGGGATGGGGAAACTGTGGTGTTGTTGGACCCCAATTGCCACCAGCCCCAGCCTGCATGGTCAGGGATGATGGAAGCTGTTCAACAACATCAGGAGGGGCAAGGACTCCCCAGCCCTGCTTCATCCTATCCTGCCCCAGCTTTGTACCCAGTCACCCTAAAGATCACTCAACATGAGGACCTCTGCATCAGCACCTTACACCCTGTTTTTTTAATCACATCCCCAGAGCCCCTACAAGTCTATTTCTGAAGTTGAAGTAATCTTCAGCAATAGCCTCTGACGCAGGACATGGGAATGCATTTTTAAAAAAATCTGGAACAGCTTTTGCACCTGCAGAAACTCTGAGAAGGGATCCTGTCCTGTATCTTGAGCAGCTGCTATTTTATAGATAAAGAAACACGGTTCTCTCTTGATAAGAAAATAATAATTATCTTTTCCTTCTGGGGCATTTGTTATATTTGCAGTCAAGTTAGGGGGGAAACAAGCTGGAAATGAGCAATGCATGAAAATTAAATTCATGCTTAATGCAGAGAAATGCTTTGGCCTGAAGGTCAACTTAAGGAGGAGCTCAATGAATCAATGTGTTATGCGCTGTGCATGGTGATTTATTTTTAATGTGATGTTTTATTTGTAAAAAAAAAAATGCATTTTCTTTACATTTTCCCACCCACCCATCTAAAACCAGCACTGCCCAATTTCCCTCCCCAAATTTGGTGCACCCTAAAGATGTCTGCAAGTCCAAGGGTCATGTTCATCCCCCATGTGACTAAAAGAAAGCCAACTAAATCCAAATGCAAAGGAAGTCAACCTCATCATGAAACCAATGTCTGTTGTTCCCCCAAAGATGTTAGCATGTTGCAAATTTCCATTAAATCCATCTTTGTGACCTAGCTGGGAAGACTCCTTCTGAACAGCCTCATCCTTCAATGTGCCAGTTTATATATGTAATAATTGTTATTAGCTAGAAAGAGAACCTAGGTTTTTCTTTTTTCTTTCTTTTAGTAATCAAAATAACTCTTACTTGGAAATAAGTTACATGGAACTTGGTGGGACTCACTTCTGAGTAAAGAACAGAAGTGTTCTGCACACTTCCAATGATTCCATGCTAGAGATGTGCAGGAACTAGCAGCTGAATCAGGTGAGAATATGACTATCGAGAATAAGACCAGAAAACCATTCAGGAATATCTATCGACAAGCCATGTTCCTCCAGTTGCTTCTAGATTATGCAGTTTCCAGCTCACAAAGAGCATTTAGTTTTCTGGACTGAGAGCTCTCTTAGTGTGGCCTGCTCTGTGATGGTGTCAGGGTGGGTCTAGGTCACAGATGGGAAAGAGGTGGCTCTTCCAGATATCGCTGAGGTCCAATTCCCATCATCCCTGACTCCTGGCCATACTGGCTGGCACTGGTGGGCGCTGGAGTCCAAAGCATCTGGATGGCCACAAGTTCCCCATCCCTGGACTAAGGCAAGCCTGCAATCCTAAACACGCTTACCCAGGAGTCAGCCCCATTGCTTTCAGTAGGACTTACTTCTGAGCAGGCATGCTTACAATTGCACCCTAAGAGTTCAAATTGTCAAGAATTCAAAAAAGGGGGAAAGTTCATTATATATATATATATATCCAGGTTTAAGGTGCAAATGCAACCCATGGGGCATTTCTCCCATGCAAGATTTATTGCTATTGAATCTGATAGGTAACTCCATTTAAATGAATGTCCATCTTAAGGATTCTGGCACAATATTCATTCATAATCAATAATCAATGCATTGGTGTAGAACCTATGACAACCCAGAAGTTGTTGGACGACAACGCCCATCACCCTTGGCCATCTGGCTGGGAACAGGATGGTGGACTAGATGGGCCACTGGCCTGATCCAATAGGATCTTCTGCTTTCTTCTTGGTTGTGCTGGCTGGGGCTGATGGAAGTTGCAATGCAACAATGTCTAGAGAGTCACAGTTTCCTTGCCCCCGACTTAACAGGTTGCTTTCACATTCTAGGCCTGGAGAATTGCCTTTTCACTTCTAATGCCTCCTAGCTTCTGGAAGGTTCAGAACTAGGATTTGGGTTGCTGATTTGTTTTGGACAAAGTAGGACACATTTCCACCCAAAACTGAGTGCAGGTTTCAAGTCACCAGCTCAACCTCTAAATGTTTTAAGCCCGTTTCTAGCTCATGGGGGAGGTAGTGGGACTTGAAGGCAATAGATCAAAGTGCACTCCAACAAATACCCTCTGGGGCATTAAGCTATTGGCCTGGGAGCCATTACAGCCCTGCTCCTTCCCACATGGCCAGAAGCATCGTTTGAGAAAGGGGTTGCTTTTGTGTATTGATCAGCATTTGTTCTTTAGCAAAACTGTTAAGGGAAACTAATTAGCCAAACGATCTAAGGAGGCCAGGAAAAGACATGCAATGGGTTTTAATTATAGGTTCCAACTGCACATTAGGGGAAATTGCAAGCATTTTATATTATCACCATTGGAAATTTTACGAAAATTTGGCAGACGAATCAGAGGGAACTACTTTGGGGTTAGGATATCCTGCCTTAGGGTGACGAGTTAGGAGATATTACTGAACAAGTCGCCTTCCACTCCTGTTATGCTGTGGTATGGAACAGGTTATATAGCCACTGGTTGTTAAGCAGTTTGGTTGGGCAAACTGAGGACTGGTTTTCATAAATGCAGCAGAATGGGTGGAGAAAGTTAAGGCAGGTAGAATGGACTGGATCACTGCTGACTGATTGCAGGCAATCACAGTTCTGAATGCTCTGGTATATTATTAGCAACCTCCTGCAAATAGAAAATCAGCATAACAGATAAAGGGGGGTTGATCACCTTTCCCCCTGATTTGCTAGTGTTCCAATTGCAGGGAATCTTCTTGGTGGGGAAACAGATGAAATATGTAGCCAATAGTGGTACAGTCCATCACCTCATTCTCCCCACGTTCTGCTGCACATATACATAGCTTCCTCCTAGACAACCACTGTTGAAGTTACTTATTGCTTCCAGATTTTATACTTCATTGAGCTCTGACACATCTAGCAGAACACCCTTCTATTTTTCATAAAGCTATTCATACACTTCATTTAACCAGTATATATTTTCTATGAAAGCATAATTTAAAGCTTACCTTAGCAATGTCTGAGAAAAGTATTTCAGAGTGTTTGCAATGTCAGTTCCAGAGGGGACGGGGTAAATGTTGTGAAGAACACGGTTATGGTATTCTTGCAAGTACCGGATCTTGGAAGCAACTGGTTTTTGTTGTGTTTGAAGAAAATGGAAAGGGGAAGAAAAAGAACATGTATCTTAGTTCTGTTCTTGTGGATAGAAAAATCATATAGTTTTTCTGCATTCAGGCCACAATCCAGCACAGTTACAGCTAAGCTAACTAACTGTGATCTATGATCATGGATCTCCCAGTTTTTAAAAAAGTTAACAGCAGTTGTTGGGAGGGAAGGAGCATTCAATCGGATTGGGGCCATAGTGCTGGTGGAAGGAAGACTACTAACTGTACCCTCAGATACTCCGAAACCCATTTAATTTAACGGACTTCCGCATGACTAACTCTGTGTTGAACTGTGGTCATCATCTAATATATTCAGGCTGAAGGCAGTTGCCAGTTCGATTTTATTCCAAATGTCCACCAAACTTAAACAATTTCATTGGTGTCTGTTCCACCCCCCATATAATATTTGTACAAAGTCAAGCAAAATGACAGGAAATCAATGCAATGATTATGTCTTCATAAAATTAATCATACAACACCTTTCAACCCTCAAAAGTGTCTCCAATATGGGCTTACACCCCAAAAATATGCTTAGAAGTACATGGCCAACAGTGGAAAATTGGTTTGGCTTGCCATATTTTGCCCAAACGTGCACCCCTTCTCTCCTCAGCATGCCATGATTACATCAGGAAGTCTACAGCTAACCATAGTTTCCCATTCTGCCCCAAAATGGGGAAACTGTGGTTCCCAGGCTTGGAGAAAGCCAAGATCTTACACCATCTTCAGAGTTTCCTCTCTCTCGAAGGCTTGCCCAAATCACTGGAAGTACAGGAGACAGAACTAAGGAGATCAGAATAAGCAGTGGTGTATTATCTATTTCACCTGCACTGCTACCTGGGAAACTGGCCATCGGCTAGGCGGCTGTAATCATGAAACCAAAACAGGCAAGTAACACAAGGTATGGGTACACCTGATTTGCTGTACACTGTGTGCTTTACACTGTAAAAAGGGGTTTGCCAGGAAATGTGCTTGTGCTTTACATTTCAAGAAGGAGCTGGCTTGAGATGGCATAGGGAGGCCTCAAGAAGCAGTGTAAAGACAACTGTATCATCTCAGTACTCAGTGGGCTGATCAACCAAGGGGACAAGAAACCAGAGGTGTTTTTGGAGGCCCCAGAAGATATGGCTCTTGCTTCTGACACTGCCATATTGAGGCATCACCTAGGAATAAGGTACAGCCCGATCTATTGACTGAATTGCTAAATATAACTGATAGAATGGCTGGCTGCAGGCAACTAAAGAGTAAGGTTTACTACCACGGTTTTGCCCAGTCATTTGTATTAATGAAAATGTGGTATGTGTGTTTTCTTGTGGAGAAGGTGGCAAGGCTTTGTCACGCTTACTACTTGGTAAGTTGGTCGTACGTATTAGCAATCACAGTAGTTAATTCACTGCTTTTATTACTTTTGTTGCTTTTTGTTATCATTTAATCATCATTGCTGTTATTACTGCATTTCATTTATAAATTGCTTCTTATAAATAATAATAACTATTATTATTATTATTATTATTAAAATTTGTATACTTCCCTATACCCATAGTTCTCAGGGCGGTGTACAACTTAGTTCCATGGCTGGCTGTATAAGCAACCCCTCACAGGAATCTGCCAATGGTAGGTTCTCATTTTGAAAATACTGTCAAATTACTTGGAGCAATTTCACAATACAGTAAAAACATATACAAAACAATGGCATGTATAAAAAGTACATATATATTATACACACACCCAATTTCAAATCCAACAACCAACTGGGATAAAAATCTACCCTTGTTTTTACTGAAGTTGTAAGATACCTTGAGAGTGTTGTATATTCAGTGGGAAGGTAGAAATGTTTTAAATGAATAAACTTTCACCCTACAGTTAAGCAATTGATAGGTTTATTATGCAGCCAATGGCAATGAAGGCAATAAATTAAGCAGGAACCTATTAATCATCGTAAGAAATGGAAAATGTAAAGGAATGCTACCATAAAAACTTAGAAATGAAACAAATGTATGGAAAAAAATTCTCTTTCCCCAGATTTTCCCATTCATCATGTGATTGCATGTAGCAAAGAAAACAGTGACTCATAGAGTTCATCTGCCTCTGTTTTCTTCTGTAAGAGTCACTGAGATGTTTACTGCTGAGAAATCTCAGCATGCCTAAGCAGATATTTGAGTGACCATTGTAATGAACTACTTGCGCTTGAACTACTACTCTCACTATCCCTGGCCATGCTGGCTGTGGCTTATGGGACTTGGAGTCCAACCATCTCCGAAGGGCCACAGGTTCCCCAACCCTGCAGTAGATGGATCAGACTTCTTCTCCATTGCTCCACAAGGCTGCACTAAAATCCATGGGTGGAAATTCCAGGGGAAGAAGACGTCAGCTACCGTAACTGTTAAGAGACCTTTCCTAACACCAGGAGCTACTCAACAGTGAAATAGGCTGCCTCAAGTGAGCTCTCTCCTTTATTAGAGGTATTTGAGCAGAGGCTGGATAACCATCAGCCAGGGATGATGTAGTTATGCCCTGTATCACAGTTCCTGCACTGAGAAGGGGGGTTCAACTAGACGACCTCCAAGATCCCTCCTGGCTCCATAATTCTGGTTCTTTTGGTACAAAAGATTAGAGCTGCTTAGCTTCAGAAACGTGGTAGCCTTGTGTGCCTTCAGGCCATAGCTGGGGACCTGGGTTTTTTTTTTTTTAATTATAAAAATATTTATAGCACACCAGCTCATATAAAATATCAAGGTGGAGAGCAATCATATATTACATATTTCATATATTGCCCTGTATCCATTGATCTCAGGGTGATTCACAACACAGAATTACAATATAAAAAAACACAAAATACATAATAAAAACAAAGACAACCCAATAATCCTCACCCCCTTCCACAACACATAAAAGGGCATTAAGATGTCAATCTGCCAAAGGTCTGGTTAAAGAGGAACGTTTTTGCCTGCTGCCTAAAGGTATATAATGAAGGCACCAGCTGATCCTTGGGGAGAGCAACCCACAAACAGGAAGCCCATTCTCGTGTTGCTGCCCTCTGGACCTCTTGTGAAGGGAACACAAGAAGGGCCTCAGAGGATGATCTCAGGGTCCAAGTAGGCTCATATGGAGAGAGGTGGTGCTTGAGGTATTGCGGTCCTGAGCCATTTAAGGCTTTATAGGTCAAAAACAGTACTTTTAATTGAACCTGGAATCTAATTGGCAGTCAGTGCAGTTGAGCCAGGATTGGTGTTTTATGCTCAGACCGTCTTGCCCCCATGAATAACCTGGTCACCAAATTCTGCACTAGCAGAACCGTTCTCAGAGGCAGCCCTACATATAACAGATTGCAGTAATCTAGCCTAGAGGTCACCAGAGCATGGAGAACAGAAGTTAGGCCGTCCCTCTAAAGATTAGGGGTGCAGCTGGAAGGCACTCTGCTCCACTGAGGGTGCCTGAACCTCAGGTAACAACAAAGGATTCAGAAATATCCCAAGCTGTGTAGTTGCTTCTCCCATCAAGAGCAGGTAACCTCACAGCCTTCTGGTCTGGAAATGCCTCAGTCTAACTGAATTGAGCTTCAGTTTGTAGGCTCTCATCCAGTCCATTATTGAAGTAAGACAATTGTCTAGTATATCCACTGCCTCCCCTGCAAATGTAAAGGAGAAGTAGAGCTGCGTGTCTTCAGCATATTGCTGACAACATACTCCAAACCTCCAGATAACCCCACTCAGCTGTTTCATGTAGATGTTAGAGTGTAGGGGATAGAATCGATCCCTGTGGAACCCCACAATGAAGGCTCTATGGGGCTGAGAAACACTCCCCAAGAAACACCCTCTGCAGATGACCATCCAAGTAGGATCGGAACCACCACAAAGCACTGCCACCCATCCCTAACTCCAGAAGAATACCATGGCTGATGGCATCGAAAGTCACTGAGAGGTCAAGGAGAATTAACAGGGGCACATTTCCCCTGTCTGTCTCCCAACAGAAGTAATCATTTGGGGCAATCAAATCAGTTTCTGTGCCAAAACTCAACCTAAACCCTGATTAAAATAGCTCTAGAAAATCATTTTCCTCCCAAGAGTGCCTAGATCTGGTCCACGACTACATAAAACACCATGAAAACAATACAAAATTATCAGTAAAATGACTAATCAACAAAGTTTAAACAGCTGCATGGGCCTGACAGCATAAAAATGTGTTCAATGGACATACTGACATTCAGTGACACAGATTTTATTATTGCTTCTCAGTCTTTTGGCTAAGATCAAGTGTAGCCACTATGCTTTCACCTTTATTGGGGTCAAGCTGCAAATGTATTCAGGTAGAAGATTGTATTGACAGAGAAATTGGATTAATATGCAACTGTGGTCAGAATGAAACAGTCACAAATCAAATTTCAGGCCCCAGAGTAGCATTTTTTGATTTACAGGGGTTTTCCTATCCTGGGAAACTTGGAAGGAAGGGTGAGATACAAATTCAATAAACAGATAAATAACATACAGGTATTTTGCAGTGACAACCAGATGTTTATGAGTGATTTAGAGCTATATTGGTAAATGACAGATCTGAAGAGAATGAAGTCATATTTTTAAAAGCCAACACTTTCCATAGCCCAATCATCTAGAATATATCTGGACTATAAATTTGTATTAGTTTAACTATCACAATTTCCCCCCCCCAACCCTGCTGTATAATCCTACTGTTTGGAGACAGTAATATCTGATCAAGACCTCTCACACCTCACTCACAGAACTACAGTTCCCAGGCTTTTATGCTGAATACAAGTGACTCCTAAACCCGTTTGACACAGCATTCCCACATGTGTCTGCTCAGAAGTAAGCCCCATTGAGTTCTGTGGCGCTTGACTCACAGGTAAAATGGTTGTGGAAAAACAGTCTCAGTCTGTAGCGTAGAAACGTTTTACATTGGTTTTATTGCCTCTCCTGGATCTATAATTTTGTTTCCCCTCAGTTTTATTGTATTACAAAAGCATGTGCGGTGCGATTATTTTATTACATTGTACTTTTTTCTTCAACACCGCAATCCATCAGGATGAATGGCAGTTGAGAATTTAAAAATATAAAATACATCCTTAGAATATAATAAAGCTGTTGGGATTGCTTCTTCCAGCAGAAGAAGAAACTAATTTTTTAATTCAGAACCCTTTGATGAGTGTATTTTCACCTTCCCCTTTTAATGAATGCTACCAGGATAAAATTCCCTTCTTCTTTTGCTAATGTAGATGTGATAGCAGCACACACTTCTCTTTAAACGTGAGCCTGCCATCATCCAGCATAAAGCGGTCATGGCCACAGGGAGGCCCATTGCGACTTCTGGAAGACCCAACAGGGCCCATCGCAGCCACAGGAAGGCCTGACGAGGCCCGCAGCAGATGCAGGAAAGGCCAACAAGGTACCCAGCAGTTGCGGGAAGGCCCGACAAGGCCCACCACAACCACAGAAAGGCCTGATGGGCCTTCTACAGGCTGCAATGGGCCTTTCACTGTTGAGCCCCATCAGGCCTTCCAGAGGCCACAGGTGATGTCATATGTGCACCACGCGCGTGACGTCACAGGCCCATGCCAGGCAACCACAAAGTGGGTCAGGGCATGGCACCCGTGTCTCCCAGCCAAGTTCACTTCCAGGATCAGGTGCAGGGGGAGAGGGATCATCTCAGGAGAGAGACTGCAAAGAAGCAAACCATGAGCAAAAGGAGAGTTCAGGACCCAACTTTGCCTTGCATACCTTGTTGCGAATGAATACAGGAAGACCTGTATTTAAAAGGATGGGTGCTCCCACCTACCCCCCTGCCTCACATGGCCCCAACCGTTGCATGAAAAGTGTGCAGTGAAGCAAAAGATCCATTTCAGTTTTCCCTGGCAGATGCCAAAATGCAGGTCTTGGAGTCTCCCTACGCAGTATTTTCACTGGGGTGGTCAACCTTCAAAGCCAAGGCACACGAACATCTCCCAGAAAGGATATAAGGGACTTAAAAGTGTATGTTTATTTGGCTTGCATGTCAAATTAATATAATTGTGTGTTTCTGTCAAATACTGTATTACAGACTTTTTCTAATTATGGGGGAAAAAATTGTGCTGAAAAACAAGGAAACAGAAGGTAGACTTCAAGTATGGTGGTTGGCCCAGATTTTGTTCCTGGTGTTCAGACATCAATGCAGTGCATCACACAAATGGCACCTTCAACCTGTTGCTATGCCCCCAGGGACACTGCCAAGTCAAACGCAGAACACAGCTACAGCCACAATATAGAGAGCAAATCACCTAAAATATCCCATGACTTGGTTTTCAGAAGCGTTAACACCTAGATCATCAGGAAGCATCACCAGGTGCTGGGGAAACAGCTTATTTTCATTTAAATTATTTTCCTCAAAAGGAGCTTAGGTATCTGTATTCAAGATTATTTCATAACACATTACTGGGTTTCTCTCAGCTCGCTTTTCTGAGCTAAATGAAGCAGTATTTCTTTGGTCTGTCGATGGAAGGGTCTGCACACAGTTAACATGCTCATGAACACTCAGTTCTGACCTAATCCTCTTCCTCGGCTACCTCCTACACATTATGTTAGTTCAGATCCTTTTTATGTCAATAGACTCAGTAGAAAGAGTCCTCTGTGGGATCTTCTCTGCTGTCTCTGTACCAAACCCACCTGCAGTAGATATAATATGCATTAATAGCTCTGCATTTTTAAAAAGGAAATAGCAGGTGCATGGGGGTTGTTCTGGATCATGACCACAGGGAGCAGGGTTCAAGGGTCCCCTGCTGTAGTACTCATCAGGATCAGGGGACATTTGCCCTATATTTGCATTGGAAGGAAGTCTCTCAATCGCACCAGTGGACACTTTCTTTCCAGTGCAAATAGCAGGCATGGAGGAGGGCTATCTGGACTGGCACCACGGTTGGGTAGAAAAATGGGTAAAAAAAAACCTCTACACCAGCATACTTTTTCTGGATTAGATGCTCTATGCCTGCTACTTGACTTTCAAATGCTCACTCAACTGTTATTCCTCCATGTCTACTTTGGCCCTGAAAACAACGGGAATAGGACTCCGACTGAACAATTCTATGTCTATGCAGAACTAACTCTCATTGAGTTCTATTGTGGTAAGTGAGCATAACAATGAGTCTTTAGTCCATCATTTGCTTGATTACCCCTGGCCTGGAGCTGGGGGGAGTTTCTGGAAACTGATATTGGGTAAGAGAAGGAAGTGAATGCCTTTGTTTCCTTTAAAAATATGTGGAGAAAATAAATTGCATCAGCATCGTTTCCCTGATCTGTGGAAGGCAAGCAGAAAGAACAACCCATTATTCTAGTTAGTTAGTTAGTTAGTTAGTTAGTTAGTTGCTCTGATCCACAAACTGATTCAGTTATCCAAGCTCTAGTGCATACTGTCCAGAGAGATTTATATATCTCCTTCCTTGATGGTATTCAGGAAAAGACTAGATAGATACTTCAGATATGGGCTGTTCTGTCTTTGGCTTATGGACAGTGGTATAGCGTGGGTTGTCAGCACCCGGGACAAGGCAAGTAATTTGCGCCCCCTAACCCGTGGATTTTAGTAGGGGCAGAGAGCTGCGAGTGCGAGCGCCCCCCCCCGATGTTGCACCCGGTGCGGACGGCCCCTCCTGCACACCCCCCACGCTACACCACTGCTTATGGACTGGAATGATCTGCCCATATCTATGGCTCTGCAGTTCTATGATCAGTGACATCATTTCATCCTGCATTGTTCAACCACAGATAATCAGCACATATCTTCCTTCATTAAACACACTAAGGAGGAAGTATTTGCCTGCTACCTACCAAGGGCATTTAACTGAAGCAAGATTGAACATTAAGGAGGTTATTCTAAAGGATCAGTGGTGGACTCAGTGCAAGACTTTGGGAGCAGAAGTCCAGCGTCCCGCTCAGCAGAATGAGCAGGAAATTCCCCAATGCAGCAGAGCTTGCTTGGCACATTTTTAAAAGTAAGTGAAGAACTACACATTGCCATCTAATGGGGGGAAGGGCCTAAAAATTAAGTCCAGAATCTAAAATTTCCTAAGTGCAACACTATAAATGAAGAAACAATTCTGTACACTTCCAAGAGAAGTTCTGGAATCTTCTTCCTTGAGAGGTAGCCAAAGGAAGACAGGCAAGAACCGGTCATGGATACTTTGCCTGCAAGACATGGAGCACCTGCAGTATCCAAGGGTCCCCTGCGAGTATACGGTGCCATGATTCTATTATACCTTTTCATTCAGTGTTGGTCAATGAAGCTACACAGTCAGCTGATCCTGCCTCACAGTGACCTGATAGGGTGTCTTGGAAGCAACGGCCTTGTATATATATGGATCTGACCAATCCCTCTTTTCCTCCTCTAATTACATCTCTGTTTATCTGAGTGTGTAAATATTATTTCACTGGCAACTTGAAGAAGCCATAAAGGAAGACAATCTCCACCCAGTCCAAAATATCAACAAAAGCAAGAGTGGGTGTGGGAGAAAGGCAAGAGATAGCCTATTACTTGAAGGCCCCTGAGATTTTGTTTTTATTTTCAAGTCATCCAGTACAGTGCAATCAGGAAATGAAAATAATCTGGTAGGAAGATTTCCAAAACCTAGCAACGAAATCAAATCAAGTGCGTTAAGCTAGGTCCTCTTTTAAAAAAAGGTGGGGGGAGGAGAATCGTATCAAAGGCCTACATTTCCTCTATATGTGTGGAGACAGAAAACCATCTCCCCTCTTTTGGTCAATATAGGGATTCAAACACTCCATGATGATTTTAAAGGGATTGTGCTTTGTAGATGAACATCCTTAAGGGTGGCCAACATGATGGGCGCAGAAGGCCCAGGGGAGACCAGAAGGTCCCCCGAATCAAGCTCTTTAAACCGCAGTGCTCTTCGATCTTCCTAGATCAGGGCTTCCCCTCTGCCTGCAAGGGCGGAGAAATCGCCTGCCGCATTCAGCACCACGGACAGCGCCGTCCCTTCCCGTCTCTTCCCCTCACCCCACAACCACCTGACGCCCCCAGTTTGCCCCCTTCCGTCCCTGCCGATGCTCTCCTTTGTCCCCCCCCCTCCCCACCCCAGTCTCTTTGCCTCCGCGGGGTGGGCTACTTACACTGCTCCGCTTTGGTGGACATGGTGGGGCCCGGGTGGAAGTGGTTGCTCCCAATATTGGCGGCGCGGGGTCCTCTCCGTCGGCTAGCGGGGAGCGGCGCTCTCCTGCCGCGGCGGTGAAGTCACTCTGTCTCCCGAGCTGCATCCCTCCCCCTCGGCTGCCTCTACCATCGCTACGGAGCCGCAGAGCTGCAGGGAAGGGAAGGGAAGCAGGCCAAGGAGGGAGGGGAGAAGCCACGAGGGGGGGTGGCTTCGAGGAGCCCCCGCGCGCTCCAAGCGCGGACCCCTGTTCCGCGCCCTAGGCTAGGCGGTGTCCGGGGGAGAGCGCGCGTAAACGGCGACGCGCGGAGAAGGGCCCATTTTACAGCCCAGGCAAAAATTAATAATCTAGAGGGCCTCCCCCCCCCCGCGTTTGCGTGAAATGAGCTCGACCGGAGAGGAACGTGGAGGCGGGGGAGGGGGGAGTGTTCCATTCATGAAGGCGGGCGGCTGAGCGCGACCAGCCTTTTAAAGGGACTGCCGTTCGCAGCCCCCGCGGCAGGGAGAGGCTTCCGCTTTTTCTGAATGGGAAGTGCGCCGCCTTCTTTTGCAGGACCTGCTCCAGGGCTGGATTTAGGGTTGCCATATTTTGGAGAGCAGAAAAGAGAGAGGACGCTCAAAGCAATTCAAAGCAATAAATGCAATTTGTTTTTAAAAAAAAACCCATGAAGAAGAGGGCGTGGCCTGGAATAAGAGGGCACATGGCAACTCTAGCGCCCGCCAAAATAAGCACGTGCTTATGGCATCAGGGGAAATGGGGGATTCCCATAATAAGCTGCTGGTTGGCCATCCAGCCAGCTGCTCTTATGTCCTTGCACTAAAGCACTGGAATTGACATTGCATTTATGCGTCTTTTTATTGTAATTTTTCTTCCAAGGTGTTTTATTTGTTTATTTGTTGCATTCCTACCTTTTTATTCATTGCATTTTTCTGGTGGTGGTTCTCCCTCCCCTTCCTCATTTTATTTTATTCCCCAGAACAACCCTGTGAGGTAGGTTAGGATGAGACACAGTAACCAGCCCAAGGTCACCCAATGAGCTTCCTGGCAGAGTAAGGATTCGAACCCTGGGTGCAGCCTCCAGTTTAGATTCATCTGCCTGCCCCCCCCCACTGCCCCTAGACATTTTCTGGGCTCTGCTCCTGCCTAGTGATTCAGAGCAGGCCCCTTTCCTCCATGAGGCCTTTGGTTCCCAGACCAAGATGAAAAGGTAAAAAGGTCAGGGACCCAGACAGTTGTTGTTGTTTAGTCGTTTAGTCGTGTCCGACTCTTCATGACCCCATGGACCAGAGCACGCCAGGCACTTCTGTCTTCCACTGCCTCCCGCAGTTTGGTCAAACTCATGCTGGTAGCTTTGAGAACACTGTCCAACCATCTCATCCTCTGTCGTCCCCTTCTCCTTCTGCCCTCCAATCTTTCCCAACATCAGGGTATTTTCCAAGGAGTCTTCTCTTCTCATGAGGTGGCCAAAGTATTGGAGCCTCAGCTTCAGGATCTGTCCTTCCAGTGAGCACTCAGGGCTGATTTCCTTAAGAATGGATAGGTTTGATCTTCTTGCAGTCCATGGGATTCTCAAGAGTCTCCTCCAGCACCATAATTCAAAAGCATCAATTCTTCAGTGATCAGCCTTCTTTATGGTCCAGCTCTCACTTCCATACATCACTACTGGGAAAACCATAGCTTTAACTATACGGGCCTTTGTTGGCAAGGTGATTTCTCTGTTAAGTCCAGTCAAAGGCAACTATGGGGTTGTGGTGCTCATCTCGCTTTCAGGCCAAGGAAGCTGGCATTGGAACAGCTTTCTGGGTGATGTGGCCTGCATAACTCAACTGCTTCTGACACAACAGAACACCGCAGGGAAGCCAGGGCACACAGAAATGCTGTTTACCTTCCCGCCGCAGTGGTACCTATTTATCTACTTGCACTGGCGTGCTTTTGAACTGCTAGGTTGGCGGGAACTGGCAAGCCCAAGAGGCTCAGTGGTTTAGACCACAGCGCCACCCACGTCCCTTCCCAGTTCAACCGTCATTTAAGGTTGATTTGTTTCCGCCCCGCACCCCTTGTTCCTGACATAGATCTTCACTCACCCCTCTTGTTCCCTGTGTAAATTCCCATCCCTCCATTGTTCCCAGTGTTGATCTTCACTCCCTGCTTTGTCCCTGGCTGCAGGAGGCATTTTGTGGTTTGCCCCAGGTGCCAAAACGTCTGGAGCTTCAGCGAGGTGAAAATAACAAGGTGGTATTATAACAGTGGTCATTTTCATGCTCTGTTTTTACAATATAACAAAGCAGCAGGGTGGAAAAAAAATTGAATTCAAGGGGAAAGCTTGAGGTTTTTGGGTTGTTGTTTTTTTAATACACGCAGAAGAATTAGAAGTCTGAGACAGGTCACATTTCTGTGGAAATTTTTTGAAGATGTCAGTGACATAAAACAGGTTGCTCTGGCCTCCTAGGTTGTCCAAACATCTAAATGTAGCAGATTCAAGAACACCAGGTCCTGGGAATTAAATTACTCAAGTGTCTTCAATGCTAAGGTCATTGTTTTCCCGTAACTTCCACAGAGTCACTTTGTTTAGTTAATTCTCCAGTGAACTGCTACAGAACCTTGGCGATCCAGCTGCAGATTGTTGTCTCTTTCCTTTGCTCCAAGTAAATCAAGTAGGAAACAAAACTCTAATTATGTGGAATATTCTGCATCATCTTCCTGGTTGTACTGCCAACCAGATGGGGGAAAAACACTCGTGTCTTTCCCTCCCTCCCTCCAACTGGCTGCATTGACAACATAATCCTGTGAATGTTGATGCAGAAATGCCCCACTGAGTTCAATGGGGCTTACTCCCAGGTAAGTGGGCACAGGACCTCAGCCTCACAGATCAATTCTGGAAACCTCTGCTCAGAAGTCAGTCTCCTTGTGTTCAATGGGGCCAAATCCCAGATTAATGTGTATAGGTTTACAGTCTTAATTGCCTTTCCTTCCCCTCTCAGCTAGCAGAAAGTAATTAATACCTATAAGCCATCAAAGCCATTATTAGGCAAACATCTTTATCTAGCAAACAATACAAGAGCTTTGCATATTCAAAGTCCATGTTTGCAGCAACTTAAAATGCAAGTTACTGAGGTTTGTAAGCTTCCAAATGCAGCAAATATTTAAATAAATTCTTTATTCTGAATAAACATTATGGTATGTACTTTGCAGCTTATATTTTGTTGCCGTGCAATGTCCCAATGTGGTTTTTATTGTTCATAAATGCTTGGGAGCGCTCATTAAAAATGGTGGGGGGGGATAAATTGTGATTCATGTTTGCTTTAAATAATGAGGAAAACTTTCTGGATGTTAACTTGGCAAGGTCTATCTAGCAGATCTGCAAAAACAGTCTGCTTCTGGCAAAAAAATTTGCTACTGAGTTAATGCCGCTCCCTTTTCTCAGGAGACAGAAGACTGTTGGATTTTTCCACATACTCAGTTGGATATAGATGGGGGTTGAAGAAGCTTAAGAATAAGCTGTACAATGACAACTTTTGATTTTGCTATTTGAAAGAGAGAGGTTCTCAAGCCTAAATCCTTTAATGCCCTGATTTGGTTGGATTTCTGATGCAGGCATTCCCAGAGAACATGCAGAAGGGAGCTTCCTATATCCCCTGTATGATGTCTGAATGCACAACTAACATGAAAATCAATACATCTGCAAAGAAAACACAGTGGAGATCAAATGAAGCCTTAATTACGTATGTGAGAGCCAGTGCTGTCTCATTTATTTGATCATTTATTCCATTCATCAGGCATCCAATAGCAATAGTTCTCTGGGACTAAATAGATTGTGAAAATGGATTAAAAATCGCAATTCCAATAAAACAAGAATCAATAAAAGCACTTTTAAAAAAACTTTTTAAAAAATCATTCCGAAACGGAGATCTAGAGCAGATGTGGGGAAGCTGCTGGGAAAGATCTCTGCCTTAGGACTTGGAACATAGAAAGCTATCTTATACCAAGTCAGACCATTGATCCATCTAGCTCATTATTGTTGACAGCTTGCCAGAATTTCCAATGGTCCTTAGTCCGTTCAACTTCCCAAACATTCGGAAACCAAAGCGCTGCTTCTGATTGGCTGCAAGAAACTCCTGCAGCCAATCGGAAGCCCCACCGGACATTCGGCTTCCAAAAATAGTTCGCAAACCAGAACAGTCACTTCTGGATTTGCAGCGTTTTGGAGCCAAAACCTTCAAGAACTAAGCTGTTCAAAAAGCAAGGTACGACTGTACTTTGCTCAGAATGAAATTATATTCAGAATGGAAGTATGCAAGAACTGATATCAATTCCTTCATTAGCATGAGTGGGGATATGTGACAGGGCAAAATGAGGATGGCTTGAATAAACATTTGATTCTGTATCTCTTGCTAGCAGCCAGAATAGCTATTGCAAGAAAATGGAAATATCTAGAGGGATTAAATAAGAATTTATGGTTTGGTGAAATCTGGTCCATAGCTATAAAAATGAACTAAAACATTAAGGTATACTTGAGAACAAACCAAAAAAGATTCATTTTCAACTATGTAGCAAAAAATAATAATAATTGTATATTCATGACGATAACAGCATTCAAATGCCTCCTGTAAAATATGCTATTTGAAATTCTTAGCAACTACAGTGGTACCTCAGGTTACATACGCTTCAGATTACACACTCCGCTAACCCAGAAATAGTACCTCGGGTTAAGAACTTTGCTTCAGGATGAGAACAGAAATCGCGCAGCAGCAGTGCAGTGGCAGCAGGAGGCCCCATTAGCTAAAGTGGTGCTTCAGGTTAAGAACAGTTTCAGGTTAAGTACAGACCTCCGGAACGAATTAAGTACTTAACCCGAGGTACCACTGTATTCGGTTTGAAGGCACTGGTGGGCCAATGCACCTCTCCCAATGGTGGCCTGTGTGGGGTTGTAGCACCCGATCCACGACAGTGGCAACTTTACAGCCCAGAAGAGGAGTTTGGATTTGATATCCCACTTTATCACTACCCGAAGGAGTCTCAAAGCGGCTAACATTCTCCTTTTCCCTCCTCCTCCACAACAAACAACTCTGTGAGGTGAGTGGGGCTGAGAGACTTCAAAGAAGTGTGCCTAGCCCAAAGTCACCCAGCAGCTGCATGTGGAGGAGCGGAGATGTGAACCCGGTTCACCAGATTACAAGTCTACCGCTCTTAACCACTACACCACACTGGCTCCCAGGGCCAGCCCCACCGGGTTCCTATCAGGCTGTAGGCGGGCCTTAGTCAAACCTAGTCTTACCTGTAAACAATAAGGTAAAAAGGTAAAGGTAAAGGTACCCCTGCCCGTACGGGCCAGTCTTGACAGACTCTGGGGT